TGTCTGGCATTATCTTCTTGTCTGGCATTATCTTCTTGTCTGGCATTATCTTCTTGTCTGGCATTATCTTCTTGTCTGGCATTATCTTCTTGTCTAGTGAGGGCTTCTTGTCCGGTACAGGTATCTTCTTATCCGGCCGTGCTGTGTTCTTGATCTTGTTGTCTGGCGATGGTCTCTTCTTGAAAAGGTTCTTGATGATTGACTTCAACGAGGGCTTGGAAGACTCTGGCTTCTTGTTCGGAGGTTTCTTCTTGTCGGAGTTCTTGTCAGGACCTTTGATAGACCGCGGCTTGCTGTCGGGCTTGTCAGGCTTCTTCTCGGGCCTTGAGATGGCTGGCAGCTTCTTCTCAGGATGATTGGCTGGCGCTGGCTTCTTCTCAGGCTTCTTGGATAACGGAGGCGGTTTAGTTGGCTTCTTGGTTGGAGACTTCTTGGTTTGAGTCTTCTTGACTGGCGACTTTTTGACCGGCGGTTTCTTGACAAGAGGCTTTTTGCTTGGGACTTTTCTGGCTGGTGCCTTCTTGATTGGTGCCTTCTTGATTGGTGCCTTCTTGGCGGGAGTCTTCTTGACTGGGGCTCTCTTGACCGGAGCTTTCTTGACCGGAGACTTTTTGGTCGGAAGCTTCTTGGCTGGCGGTTTCTTCGAGGAAGGTTTCTTGACTGACGGTTTCTTCAAGGGAGGTTTCTTGGCTGGGACCTTTTTGACTTGTGCCTTCTTTGCAGGTGGCTTCTTCGGCGGCGGATGCTTCTTCACAGGCGGTTTTGGCTTCTTGGAAGGGGACTTCTTCACAGGTGATTTCTTGATGGGCTTCTTGTTGGGTAGCCTCACTCCCTTCTTGCCGGGCTTTTTGACGGGTTTCTTGACAAGCGGCTTCGGCTTTTTGGTAGGCTTTTTGACAGGCTTTTTAGCAGGTTTCTTTGCCGGTTTCTTGGGAGGCATTCGGCGTGCTTGCCTGTATTGATGGTGACCTTAGGATGGGATTAATGAATAGCGGAGCGATGTGCGAGGGTGCGAAAATGCGGAATTTGGTGGTATCAAGGCGATAAAGCTCATCGGACGAGATGACGAATCCCTGACACTGCTGACGAGGAAGGAGCGACGACACTCGTCCGAGGCCGCAACTTCCCATACTCGAATCGCACTTTTGTAGTCGTCATCCGTCACATGAAACATCTCGTCCAGCAGACTTTTCTTGAAATGCCGGGACCTGCCACGACTAGCATGCCACAACACTGCTTCCGAGACGTGATTGAGGATCCTACTCTTTGGAACTTTCTGCAACCTGCAGCAAGCTCAGGACGTAATTCTCAAGAAGCCAAAAGTAAGGTTAACCAACAACCCACTGAGCACAGAAATTTGCATGCGCCTCGTCCAAACGCCTTCCTCGCGCATCAACCAACACGCAGCTGCGATGGGCCAAAAGAAGCCCATGAGATTGCCCCAAAGCATATCCTCAAGTCCGCCCTCTTCGTCCGATCCTGTTGCTCCACCGTTTGCAGCATTTGTAGGATCGTTCTCGAGCCATCTTTCTTCGAGCGATCGAAGTTCATCTCCTGTTGGCATGGTGTCCGGGGTGTGGGTGTGTGCTTGGATGGCCATGAATTGTGCGCGGAGGTTGGCTACATCGCCAGGGGAGAAGCCAGCAGTAAGGAGGCGGTCGAATCCGCGAGGAGCAGGTGTGGAGGAGGTGATTGTAGCATCTTGACTTTGTGCTGGAGCACTCTGAACTTGAGCATCGGTCAAGAGTGCCTTGTCGGCAGTCTCAGCGGCCTCTGCTTCGGAAGTAAGGTCTTCTGGACTGAGTTCGTCGCCGATTGAGCAGTGAATGTAGACCCTAGACACTGTGCTCTCTGCAGGTTCCTTGCCCTTGGCCTTGACTTTTGTTCCAGCTGAGTCTTGTTTCGCGCGAGGAGGTGGTGGAGGGATATTGATGCACTTCGAGAGTGCCGTCGCATCGGGGAGCACTTTTCCCGCAGAGATGAGGCGTAGGCGATTTGCAGAGTACGAGGCAGGCAATTGTGATCTGATCTGTTGCCGCAGACCCAAAGGTGTAGTAAGTCTCGCGGAAGGTATCCTTATCACGACATCTGGAATAGCAGCGGTGAATCGAATGACCAGATCGACTGGCTGGTCGTAGGACGTCTTGCTCATCGTGTCGCCTGGAATATACGATATGAATGTTCGGCTTCGGTCGTATCTACAGCATATTTTGCGCGTCACAGCGACGCATGTGTCTATCTCTCTAGCATGGTCGAAGGTGAGGATGGTGTGAATATCTCTGCGACAAGATGTTTGTTGCGGTACGCATTGAGGACATCTCGGCCATGTCTTAACTCCGAAAGCTAAACGTCATCAAAATCACGACGTGCCTCATCGTAACGAGAACCTCAGTTTGGACATACAAAGAAACATCCTTTAAATACTCCTTATACAGATCCTCAAGATGCCGATCGTACACATTGTCTTGTTCAAATTCAAGGAAGGCACCGATCCGACGGTGGTTAAGGATGTAAGTGGAGCTTCGTCGATAGTCATTGTTCGTTGATCGCTGACACCAACACTCTCAAGATATGCGATCGTATGATTGGACTCAAGAACACTTGCATCCATCCCGATACACAGAAGCCGTACATGCGCTCATACGGAGGAGGAAAGAACAACAGCCCAGAGAATGCTGCAGTGAGTGATGTTTTTGATCAGACCAGGGTTACTCTGCTAACCAAAACAGCATGGCCTCCAGTATGGGTTTGTCTCAGAGTTTGACTCGGAGACCGACAGAGACTACTACTTGAACAAGGACCCATCTCATCTCAAGTTTGTAGAAGACGTGGGCAAGATTGTCGACATGGCTACCGTGTTTGATTACGAGCCCGGTGTACTGTGAGGGGCCTCGATGAAGATGTAGTCATGGACATGAATGCCAAGTAGCGATGATTCAAATACCGCAAATCGAACGAACAGTACAGTCAAGCCAAAGAGTGTCAGCAGTCCAGTGATGGTAAATAGAGCAAAATGATATGTCGAACCTCCAAGCGGAGACAACAATGTGTGTGCTTGTTGGCCACGGCGTTTGCAACAGGACATTGCTCGGGCATGCCAAGACCGACATCCAGAAATCGCAATGGACTTTTGGATGGGCAATTGCAGACAACGACTGGTTCGCGCATTTTCTTTGGGCCAAACAACTTCGAGGCCCGATTATACAGATTGATCACTGTCTTCGAACCAACACACATTGCCACCGCCACAATGTTCGCCTCTCTCCGGCCTCAGTGCCTCCACGCAGCGCCCGCCGCCCGTACCTTCACAACCAGCGCAAGCCTCGCCTGGAAATCACACAAGAACGCACTCGCCGAAGTGCACGCCAACGTACCGCCATACCCACACGGACCCGCACGATGGTTCAAGCAATCCGACAAGGGTCTCTACGGCGGCCAGCGCATCCAATTCGGCAACAACGTATCACGCAAGACCGAGATCAAGACACGAAGGAGCTGGTACCCCAACATCAAGCGCAAGGCTCTTTTCTCAAAGGCTTTGAACCGTCGCATTCGTGTTCGCGTTAGCACCAGAGTTATGCGCACGATCGACAAGGTTGGAGGATTGGACGAGTATCTGCTGGGAGACAAGTCGGCACGCATCAAGGCGCTGGGTATGGAGGGCTGGAGGCTGCGTTGCATGATCATGGCGACAAAGACTGTACAGAACCGCTTCAACGAGCAGAGACGTGCGCTGGGTCTGCCCGAGGTGGACTACGAACTCTTGGCCACGGAGCTGAATCAGCTACCCGACGAATTGCTCGACGCCGAGATGTCAGGAGAGCCTCTCGAGTTTGGAGTTGAGGAGGATCAAGGAGAAGAGTTTGAATCTGTCGATGTTCTCGGTGCTGAAGCAGCAGCAGAAACTAGCAGACCAGAGCAGTTCCAGCAAAGGGTGGATGAGGCCCTGTCCAAGAACTGGGAGCAAGCAAGGTAGAGAGGATGTCATGGGCATCGGTATTTCTTTTCATGTACATTAGGGTTGGAGCAAAAGATTGTACAATTTGATCGTTCTGGGATCGATAATCTCAACATAAGACAAGATGGCCACAAGATCAGACGTGTATGGTGTCTCTTGGGAACGAACCTGATGTGTGCTCAGTCGAAACAATCAGGTCCAAGCTACAATGCATGAATCGACGGAGAATATCATTTACCTATGTAATCGGACAGGGTGGCTGCGGAGAAGGAGTTGGCAATGCGGAACAAACAGCTCGGCCAAGCTCACAGCCCATGACGCGCGGTGATTGGCAAGGAGAGAGTCAACAATTTCTCGACAAAGACGAAACAAACGACTGGACGGCGAGTCACACCAGACGACGCATGACTTGACACGCATTGAACGATCCGTCCTGCTCATCATGGCACCACGCACATACAACCCATGCTCCTACCTGCCACGGCGGCTGCAGATAGTGACCAGCCTGGCGCTATTTGTCCTTTTCTGCATAGCCCTATTCGGCCAATCCACCGTCGACGTGCCCTATCGCGATCAAGTCAATCAAGGCGCGCGAAAAGTCTCGTCATACCTACCCAAGACACCGAGTCTCCCCCAAGGCCTGAACATTTTTAAATCGCCGGCACATTCACCACCTCCCGAGCAGGCCAACAGCACCAGCGGCGAGGCACGATGGTTCTCCGACTGGAAGTGGATGAATCCCTTCTCGTCTTCCATCACCCTCGACGAGAACAGGGCGGTGCTACCCCCTCTAGCAAAAAGACCACCCGTCTATACATACTTTGACGCCGAATGGTACAAAGACGAGACGTCGCTCGAGTCTGTCCACCACCTTCTGCTGATCTGGAGACGCGCGTGGTGGGCTCAAGGCTTCAAGCCTGTTGTTCTAGGTCGCCCTGAAGCCATGAACAACCCTCTGTACGCAAAAATGGCCACTTTGCAGCTGGAAGATGACCTTAAGACGGACGTCATGCGCTGGCTCGCATGGGGCAACATGGGCACTGGTGTCATGGCAAACTACGTCGCATTACCTATGGCCCCGCATGACGATCCTCTGCTTGCTTACTTGCGCCGTGGTGAATATCCCCAGCTCACGCGATACGACGGTCTGGAGAGTGGTCTGTTCGACGGTCCTAAAGATCAGATCAACAAGGCCATTGAACAAGTCCTCAGTGCCAAGAAGCCCATCAAGGCCAAGTCGGTCATCGAAATGCTAGACAAGGATACCATCCACGTCGATAACAACCAGAAAGCCATCGCCTTCTACTCGAGCAAGAACATCGCCAAATACTACAAGCCCATTGCTGAGAAGCTGGCATCCGACGACAAGGAAGTGAGCCGTGAAGGCCTGCGTCTGCTACCTCAGCTCATCATTTCGCATCTACACACGACTTGGCAGAACTCGTTCAGCAGCGGCATCGCCGTCTTGAAGCCCCTACCAGATCACATGTTCACCCTGGTCAAACCGGCCATCGAGCTTGCTCGCAACCTGTCCCAATGCACGGAATCACCACAGCCTGCTTCTTGCCCACCAAATCGCGAGAAGTGTGTTCCCTGCGTAAGCAGCCACCCACTACTTATCAGTCAGCCCAAGATGTTCCGCAACACTTCGGATCTCTTCACCATCGGCACTGTGCCTCATCCCTACACCATGACATCTCTGCAACATCAAACAGATTCCTTGACCATCCGCTTCATCCGCCGCACAACAAAACGCGACGAATGGCTACTAGCCGCAACCAAAGAGTTCTTGGGTACCGGCATGAGCAGTTTCGCCCGCATCCCTCACATCAAAGATGCAGTTGCCTCCGACTACGGAAGCGCGCGTTCCCTGTGGCTCACGCCCGACAACCTTGCCGAGGAAAACAACGCCCAACTGCATCGCGATCTCGCTTGGTCGCTAGGCTTCCCCGTGCCTACCCTCGAATCCACACTCGACAACGGCCGCTCAGAAACACCCGTGCCAGGCCCTGAACGTCGTCCCCCTGCCCCCAAACCCGAGGGTAAGATCCCCGATCCAGTTGAACTTGTGCACGAAGGCACACTGCTCGAAAAAGCAAGATTGGTGCTCAAGAGCAAAGGTCCCCGCAACAGCATTCCCATCAGAGATGCAGTGGAAGCTTGGAACCTGGCGGACACCGAGGTGTGGAGATTTGTGCGTGCTTGGAATGCCAGAAGGACTGTTGAGAGGAGAAAGTGGGAGGATGAGGAAAAAGCCTATGCGGGCACTGAAGGCAGCAAAGGTAGTTGGAGTCGTTGGTTCGACAGAGATTGATATGACCAGAGCACATGTAGCGTTTTTAGCAGATTGTAGTTTTCTGGGTATGTTTTGGCTTTCTATAGATTTTTCTTTTTTTTCTTTGGTCCCCTTTGCCTGTGCCTCTCTGAGCGCAACGTTTGCATGGACGAATATGTTCAGTTTCAGCCTTGATGATCCAATACCTGCGTGATCCGACAACAATACTCTACACCTCCCCTCTATACTCCAAAACCAACGGACCTCCACACCACCCTCTGACCTCCTCCAACCCACCCAACACATTCCCATCCCCCAGAACTTGCAACCTCAACTCCACCTCACCAAAATAATTAGCTTCTGCACTTGTCTTCACGAACCCGACACTCTCGAACAAATTAACACTCTTGACATTCTCCTTGTTGATTTTGACACGCAGGTAACGCAGATGTGCCGCTGTCTTGGCTTTTGCGTATTCGTCGAGTATGGCAGCAGTGTTTGTGAGAATGTAATGCAGGAAAGCGAGGAGTGCTGCGCGTCCGTGTCCTTTGCGATGGTGGGATTTTAGGGCTATCATTAGTTCGATTTCGCCGACGATGGTGTTGGAGGCGTTGGTTTTGTGCTTGTTGTTGGTTCGGTCTTCGTCGTCGTCATCGTCGTCGAAGAGGAATAAGTTTATGTCTCCCAGCATGGCAGAGGGTGTGTCGTTTTCTTTTGGTACGATGGTTGTAGGGATGGGAGAGGGGGGTAGACAGGCGATGAAGGTTAGTTTGTCGTGGTCCTGGCGCCAGGATTGTTGCATGGCGTATTCCTCGGGTAGACTCAGAGGTTCGGAGGCTGTGAGTTCTTGGAGTTCCTTTGCAGTTGTTGGTATGGATTCTAATTGCTGATGGAGAACTGGGGATATGAATGACAAAATGGTGCATAGGAAGATGGGAGATTTTTTTCTTTTTTTTTTTTTTTTAGAAAGGAGTCTGATGGTGCGAAGGAAGTAGACGGAGTGTGATGATATCGACATACCTCGTCCTTCATCCATTCGTGATATGTGGGTACATGATGTTCGCTGTATGGACACAGCAAAATCTGAGGGGTTACCAATGCTGCGTGCACACATGTTCAGATTACCACATCGACGATACGCACTCTCATATAGTTTCTTACCAATATGCTCGTTAAGCAACATGACGCAAAATGGTGTCTTGAAAAAGTACAGTGAACGGAACCAAGTTCCTCATTCCGACAATTCTCAAGCCCGCCAAGACTGGTCGTCTAGAGTTCATCAAAGAAAAGAGTTTCGAGAGACCCCCCATCTTGCATACCATCACACATGGGAAGACCAAGTCCAGGAGCATCAAATACGATGGATAGTCTCGCAAGTACATAGACAAGTGACTTGTTCCTGCCAGTAAGTATTCGCATTGGCGCATCGCGACCACCCTCCATGATGACTGAAATGGTGGCGTCATTCTGCTCCCTCTACATGCCTTTTCCCTTGCTATCTCCACGATCACTTTGTTGTTTCACATTATCTTTTGTACCAGCTATTTTGTAGCAATAGCAATACCCTCAGAGCACGATAGCCATACCCAATATGCCTCATATCCTCGTTACCGGCGCTTCCGGATTCCTAGGACAGGCAGTCATCACAGCACTACAAACCGCACATCCAACCTGGCCACTAACGAACCTGGACTTGCGCCCTCCACCAATTTCTCAACCCAACGTCACATACATCCAAGCAGACATAACCCGCGCCTCTGAAGTAGACTCAGCCATCCCTGAAGCCAACCCAGATGCCATCATAAACGTAGCAGGTTGGGTACCCAACGGCAGCCTACGCTACAGCAATTCTCCGGCCCTGCGCGCCAAAGTATTCGCCACAAACCACCTCGGGACACTAAACGTGCTTGGCTCGGCGCAAAAGACAACATGCAAAGCTTTTGTACACACGTCTTCGTGTACAGTGCTCTCCGACGACTTGGACCACGACTTTCCAAACATGACCGAGGATATGCCCATCGGTCGTGCAACTCTAGCATATGGAGCGTCAAAGGCACCCGCCGAACTCGCCGTCCTCGCCGCCAACAACGCCTCTGCCTCGTTCAAAACCTGTGCGTTGAGACCTGCGACTATCATCGGGCCTGGAGACACTTATGGCGTAATCGCCACCATGCACGCCTGCATCGCCAATGGCGAAACACCGTGGATAATTGGCAGCGGAGACAACATGTACGATTTCGTGTTTGTTTCGAATGTGGCCGATGCACATGTTCTCGCACTTGAAAATTTGCTTTCTGCAACTCCGGTGCCGGGGGATGCTGCAGGACAGGCTATTTTTGTGTCGAATCAACAACCGATTTACTTTAGAGACTTTATGTTGGCTGTTTGGAAGCAGTTCGATCACGTGCCGCCGTTTCAACTGAGGATACCTACGTCGTTGGCTTGGTTTGCTGGGTTGATGGCAGAGGTCAATGCGTGGGTGATGGGAGGCAGGGAAAGTGCATTGAGTAGGGGTAGTGTAAGGGATGCCGTGGGGACGAGATATGCGAGTAATGAAAAAGCGAGAAGGATATTGGGATACTATCCACGAGTCGATTTTGTAGATGCCGTCAGGCTGGCTTGCGAGGTAAGTTACACGTATCGCCTTGAGGATCTGAAGGGGTGTATGCTGACAAAAGGACACCAGGACTACAGACGTATCTTGAACGACAAGGAGAAAGGCAAAAAATCTTGATTTCGTGTTGGTCGATAAGCACCATGCCAACAGTAAACGGAGAGGAATAAAGATAATGCTTGGTATATGCACAACGTCTAAACAGCAAAATACTCCACATCCAGATCGTACACGCCACAAGTCAGCTGAAAAACTGTATATCCTCGTCCGACTCTGCCACACATAAACAGTTTTGAACGGCAGATTAGTATCAAGGCGGCCGAGGATCCAGATGAAAGGAATTTGGATGGGGGGAGAGAAGTTACTGCAGAAAGACATGAGATTTTGATGTCTTTTTGTAAAAGTGAGCAAAGAAAAGCAAAAAAAAGGCAGTATTGATTGCGCTACGGCAGAGCACAGGTACTACGGTGAGAGGCTAGTTGGCAGAACGAAAGCACTGTGAATCGAGTCGAGACCAAGAAGTATGCACTTTTTCTAATTACCGATCAGCTATGTACTCAAGAACAACAAGCCAGCCCTCGAGACAAGCCTCTCCAGCCAATAAGACTTGGCATCGACTATCAAGCAAGAGCACAGTTGTCTTATACCAACCAAGCTCAATTAGGTCTCAAAGGCTTCCACGCAGCCATCCCATCCTCCTCATCATCCAACAAATTCTTCTGTGCCTGTGCTTTCCCCTGTCCTAACCCCGTCCCTCTCCTCGGCGGCAACGGCGGTCCATCCTCCCCCTTCACCTGCGTACTCTTTGCACTAAACATACTCTGCGCCCCACTGGTCTGTCTGCTCCAGCTCTCTATCCCCTTTGCATTAACCTCCACCGTACTCCTCCTCGACGGCGGCAACACAGGCATACTCACACTCTTTGCAACAACCGGCGATTGCTGCTGCACAGGCAGTGTATTGATTCTCTTCGGCAGTTTCGGGGCAAACGCTTCATCTCTGGTGCTACCAGAGGGAGATTCTGAGCGCAGAGTAGACGGCTTTTTGGGGACTGGAGGTGCGGCTTTGCGAATGATTGAGTGCTGGGATGCTGTAGAGGGTCGGCGGGGGAGACGTGGTGGTGCCGGATCTGCTTCGGAGATTGGGTCGTCGAGGAGACTGGGTTGGTAGGAAGAGGTTCGGGAGGGTGCTGTAGGCTGTGAAGGTTGGTGTGGAGGCCATGCTGGAGGTAATTTTCGGCTTCCTGCTATTGCTTTTCTCTCCAAGTTTTCATTCAATGATGTCGATGCTGCCGAAGTGTTGCGTTCGCGGACGGACAATGAGCGTGGGGGTGGTGGATTGGGTCGAGGTACTTTGACCCAGTCGGGCTCAGTAGTAGCACTGAACGGATTGGGTGCTCGTTGCGGATTGCGGACGTGTCCGTCGCTTGGAGGTTTCACCGTCGAGCGAGCCGGCATACCATTGTCCAGCCACCATTTTCTTCTGTCCGAACTTGCTGGCGGCAAGCCAGGCTCAATGGACTCATAGCCGAGTAGATCTTCGTCATCGCTATCGTCAGCTCTCGTGGCAGTATGCCCACCGACTACAGCACGTCTGTGTTTGTAGAGTCCTTCGCTGATTTCTTGCTTTTTCTTTTCATCAATGACGGTGATTGTGCATTGGAAAGTGGCGTAGACAGGTCGATGGTCTGAGAACTTTAGAGGTGCAGTATTGTAGTGTATCTGACGCAAATTGTGGCCTTTGGTCAAGACACGATCACACCATGCAGGGATGCGAGCTTTGTCGCTGCTGTCATATTCATCCGTACCGACATCGTATTTGTATGTCGGCAAGAAAGTGATTCTGGCCTCGTTGTAGTATGGGAAGGTCTTGCCATGAACCATCTGGAGATTGAGCTGTGACTGGTCAGTACAAAGATGCTTGATCAAACCAAAACACAACTTACCTGATCGTTTTCGTAGAGTTTTTCGAGGTCGCCCATCTTAACCAGCTGCCTCGTCTTCTCATTGGCCATCCCGATACGATAATTGAAGTCGCCAAGCCAGATGATGGTGTCGTGATCTTCAATTGACCTATTCCTTGCAAATCGAAGCCCATGGCTGATCGTTCGGTAGTCCTGGTTCCGCTCCTCGTAATTGGCAAATCCTGCAGCCAAATGTGCAGTGACCAAGCAGATGGATGTGTTGGCATACTCCATACGGATAGCCACAGCACCCTTGTTGCCTGCCATACCGGACATGCCGGTCTTCTTCAGAGCACCTTCCACATTCTTTATATATGGCAGAATGCTCGCTTTGACAAAGACAGATAGAGAGCAACCGACCAGCTGTCCACCTCTCAGCATGACATATTCTTCCGATCCTAGAGTTTGAGCATGCTCATTCAACGTCGTCTTGACTGCATCCTCCCATGCTTGTCTCCTATGAGGATCCGTAGACATGATCTGTTGAGGACTAAGATCGACGATCTCTTGAAAGCCGACAGCCACAATCTCGGGCTGTTGCTGAGAAAGATCGACAGGTGGACACAGCCAGGGCGAGAGATCCTCAGACAAGCCCCTAGTTTTGCCATTGAGGTTGAATGTACCAACATAGATGTTGATATTGTCGCAAGCTGAATACTCGTTTGTCCTCTTTGTAAGCTCTGCAGAAACCCAGTCGTTGATAGGGTCGAAGAGATGAACAGGAACTTGCTCAACCAAACGACCCAAGAGCATATCAATGACGTTTTGTCTGCCTTTGTCCTCGAAGTTGTTGATATACAATCGAGTTGCACTCTTGCGGAAGTCTGCAAAAGCGCCCGCGATAGACGACTTGCCATGTCTGGTGAACGAGGACTTTAGTGCTCCGGTGCCTGCATAGATTCGAGACAAGGCATCACCGTTATCAGCCCAGAGGGTTCCATGTCGAACCCAGAAATCGTTGGTTGCTGTCCTCTCGCCTCGCTGGTTCAAGAACTCTTGGATAGCCATTTGACTGATGAGTGTCTGTATCAGGTTCGTCCTGTCCAAACAGTCAAGACAATTCGTACGGAATACGCCTTCCTGCTGTAGAATGCCCATGTTCCTTCGAATAACCGATTGTGGCCTACCGTTGGCATTCTTCGGTTGATCATCTACTTCTTCGGAGAGAAAGTAGGCAAAGTTTTCGATCGAGTCCTGGACGTATCTTCTGATGCCCTTTGCTGCTTCGTATCCAAGTGCGCGAGTCTCGGCGTGGAAATCGTAGTCAGTCTCTTTGATGAGCTCGTGGTCTTCAACCTCTTTTTCCCCGGGCTCGCCAGAAGGCAGATTTAGAGGACTGTTACGAACATGGGATTGATACCTCCGACTGAGCTCGAGTTCACCAGGTTTTTCATTGCTGAGCAAATTGACTACGTGGATGTTGCCATAGGTGATCTCCAGGTCAGACATGTGTTTGTCGAATGCAGGTTGTGATGCCTCAGCAGACCGAGTAAGCTGTATCTTTTGCTGTCCTGGAGTGAAGCCTGCTGCTTGTTCCCAGAACAGAGGAATACTGCCTCGTACTTGCACATAAGAGAAGCTTGTACCTGCAGGCGTAGAAAAGATGACCTCAGTCTCGACGAAATTGGCAACATTGCCATCGTCGTCAATACCTCGTGCATTGAAACGAGTACCAGCTCTACGGCAGGATAGACGAGATAGCAATGTTAGTGTGGAAGGAAAGCCAGAAGATGTGTGGCTGATCGGCGAAGATGCAGGGGGAACTGTTAGGGTCATGGCAAAACCGCGTATCGCAGATGTCAACATGCGAGAAGCATCCAGATCTCTTCTTTCTCGCTCTGATAACCTGGAGCGAAAGCTGACCAGTGGTTGGATCATGTATGAGTTCCATAGAAAGCCGGCATCCAGACTGTCGATTGCAACAGTTGCTGACAATGATGATCTAACATAAATCAGCTTTGTATTGTTTGATAGAGATGTCGATTGACACACCTGTCTTGGAGACGTCTTGTCAGATCGAAGTCTGCGCTGTAGTAGAAGGTGCCTCCACTGAGCAGTTTCTTCATGGCCATGCAAGGGTGTTCCATGGCAGGATCTCTAGCATGATAATGGTCGAAACCATCTTCATCGACATCGTCTGTCGAGAAGTTGTTGATACGATCCAGAACAAGATAGTCATAGTCGGACTTGTTTATGCAATCTGGTCTTGATGAGCAATAAATCCGCAAGAAGACTGAAACTACAAGACTCACGGAACTCGACGGAGGTGATCTTTAAGACGTTCTCGCCATCCCTCACTGTGGCAGCTCTTTGTGCTCCATTAACAACGCACAGAAAGATATCGCCGTTGACCGTGATCAAGCCAAGTGTTCCGAACACCGAAAGAGAAGTCAATGATCGAAAATCGGTGGTATCAGTATCAGCAGTCTTCGCAAACTCGACCATACATTTTGGCTGCAGAGTCGCGCTTTGGGTGGAGTTGACGGAAAGCGAAGAGGCGCCAGCAGTCGAGGGACTATGGCGGAAGGTCAAGATGTGGTCATCAGTTGCCAGTGCAATCGCGCGATGAGGATGGTCCCTCAGTAACACACGGATTGTCATGCCGCATGCTTTGCAATTAAGAGATTCCTAGTAGAAAGTGGATGCGATATTATCGTAGGAAGTAGGCAGGTTGGTAGGCATATCTAACCAGGAGATGGATTAACAATGGTTTCGGAACGTCAGCTGACGCCGGGATTGTTCTACAGAACGTGTCTCGTGAGTGAGGATAACTATGGATATATGTCTGATCGATTGGAAGCAAATCGATGCTGGGATGCGGAAATCCAAACGTCTGTCTTATGTGCTCTTCAGTCTGACGGAAAGGAGGTTATATGGAGAATACAGAGACGAAGAGGTGGGTTTGAGACTCAAGCTTCACAAGTTATTCAGGAACAAATGTAAGGCCAGGCATTCATGTTGCCAAAAGATGATGCCAGACACATGTAAGACAGAAATTCATTATTATGCAACTTGCAGTGTGATGGGGATAGATGATATTGATACAAGAAGATAATTGAACGCCCTTAACCATGCTGCCTCTGATGATGGCCCATCAACCAATGTAACCATGGCGACTCCAGAGTATTTCCTTTAATAAACATCCTTTTTCATTTTGTACATGTGTCTGAGATGATACGGAGAGGTGGGTTCAGTGACTGAGGGTGGATCTCTTCTTCAAAAGTCTTCTCTTGATCAGGTTGCGACCGTTTCTCGTGCGAATACGGGCAAGGAAACCACTTCTTCGCTTCCTCACACGGTGTGAGGGGTCAAATGTGTCTCTCTTGGGGCCTCTGGCCTGCAGAAGGGTGAGTGTGGTAGAGGCGGCTGGCAGAGTTGGGAGCTCGAGGGTGGTGTTGAGTGATAATGTCGAGGTTGGGGTAGTGGGAAGCGTTGGGCGTCTAGATGACAGCAATGAGAATGTGCGACTGCGATGCCTGGTTAGCGGGTATGTGGAACGAGGTGTAGTGTGGGAGACGTGCGATTGTGCGGGTTGCGATGCGGCCAGAGGGCGAAGAGTCGACTGGAGCAGCGGCGTGGTCGAGGCGAGACTAAGCGAAGGCCGGGCTTGGGCAATATGCCGTGTGCAGTGTAGGAACAGCATGACGGGCGGCGACAGACTGTGGTATGTGTATGTGAATGTGTCAAGGACCTTGCTGTCGCTCCTCTGAGCTGCATCAATCATGATCCAACACGACGCTCGGGCCATCAAAATTTCTCGGCCTCCAGGTCTCCAACTTTCGTAAATCCCAGTTCTGCTGCGCAATTGCATCTTGCCCTTTCACAGACTCACAATGGCCTCGACAACTCCCTACCCGCCGCATCGCTCGCACCCTTCGACGCGTATCTCTCCCGAAGATGCCTTCGCGTCGCTGAGCACATTCATCGCTGCTTCCGAATCTACTCCTTGGCTCCACCCGGATGCTCGCATCACTCCCGATGACATCAAATACTCGACCAACGGTGGTCCTCAAGGAGGAATCATCATGCACCACCTCCGCCGTATCGAGAAGGGTCTGAACGGCGAGATTCTCGCTCCCGAACCTGACGACATCTTCGACCTGCCCGAAGGTGACGATGCCAACCTCGACAACCTTGCCGGCTACCAGTCTACTCTGGACGGTGGTCTCAAGAAGGGTGCTCTGAAGAGATTCGAGGAAGAGGGAGAGGACCCCGAGGTCTATGCACGCAACCAAGAAATCCTCGAGGGCGAGGTTGGCGACAGAGACACTAGTCATGCTCAGGCCAGCTACGACGCTGACGCTATGGATGTCGACGATGAGGCATATGCTGGTGTTGGTCTGTCAAAGGCTGAGAGAGACGCCAGAAAGGAGGCTAAGAAGGAGAAGAGGAAGGCCCTTGCGAGAGATAAGGCTGCGAAGAACAGATCAGAAGGTTGATCCGTCCACACCCACCTGCCTCGAACATCGAACATACCCTCTTTTCTTGGTCACCAAGCTCAATGATGAGCGATATCATCACGCACCGCTAGGATGGATCATCTTTCTTATAACGAGGGCTTGTGCGTCCTCGACACGATTTCTTTTACGACACAGCTGTACTACAGCTCACGACCAGTGGCCTCGCCCGTCTTCTCCTCCAACACTTCCTCCTTTTCTTGCGAAACCTTCTTTTCGCTGGTCCAGCCAACGGCCTTCAGGCGTTCTGTGAGGATTGGGTGCGAGTAATGGAAGCTAGAGTACATCCAGTCGGCATCCATGCTGGAAAGGTTCTGGATCTGAAGCTTGATCAAAGAGCTGGCCAGCTCAGCCGAGTAACCGAGCTTGAGCGAGAAGTTGTCTAGAAAAAGCGTGTCAGCACAAATTTACATAATCCCACACTTGTGTGATAACATACCAGCTTCAAACTCCATTCTTCTAGTCATGATGTTCATGAAAAGCTTGATGACAGAATCCGTGGGTGCCAGAACTTCGTTGAAAAGGATGAACCCAATCATGATCGGTCGTTCGTGAGTGAAGCCAAAGGCATTGTATAGCGAGTGGTTGTTGATGAAGACGGAGAAGAGAGTGAACATGTAGAACAATTGCGCCTGCGAGAGGAGAAGCAACTTGGTTGTGTGTCCCATCTTCCAGTGACCCAGCTCGTGAGCAAGAACAGCCTCGATCTCCTTGGTGTCAGACTTCTCAATCAGGGTATCGTAGATGACAATCTTCTTCTTCCAGGGTAGACCGGTGAAGTAGGCGTTACTGTGAGCACTGCGCTTGCTGCCATCGATGACCTGCAGTTCCGAGAGAGGGAAGTCGAGACGCTGCGCTAGAGCCTCAACGGCGACCTTGAGCGGACCAGGCTCGAGAGGAGTGAGCTTGTTGAACAGAGGAACGATGACGATGGGATAGATGGTGATGGCGAAGAGCTGGACACCGAGAGCGAACAGCCAAAGGTAGTAGAAGAACTTGTCACCAGTCTTTTGGATGATCTTCAAGAAAGCCCAGCCGAGCGGAACACCAAAGGTAACAGAAAGCGCTTGTCCCTTGAGCAAGTCGGAGACCCACAGACCGACAGTCTGCTTGTTGAAGCCGAACTTCTCCTCGAGGACGAAGTGGTGGTAGTACGAGAGAGGCAGACTAAGGAGCGTCTCGATGAAAGATGAGGCGAAGACGAAAAGCAGCGAGTGGGCGATTTCTCCTTGACAACTTGCAGGAAGGTAGCGAGTAAGAGCAAGACCGGTAAGAGCCCAGAATCTGGGATAGAAATCGTAGCGGATGACGGCGAGAGACTTGAGCTGAGAGATGGCACCAGAGACGAAGCCATACTTGGCTTTTGCGCGACCGTAAGCCTAGAATGTGGTGGTTAGAAGAGCGTGGAGACGGACAAGCGATGTATACAACACACCTGACTCTTGTCGAATGTGGCCTGGTCGACTTCGTTTTGCAACTGCTTGGGAACCTTTGTCCCTTGCAGCACACGGTACTGACGGAATGCCAACCAGTTCTCCAGAAGATACTCTCCCAAACTGAACGAGATGATAAGGGACTTCCAGGGGAAGCCTGGGCGATCAAGCCATCCGGCTAGGCGAGACAGGAAATCCATCATCGCAACCTGAGATGAAAAGTGTCTTGTGAGGACAGAATGCAACAGCAAAGTCAAGGTACAGACGAGAGTTGGCACATGCGTGGGCCAAGCAAGACGTTTGATCCCGAGCCCTTGTTTTGAAACGCCCGAGGCCCCGCAGCAGCAAGCTCTCTCCAGAAGAAAGCCGTCACAAGGCAGAGCTCGAGGCCTCAGAAGCGGACATGGACTCCCAATCAATATACCAAGATTGGGGATGCTGTCGCTGTGCCACGTCGGGCGTGTCGGAAACCAATCATGGGGCTGGTGTCCAATGATTGCCGCCGCCGCAGATGCACACGCACGTCACTAGCAAGTTGGCAGCGCTTACGTTCCTTTCTAGCCTGTTCTTGCTGCTTAATGCGCAGATTCACCTTCCGTAAGCATCGTGCTGCCCAAGACCGCGCACTCAGGTAGGCCACGAGAAGGCTCATCGACTCTTTCTTTCGTTTCGTCAAGTCACTATGATCGTCCAACTCTTTTGATTGTGCCCCACTCTCACTTCCAGCCTCACCACCCATACCAACCCCCTCCTCGTCACGCGAAAGACATCGAAACCATGGACGGCGCCCACGGCCAACGAAGACCTGGCGACTTTTACTTCCAGAAACCAAAGACTCCCGAACCAGACACTCCAACGGTAGGCCCTCTACGCATTCACAAAGCGAACCGTTCGACCTCGACCGCCTCAACTACATCGACTCCCTCGAGAACATCGTCCGAAGAAGCCGAGGTCGACGGCATGTCGCAGACCAGACGCCCCAGCCCTCCATACCCCGATGATCGCCTTCGTCCTCTGCAATCTGCTGCTGGCGCACAACGCACAGGAACTCCTGATGTCAATCCAGCAGGCTTGCGCCGTCAATCCTCGACTCGTGCCAAGTTTGGTGCGAGCGATCCAAACCGCCCTACAATTTCTGGCTATGCCGGCACTCCACCACCCTCTCTCACTCCAGGATTCGGAGGCAACAAAACAAAGTCTGCGCCGGAAATACCAGCCAAGGAAAAAGTAGACGACGATGATGGCCTGTTTCAGAAGCCTCCACCAAACCCTACCATACCAGCAATCCCTGTAGGCGACGAGGGAATAGCTCAGTCTACATACCAACAGTACTACCCTCCTCCAACAGCTGCCACTCTCCAGCCTCCCAGCGCTGGCATGAACAGATTGAGTTCGACTGCCTCTACATCTACCACACGCGCCCAGCGAGGTTCTCCACCACCTCCAGAGACACCTATACTCGGAAGGTCAACGGGAGGCTTTGAGCCTGCATACCCATATGCTCACAGTGCCGCGGCGTCTCGCACCAACCAGTATGCCAGCCCTGTTGCTCGTCCTTCGACCATGTCGCCATCACAGCAGCCAATCGAAGTTCCTCGTCCTTGGACACCAACCGAACAACCTGGCAGCTATCCACACGGTCCCCCGGTCGCCTTCCAGGGCGACACCGAGGTCCCTCCTGCGACAAACTACCAGAGTCCTACTCCCGCAGCTTACCAAAGTCCCTCTCTGTCGAGTCAGAATCGGGCATACCAGATTTCTCCTTCTCAGCCTCTGCAGCAATTCGTGAGCCCTCCTGTCCCACAATTCGGGGTCCCCATCACTCAATCCTCTTCTCCTGCCCAGCTTGCTCAACCGACTCAATATTTGCAGTCGCCTCAGCCCAACCAGCCTGGCTCAAGGTTGTCATTTTCGCCTCACACACATCCATTGGAGCAGGATATGCAGCGGATGCAGGTAGCAGATGAACCTCCCCCAGCATACTCGAGTGTGTCTCAGCAGAGGCTGTTCTCCGGAGCGAATACTCAAGGTTATGCGAACGAGAAGCGTCTGAGTAATGCTTCGGTGCCTAGCTCCACGTCTTCGCAAGACCCAAATCTCCGCAGACACCCAGCTTTTGCCAATAATGCTGGCCAACCAGCTGTACAACAGCCCGTGCAGCAGTCTGTTGCCTCTACTCCAGCCACGGCTCTGGCTCCTATCCAGATCCTGTCACCAAGTCCAGGCCCAAGTGTAACACCAGCATCTCCCCCACCTCTTCCTGAAGGATGGATAGCTCATTTGGATCAAAATTCAGGCCAATATTACTATATCCATCTCCCGACCCAATCTACGCAGTGGGAGTTTCCCAAAGGACCAACTCCGTTGAACCTTCAGGAACCACTCTCGCCAACTGGTACGTTCGCAAACCCAATGGCTTCCCCAGCTCTGGGTGGATTTAACCAGCCGTTGGCATCTCCTGGCTTTCCTCCACAGAGTGCTTCGTACCATCGTGACAGTATGTTGAGCATGAACAACCTTGCGAGTCCTACCGTTGCCGGCTTTACAGGCCCACCTCCAGTCGCGGGTGTGGATATGTACAAAGTCGCGCCTACGAACGGCGTCTACTTCGGTCCATACCTACGCTATACCAATATAGACCTTGAGAGAGGCCTTTGGCTCGGCTCCATTCTTCTGGTCACAGATGTACCCCAACCTCCTACCATCCACATCCACCAAAGCACCGACTTGTCTCCCAACCGTGAGTCTTGTCGACGCCTATATCGATCACTACTGACATGCAACAGCTCGTCAACTGAAAGCAAATCCAATCTATCAACATCAACGCTGGACATTTTATCGCTACGATGTCGATCTGGTCATGGACGAACAAGACACTAAGTGGACATATGCTATCACATCGCATCTCGGTTGTACCAGATATGAGTTCCTTGTTGCCGGACGCTATGAGACGAGCTGGCGCTTCATCTCTCACTCTGGCAACGACTTTGCACTCAACGTCAGTGCGAACGAAAGAGCCAAGCTGGGAGGTATTGGCCTCATGTGGAAGGATGTTCTACAAAAGCATATCGAGTGCGGTGGCTTTCACGCTCAGCTTGGTCTTGGTGGTCAAATCTTTGGTGACCGTCTTTGGAAAGAGGTCCCCGCCCTCAGACAATGGACTGCCATGAGTGGAAAGGAGAACCGCAAAAACGAAGCTTGGTCTGCAAAGCTTGAGGATGATGTGTCACACGCTTACTTCCATTACTACTCAAGTCACTTCGATCAGCCTCATGTGCGAGAAGCTTTCGCCCAAATTCCTCATGTTTTGACGCTTGACGACAATGATATGTAAAGTATCTTACCTCTGACCAGGAACCAATGACTGACAATCAACAGTTTCGATGGTTATGGCTCCTACCCCGATTATATGCAACAATCAAACATGTTCAAAAACATCGGCCGCATTGGTACCGACATGTACCTTCTGTTCCAGCATCACACAACACATGAGATTCTTCGCAACGTTTCCGGTGATCTGGATCTGTTCAGCATCACTGGCACCGGTTGGCACTTTGTCAAATATCTCGGTCCCGCGGTAGTTGTCGTTGGTCCAGACACTCGCTCTGAACGAGATTCGCACAGAGTCATGGCTGGACCCACCTATCAAGGTCTGTTTCCCAAGGTCGCCACTCTGCCGCCGAGCGTGCAGCATTGTATCTGGATGATCCCTGTGCCTCTCCTCTATCCACGACTTGAGACTGCAGAGCACATAGCACATACCATGGCAACAGGCAAGAAAGCTGTCACCGGCACGTTTAATATGCTAGGTCGAATGACAAGTTCTGTTGCTGGAGTCGTCGGCGCTAAGGGCGTCGTTGGTGACGGCTTCAGCTCGATCAAGAAGGCTGTCGGAAAGTCAGGTCTGATGAGTAGTGTGCTCAGCCCCTTCGGCGAGATTGACATGCTGGACGAGCTGCGAGATATGTGGACTCACGAATCAAAGGTAGCCAAGCTCGATTTCATGATGCGAAATGATGCTAACAACTCTCGACAGGACCTCGAGCGGACGTACATGATTCGTACTTTACAAGGGATTGCACACAACAAGTCACTCCGCATGACCTTCCTGTCCGGTAGCGTCAACGCTTGTGGTGCCGGCCTCGTCCATGACCCATCCCACCCTACAGATCACAAGACAATGTATCAACTCATCACGTCGTCGATCGTCAACGCACCTCCGCCATCCTACGTTCTCCGCCTGCTCAACAGCAACCCAAAGCAACCAATCTACATACCTCAAAACGGTCAGCGCAGTGCAGGACCACACCAACCAGTCCAGTCAAGCGACACAAAAGAAGACATGATGGAAATCTTCGTGGCAGATGTGAATGGTGCTCCCCGCGAGATGAAGCGTCTCATGGGCCGCAGAAACTATGTTGCCATGGTTGCTTATGATCCTGAAGCTATTCGGGGATCTCACGGTTCTGTTGTTTCTAGCAACAAGGGATCTAGTCGCCTCAGTCTTGCTGCTGATTTCATGGTGCAGAACGAAGGTGCGTATGCGGCGCCTGTTAAGTACGGTCCTGTCATCATTCCCAGCTTGGAGTTTGGTCGGTGAAGAGCGGGGTGGAGAGTGGTGGAGAAGGGAGGGGGTGGTCTGCATTCTTGTTGTAAGTTAGCGTTCTACTACTTGCCCTTTGTACAAGGGCGTCATTATTGCAACGACGAGTTTCTTTCGTTTGCTGTTTCCTCGTTCTCCTGAAAAATGTATCGTCAGCGATGATTTGATCTATACCACCTCCATCGCTGCTTCCTTTCGAATTCCTCTCAGTTCTCCTATCTCATCCTATGATTGCTTGTTTTTTTTTTTCTCCCTCAAGAGCAGTTGGCACGACAGCAGCAAGCCCACCTTCACCTGCTTTCAGTCCCGACCCCTGATTTCGTCACGGGGACCACTTCACCAACACTTGCGTACATTACCACCAAAGTGAGCCCTCCTTTTGACCGGCGGTGAGATGGTGCAGTGGGAAGCAGATGACAGTTATCGCTAGATGAAGTCATCTGTGACTAGCTGCATTCATCATAGGTAGTTGGTTCGATTCCAACACTGGTCACCTTCTCCTTTTTGCACTTTTGTTATAGGTCTTTCCATTCTTTCACTTTCACCCTAATCGAATGACATAGTCGTAGCTTCACTTTTGCTCCCGCAGGTCCTTCGCCCCTTGCATGATTGACTCGTTTAGATCACTACCTTCCACTCCACATATGTGAGACTACACAAGCAGGCGGATGTGCGCTTCATCTTGACTAGCGGTAAGATGGTGTAGTTGGAAGCAGATGTCAGTTACCTCCCATTTGGTATATTCATCTGTGACTAGCTACATTCATAATAGGTCATTGGTTCGATTCCAACGCTGGTCACCACTTTCTTTTTGCTCTTGCTGTCAACGCTTACACTATTCTCACTTTTTGCTGTTGTTATGACGCGTGTTTGTGGTATGGATACAAAAGGCTATGTCTTTTCTTTGCTTGGTGTTGTTTGAGAGTCACTTACAGTCAAAAGGAGATGCAGTATCTGACAAGGGCTTTTGGTCTTCTTTTGTGTATCGAGAGCCCTTGTGTGATGAGTCGCCATACTGGGGATATAGAACTGGTAGCATCATCGAGAGGCGGTTGTTTGGTTGGCAAACTTATTACCTTCATTGAGCAGAAGACAGTCAGATGCGCGTGAACAGATGGTCAAGACCCACGACTCAAAGCTCAAACACAAAACACAAACATTCACTCTCAGATTCAATTTTCACATCACTAACCTATTCACACTCGGACTCAACTCTGGAGACACCAATCCACTCTCTCCACAAAACTACTTGCGCAGTGCAATCTAGGCTGGTTCATCATCTCCTGCCCATTTGAGCAGATCGTCGACAGGTATGTTTTGCAGCATTATGGTTCATGGATATCTTCTGGGCTTACATTGATATACTGCCACACAGATTGCCCAAATCTTTGCTATACAGCTTTCGTCATCCGGCGTCGGTATCTTGTTAACAACAACCAAACTCGAAGATGCCGGCTTCCAATCCCCACGATATCTCTCAGTACTCGAAAGGATCGGCAGCAGTCCATGTCGTGTCGACCGTCGCTTTGATTCTGTCGCTATACATGATCCTCGTGATCGGTCTGGTCTTCAATTCACTCATGTTTCTTGCGGTGCTCTTTGAACCGCTCATTCGAGCTATTCTTCAGTTGGCCGTCGACCACTTTTCTTGGTTCATCATCATGATCCTCGTCTTCTACATCTTCACCACTCATATCTCACTTCCCACGCCGGTGTCAGATCCCACTCAAACCTCGTTTCAGCAAGAAAGTGGGCACAAAATCCTCGGAGACATCAAGGCAGAGACTGCGGAGGAGATCCGAGAGAGACAAGAGGATGACTTGAGATCGAGGTTCAGTCTTCGACTTTACAAGGTGCTGTTCATGGAACACATCGCTGAGACTATCGACGAACATGCCCGTGAACTCGACTCACAGAACCAAATTTAATTCAGAGGCACTCATGTGAGACACGCTATCACACAAAGCCAGTCGGAAACATTAGCTAGTGAGTCAAGTTGTGGAGATCGACAGTGAGACTATTGCAACTGTCTCGAAAACTACTGAGGGGGATGGAGGCACGAGCCGAACGATTCTGAGTGTACGGAGAGTCTCAAACGATGGCGAGACAGTTAGGGACACACAAAGGAATAACCAACATCAAGACACTGCATGTCTCATGACAGCCCACAAAATTCAGTTCAAGAATCACAATCACACCAGACTTTCTACTGTCTCTACTGCTTCATCGACCCTTTGGCAATGACTATTGCGCCATCATTGCTGGATAGCAAAGGAAAGGGTGGAGGTGGTTTGCATGGCAATGTTACACAAAGACACAGCCGACTTCCAAGACAAGACACAGTCGTATGCAAGGCACGAACATTGCTTCCACGGCCATATCAAACTTTCTCGACCCTCAAGACGACCTCCACCAACACACCTGCACGTGGAAGGCATGTCTTCGAGATAATTATCAGAAGATATCCTTGTAGTGTATTAATATGCTGCCATGGTTGCTTGAGACACTTGTCTTCACTCTTCACCAGTACATCTTGTGTAAAGCATCGATCAAACATGCTGAGGCCTGGTCTCTGCTGTATCTTCCGCGCTCTGGCTGGCCTGATTCTAGCCCCTTTTCTGTTGGCATTTATTTCAGTGTCTTATTCGCCTGTCTGACCTTCCTCCCTGGTTCACTGGCTGTCGTCTACCTGGTGCTACAAGCTTCCCTTGCTGGGAAATCGATTACGCTCGCGATGATCGCAAAGCTCTTCTTTGAGGTAGTTGGAGACATCCTTTCGCTTGTCGTCGACTGCTTTCCCTGGCTCGTTGTCGTTCTCTTTGCCATCTTCCTCGTCGCTTTGCTTGCCGATCTCATCTCCGGCAGATCCGACTCGACTGCGTCCAGATGTGACTGTCAGTACTCTCCATTCAGAGACTTCAGAGAAGAAGTCAAGAGGAGAGAGCTAGAAACACAAGCCAAAGGGTTCAGAGGGTACAAAGAGACGTTTATGATGGCAAGACAGCCAGGGATACACAAAGAACGAGACGACTTCTGAGACACTACGGATGTCTTGCAAGAATCTGTAATGATTGAGAACCACTTTCACACTCATACCAGCCTTTGACGGACCACAACACATCCTCTTGTCTACAAAAGGGATGCAAAACCTATGCTTTGAGATTATTTGCCTTTCTCCGTCGGCATCGAGCATTACTCGAAACAGTAAATCTACGGAAGGATCCTTGCAAATAACCTCTGGCTAATACTCTCCAGCCGCAGACAACTTCAAGCAAACGGGGTTCGGTCTTCACTGAGCTACCTCAGTCGAGAGTCCAACAAGAAACAACTCCAAAGATGCCTACCTTCCATCCCCAGAACGCCTCAAAAGTCCCTGGAAAGATCGCCTTTGTCGCTGCACAGTGCATAGTCTGCTGCTTGGTCTTCGTTCTCGGTCTGCTCATGTTGCTCGCAACTCTCTGTCTGATCATCGAATACTTTCCCTGGTTTCTCGCCATCGGCCTCCTCATGCTCATCGCTACAACTCCAGAACTCCAGCAAGGTATCTCGGCAGCAGTTGAGAGAAAGAAGAGGGAATATGAGTCAAAGTCGACACAGACATCTGAGCCTCCTGTTGCTGAGCCCGAGGCTCACATGACTCCTGAACGTCCGATCAAGATGTCTTTGCGCAGTGGCAGATTGGTTTGAGGCACCGAGCAAGCTCTGATTGGGAAGCTTTGTTGTGAGATACGGCAGCTCGACATGTTGAGAAGAAACTTCTACTGATGACTCTAGGCGCAGAAGAAGTGAGACCAAGATCACCATACCCCGTTCAGTCTCAAAGAAGAAGCCAGTATGAGATACACGGGTTGAGAGGAACTGAAATTGGCAAAAAAGGGGAGTAAAAGCGATGGAGAATACTCTCGAGATTGAGAGACCGACGATCAAGCAACGAAGCTAGACACGACACGACTTGTCCAATACTGCAGACAGATCTATCCATCAGGTGCCTATTGGCTTATCCTTGTGCGTTCTGGTCTTTTTCGTTTGTTGTCTCGTCGTCGCGACGATACAGTTCTCGGCATTCTTCCACGAGAAACACACTCACAACTCACTTCCACGTCCGCATCCACAAATCTACCAACTTTTCCATCATCACAATAAACTACGCGAGCAGCAGCATCATCAACGAACATCAACATCTCCCACTATAACCCCGACCAAACCTCACAACAACAACAACAAAAATGTTCCCCATCTTCGCCATCCTCCTCATCCTCATCCGTATCATCACCCGCACTGCCACCCTCCTCTTCAAGCAATACCACCTCCTCCAGCTGTACCAAACCCTCTGCTTGATCCTCGACCACGTCCGCCCTGCCATCGGCATCCCCATCTTCGGCATCATCACCGGAATGACTCTGTCAAACTTGTTCCCGGGTCTCAGCAACGCCGACATTGCGGTTTACGCTGGTTTCATCGTGTGCGTGGAGTGGTACGTGTACAGGGCTGCTGGCATGAGGGTGGGCGGTGTGCTGTGGTTCGTGCAGGATAGAGAGTTGCGTCGTGGTATGCAGGGATGAAGTGCGTTGCTTCTCGTTGGAACAGACTGGGTTTTGAGGAGAGTGCTGTGAGTTTTTATAGTGGTTTCATTGGGGTGGGTGCAAAGCTGATGAGAAAGGGAGCAGCAAACTGTCCGCGGGTACCATCGACGGGCCCGCTCGGGCACACGATATAACAGCAAGTTCACCAGGACCTTGGGCAAACACACAAGGGAGCCAGCACTATGCGTTGACACAGAAAGGAATGGGCATCATAGAGGAGATAATAGGAACTTGATACACAACCATGATCGATGAATACCCAGCTTTGACTACCATCAACTTCTCGTCCATTTTTGCAACTTGCGTCTAACCATAGAGAACTGTCCGCTTGCAACATCAGCACCATAAGCAAGGATGGAAATTTACTGACAGCGGCGGCACAAAAGTTTTTCCATTTCTGTGGAGCTGTATCATCTTCTTTCTGAAAAATGTATCTACAACATGACAACACCCACACCACCACGTTGTGTGGCATCAACTTGGTTCCTAGCGTCAACGCCAGAGGGTATATCTGCAGTGCGGTAGTTGAAGAGGTAGTAGTGCAACTGTCCATCTCCAGGGCCGAATTTCTGGTCGACGAGGAAGAGAGGGTTGTCGAGGAGGGTTAGGGCATTGAAGACGTCGAATTTGGCCTGTGTGAAATATCGTTAGTGATCAAAATCATCCAGTAAGGGGTGTGAGAGCAATCTTACCTGCTTGGCAAGGATCAAAGCATCCTTGACCAACAAATTCAACCTCGCCTTCAGAACCTCATCATCCGCATTCTGCGTCTCGAACGCAGCTTCGGTGGCATAGTAAAATAGGTATGCAGCACGGATAGTAGTAGCAGATTGAATGACCGAACTCTCCAAGCTGTAGAAACTAAAGAAATCCGTGATTTTTCCAGCTGTGTTTGGATCTTCGACGACGTAGGTCCACACAACGCGTGTTTTGCTCTTGGGATCGACTTCTTTGTCAACGAACCAGTGCAAAACTTCTTCCTTGTTGAATTCTTGGGCCATCTTGGTGCGCTTCATGTAGCGAGAAAGCAAATCACAGACTTGGTCCGCGTCTTCGGCTTTCATCAAGCGTAGTCCGGGAGTCACGCTGCGTTCGGGCAGACGGTATTTTGAAATCTGGCGCATTTTCGTGCTGCCATGAGGCAGATGGCTGAAACCTACACTGTAGAGTTTCTCCCAGTCGAGGACGCGGTGGAAGTAGCGACAACTGGCTACTGGCTTGGGCAAGACCACGCCAGCGGTGTATATGGCCTGGTAGATGCCCTCGAGGTTGCAGCGGCGGGTGATTTCCATGATGAGGACGGGAGCGAGACGCTTGCTGCGGAGTTTCTTGTGGACGCAGAGGAAGTTGATCTCTGCAGTGTTGACGAGGCGGTCGCGGACGTTGAGGCGGACGGGGACACCAGAGATGAAGGCGACGAGTTTGCGGGACTTTGTTGCGCGGACACCGACGTGCCATGATTTGCGCCAGCCGGGGGCTTTGAGGGCCCAGTTGAGTGTTTCGTTGAGGTAGTTGAAGCGGAACATGGCTTCGTCGTCTTCGACGTAGTGGTTGCAGAGAAGCTCTTGGACTTCCTTTAGCTCGGCCTCGTCCAGCAGGTCAATCTCGGACCACTCAAAACCAGCGACCAGAGGAGAGGGCGTTGTAGAGACCTTTGCAGGGTCAACTTCCTTGATAGGACCCTCGATAACAGGCTTCTGTGTGGCAGCAGCCTTCTCATCAAAGCGAGGGACGGGCTGAGTGGACCAGAACCTGTAGTTTGCCATATCTTTTGCGTTCTTTCCCGAGCTCATGCCCGTCATGAGGTCGGCGGCGCTGAGAGACTTGAGGAGCTCGCGCATACTGCGGGCGTCGAGCGAAGAGCCGCCCTTGAGCATGGCCTGGGCCAGGGCAGGGTTGCTTTGTACCAGAGAAGTGATCTGCGAGTCGGACAGCTTGTCAATGGTCGAGGCGGGCAGTGGGTCCTCGACAGAGGTGGGAGCGGCGGGAGACTTGGAGGACGAGGCAATGGCAGAGACGGCGTCCTTGATCTTGTTCTTCTTGGACTTTTTGGCGGGGGCCTGTGTCGAGTCGTTGTTGTCGTTGTCGTTGTCGTCTCCACTCGACTCTGCGGCGTCTTTTACGGCGTCTCGTTTGGACTGATCCTCGGCGAGCTTGAGGTGGTCGACGGCATCGTTCAGAGCTTCCTGATTGACAGGGGCGTCTATGGGCTTGGATTCTTGTTGGGGCATGTTTGGTGGTGGTTGTATTCAAGTAAACAAGTTGCTTCTGCATGTGCGCCAACATTCGAAGCTCCTGCTCCACATGGCGGGGCTGCCTGAATTCCAAACTCGGCAGTCGGCACGCCGTCACTTCCAGCCCTCTCTGCCAACTTTGCTGCAGCATAATTACCTACCCTGTGCCATCACAGGTTACTATCCACATTCTCCTTCATTGTTCCCATCCAAAAGCTGATCTTTCCATCGAGCAAACTCGACCGCGTTGCTCCAGTGACACCTTCGACTCTTGCAGCATCATCTCGGCCCCTTGACTCTACTACTTTATCAAATTCCGACTTGGTTTTTCGCTTGCAACATCACAACCTGGGAAGCCATGGTGGCTCGGAAAAATGAACTTGCCAGTCTCGAACAAAACGACAAGTCGAAGCCTTGATCCATCATCTTCTCTACTTGTCTAATCCCAGTACTTGATCAAGCCATCCAAAGCACCAGTCACAGCCTTGGACGTCTCCTTGGGCTGCCATTGCGCGGCAACAACCGCAGACTCACTCGCCTTGATCTTGTGCCACATCTTGCACGTCTTCCAATCGTAGAAGCACACATAGCCGCCGCTGTCTCCAGACATGACCATACCGCCATCAGGACTGATAGCCACGTCGATAGCATAGCCAGCATTGTTGTGTCCGCGATAACTCTTCTTTCTGTTCTGTCTGAATCTTTCCGTAGATGCGTAGACGACGATTTGGTTGTCCGAGCTCTGGAAAGCGACATACTTGCCGGATGGGTGTGGACTTGAGCGCACCATTGGGAACATGTATGGTTCAGCGACAAACTTGATGGGCACGGGGATACCGTACTCCCATGCGCGCAAACTTTTGTCGTCTGAAGTGGTAATGAAACGGCGGTTCTCGTCGCAAAAGGTGATTGTGTTGACTGGACCCAAGTGGTGGTCGTATTCTTGGATGGGTGACTCTCCAGGCGTCCTCGTGTCGAATTGAACAATTTTCTTGTCGCTCATACCGGCGAGGAACTCGGTAGCTGAGTTTTGATCGGGCTGGAAGCGGACAACGTGAGGAGTAGCACCAGTGCTGAAGCGGCTGATGCATTGGCCAGTCTCGGTGTCCCAAAGCTTCATCTGTCTGTCGAAAGAGCCCGTCATGAAGCGAGAGCCATCATAGTTGAAGCAAATATCCGAGACAGACTTTGTGTGACCAGAGTAGGTACGCAGCAACTCTCGCTGGTGGTAAACATCCCAAATCTTGACCTTGCTATCCGCAGAAGCCGAGAGCAGCAAGTGTCCGGCATCAGGGAAGAAGCGTAGTTGCGTGATTGCCTTTGTATGAGATTTCCAGGTATGCAGCAACTTCTTTGGCGCGTAATTCTTGTAGTCGTCGGGCAAATCTCCTCGTAGATCAATATCCAGATCCTGTGGTACATGCATGTACGTCCTGCCCTGGTAATCGTATTGCTGGCTTCCATGAAACTCGGTCGTCTCCTTCGAGCCATCCGACTCGACATAGGCAGTGCCAGCCTTGGAGGGCGCAGCAGGCTGCGGCGCAATCTCATCCTCCTCGTACTCGACTTCGACCTCCTCTTCACTGCCGTCGCTATCATCAGGTCTGTCGACCTCATAGCGCGCCCATGGTCCTTTGTATGCGCCTGCACCGTAGACTACACTGCTGTCGCCTTTGCCCTCTCGCTTGCGCTTTTTGGTCGGGGGTTCGTGGTTTGCTTCTGCTGCGCGGTGGGCGTTGCGAAAGGCGGTTTCCGAGATGACGATTTCGTCGGCGTGGCCAGTGGGGACTTTGCCCTTTGTGCTCGTTGTGCGTTTGGCGAGTTGTAGTTGTTGATCCATGATGTGTGTGTAGATGAATGTTTGCGATAGAAGGTGCTGCGTCACTGTTGGAAAGTTGGAGGTTGGGGCTTGTGCGCCGCGTATCAGGGTCACCTCTGAACTTTGCATTTCTGGCGATCGTTCCTCCCTTTGCTGCAACCAGCACAATCAGGACTTTCTGATGAACTCGATCATGTGAAGCTCGTCCCTGTTCAACTTTAACCTTCTTGCAGTTTTTGACCACTAATCCCGTCTCTCAAGAACATTCCCCGAGAGCAGACAGCCAACTGGATCCTTGATGTGGCTCCTGATTTATATCACAATCGAGATCATCGTGTGAATGACCTGCCCAGAACTCGGCAACTCTCGAACTTGTAGCCATGTCGGCGCAACTTTCCAACCTGCCATCTGAGGTCATCGAGATGGTGGTGTGCCTACTTGACTATCAAGAAATCTGCAACCTTCGCCTCGTCAGTCGTGCTATCGATGTCGCTTCCACACAAGCACGTTACAAGTCGTTCTTTGGCTGCAAGACAGTGGAGCTCGACTCTACCGCAATCCTCAGACCTGCCGCCATCACAAAGTACAGTTACTTTGTTGGTCTCCTCCAGGATCTCACACTTACTGGGACAGAAAAAGGTCAGGTTACGGACCGTTTTTCATCTCGAGATGCCGATAGGCTATGCATGGCGTTACGAAATCTTCGTAAACTCCACGAGCAATCCAAGCAGTACGGTCTACGAAGTCTGACTACTGGAGTCACTGAGGAAGCTTCAACCCCGTCAAGAGTTGTCTCTCGATCAACACCACGATCAGGTGCTGGTGCCTCGGCCGTCAGAACCACACTGCGTGTAGTCAACGACAGCGATATCCCTATTGAGAAGATCGATCTTTTGTACCACTCGTCGGCATACAGTGTTCCATGTTGCATCTTCAAAGGTCTCTTCGAACCAATTCAGCCCTCTACCAACTGGTCTATCTTACGCTCCTTATCGCTCAGCCTCACCCATCATGCGAATAACGGTGCAGAAGCTGGGCTTGAAGATACAGACTACGACACTTTTGACTTTGCTGTAAGAGAATCCGCTGAGGCTGGAACTCGACGCGTTCAGGCGCTGGTTCATTTTTTCTCCCTGATCCCCAACATCGAGGAACTCAGTCTGCACTGGTATGATAAGCGACTAAAGTCTCTGGCTTTCACAGTCGCCGAGGCTATAGAAAACTACTGGTTCGATCAAGTCTCTCTTGTCGTCTCGTTCCACAATCTCAAGCACCTAGTCCTTCGTGGCCTCCGCCTCTCCCAACAGACCCTTCAAAAAGTGTTAATCGCACCATCTTTGCAACAAGTCCACCTTGAGTACATTCGCCTAACCGGTTCTCTTCGTCCCATCATCGATATCCTTACCGGACCAAACACAGCTATCGCTCAATTCTTTCTCGATGACATATATACACGTGAGTTAGTGCACTTTTCAGTCGAAGGACGTCCCAAGTTCCCATGGTCGGGAAGGGTCCCGGGGCCAAGCACGGTGTTAAGAAAAGGTGAAAAGGTCAGATTACCTTTGAAGTATGGATATGCGGGTGGGCATTCTTTACTGTCGGACGAGCTGACGAACTTCAAGAGGATCAGGAAAGAAGAGTTTGGTTGGTCGTAAGGACATTAATGATGTTGCCTTAACTCTGAGTAAAACCCTTGTCCGACTTCAAGGATACTGTGCACTCTCCGGGAGCTCAAAGAGAACAAATGTCACTAACATTGCTGAAACGAAGAGATGAGCTCTTCTCCATCACCCGTGGAGGACTGACTGTGTTATCTTGCTATTGTTTTCAAACAGCCGCTTTCCTGGTAGTGTCACCGCCACCCTCGCTCACCTTGGTCTCGCTTCAATTCCTCGATGCAAGTTCATTGGTACTCCCCTTTCTTTACAAGCTTAGAGAACAGCAGTATTGTCGTTGCTGCCGCCAACAAGAACATACTTCCAAACTCGCCTCCAGTCCGCCGTTGTAATTTTTCCGCGCGCAACTGACTCTGTGGCATCTTCGTTGACTCCTCGCCCGCTTCTACCTCAACGTCGGCTCCTAGAAAAATAGTCCGGTCGTTCGCATGATTTGTTGTAGCGTATACTTTACCTTCCATCCTCAGGTTGCCTCTTGTTTCCTCGTTATTGCCGGGGCATTCTAATTGTGCTGTTTTGCTTCCTTTGTTCACAGGCACTTTTCCAGAACTACCATCGTGACTTTGTCCGCTTCGATCTGACATGTCTCGAACAAGAGATTGGCTGCTCGTAGATGATGGTGTTGAGAGTTGACCTCGATTCAGGCTTTTTGTCAAAGTCTCACTCTATAGTCCCCAGAGAGATTCAGGCATGAAATACCTTGGCTGTAGAGACATAGAATAGTTATCTTCCGACGGTCAAAAAAATATTGACTGTGCCATCGTCTCTTCCCTCGCCGAGTAGCTGGATCCTAAGCACTTCGAACAGCTCTACTTGTCTGTATCTGCCTAGTCTTTGGGTTTGATCGCTCATGGGTGATTGCTGGTTCTGCCTCTCCTATTGGCAAGTCCTGTTACACGACATGATTAGAAGCCAAGAGATGAAGATTGTTAGCACTTTCTGCTGTCAGTACACTTTTGTTCCATTGGCAATCGGTTCATCTCGTCTACTGGTCTTGCCGAAAATGTCTGCTGTGAGATTGTGGTGTGGACCTTCTTCATCGAACCCCGACAATGAGATCAAGGGCGTTCTGAATCCTTCCAGCGTTATGCTATCGTTTTGGAGGGCTGTTGATGAGAAGGAAGAAGTATTTAGTATACATGGACATGTACATTCCTTGGCCATAACTGCAAAGGCCGTACATTCTTGAGCAGCGGTATGACGTGAGCCTTAGAGGGTATCAAGGCAAGATGATCACGGTGAAAAAGATAGAGGAAAAAGAGAAAAGAGAAAAGAGTGTGTTGTTTGAATGAGGTTGTGTTTTCCCAGCACTATCAGATTCCTTCCGTCCTTCCCTTTGACCAAAAAAAACTCCTCCAATGATATGCCAAGTACAAAAAAGCCTGTCCCATGCCCAAGAACTCCTGAAATATCCTTGACTTTGCCTGCTCATGTCCAAACCCCCGATGAAGAATCCCTTCCAAATCTCCCTCCCCTGACACCCCCCACCACTCAGTCAATCCGCCAAACCCCCTCACCACCCCCAACACCCCACCAAACCCCTCAAAACAAAAGCAGCATTGATAATCCCAAAAAACAAACCAGCAAAGACAGTCTGACATCCCAAAACACTCTTTCTTTCAGCTTTTTTTCGCGATATTAGTGACCATATGCAGAAACAGCCTCCTTCCTTGCCAACCACTGACTCTCTCACCCACAACATCAAGCCAATGATTTCTGCCAGCAGCATACGTCAAATGCGGATGTTTTTTGCGTTCTCTATCACCAAGCGACTCCATGACTCCTCTCCCAGAACTTTTTTTCTTCCGCGAAAGATGAAAGGCAAGCAGTGATTTTTCCAAAGAAACTTCTTCTGCGTTGAAGGCTCTGACACTCATCAAAACACGCCGATTTGTTTTTTTTTCTTACTTCTTTTTTTGTCTTTTGGAGCATGCGCAAGGCAAGAAGAAATCTCATGTGCAGTCGAATCAAATCTCATGCTTGTATGGAGCTTTTCCCAAGTTTTCCATTTTTGTAGCAGAGATGGTTAATGCTGAGAGCCAAAAAAAAAAAAAAAAGAAGCAAGAAAAAAAAACCAGTGATCGTATGCAGTGCCCTCTCGAGTGTTTTAAAAAGCCAAGCAAGAAAAAGTTCAAAATACTTTACCCCTGAAGCCCATCTTCCACAGCAAAGAAAAAAAGTTCGGTCGAGTGCCAGAAGTCGCAATCTTGGATCCCGTTGCAGAACGTGGAATGAAGAACAAAGCCAGTGTTGGAAAAGAGGTAGACTTTCGCTGGTAGTGTTTTGCGTGTTTTTGGTGCGTGAAAGAAGTAATGAGTGGCGGATTGCTGATCTCGTTTAAAAGGCTGTAATTTGTTCTTGAGATTGTTGTTTTTCGTTGCTGTTTGATGAGAGAGAGAGATGGTGTGGTGTGGAAGTGGCAAGGAGAGCTTGTGCATCTTTTTCTGAGAAGGCAAGAAAATGTGAGAAGCGAGAAGATCCAGAAATGCTGATGTTTGCCAAAAAAGTGAAGAAAAGAAATGCTTTGCTCTCCCTGCCCCTTAATCTGAATCTGTTTGAGTGTCAGAAATCGATTTGAGAAGAATGGATGTTGAGTACATGCCCTGATAGTGCCAAAACCTCGTTTTGTTGTCGAAAAAGTCGAAAAAGAGAACTTGGTGAGAAGCAAAAGATGCGCAAAATGAGTTGTTGATGATTGAGAGATTGTTTTGATGATGAAAAACTGGTTGTTGATGAGTTTTGTGTCGAAAAAATGGTTGCTGAAGGTCTTGTTGTCGAAAAAGTTGAAAAAAGTCGAATAAAGGTTGTCGTGTGCAGCTTGTGCGACGAAGTGAATTGAAAAAGAAGTAGAAAAGAAAGAAGGATGTGTAAAATGTGCAGTTTGAAGTGGAAAAAGTCGAGTGAAGTGGATTTGAAGTTGTTTTGCTGTTTCCCTGTGAGCAAAAAGGTCAGAAGAGGTGGAAACACTCACTTTTCCAAAAAGTTGATGAGTGCGCAAACAAGTCGCGTCTTGATGAGTGCGCGCAGAGAGAGATGCTCAGTGAGAGTGAAGTCTTTAGAGAGCTGAGAGAAGTGCCTGCGCATAATGTGAGAAAAGGTAAACAAATAGTAGACATGAGCGAAAAACTTACCATGGTGAATGAGAAGTGAAAGATCTTCGAAACAGAGGTCTTGATGATGATGATGATAAGTCTTGTTGATGACAGATGTTGAAGGCTTGTTGATAAAAGTTGAAGATGGTTGACCGATGATGAAGATGGAAGACACTCAATGCCCAAGATGTGCAAGAGATGTTTGTTGATGATCCACCAGACGCGATGCGCAAAGGCAAAAGGCGCGTCGAAATATTGTTGTGCGCATGGTAGAAAAGCGCTGCGCATGGTGAAAGATGGAGTGCGCATGGTGAGAAGCAGTTGTTGTTGTTGTTGTTGTTGATGATGAACAATGCCAATGATTGATGATGAAGATGGATGGATGATGTTGATGATGGATGAGATGGATGATGATGAAGTATGATGAAGGAAGACCAATGATGGAAGAAGAGGTGATCAAAAAGGATGGTATGATTCTTGAGAAGTGGATGTAGATGAAGGAGGAAGAGTGCTGAGAGGTGGGAGAGATTGAACCTTTTATACCCTGTCATACAAATCGGACCGCGGAGCCCGTCAAACTTCACTTTGAACCCAGCCTCGAACATCTCACTCACTGACGGGAAATGCCCCCAATTGTCCACCTTGTAGTCATGTATATAGCAATAGAAGTACTTTCTGATATCAAATCAATGTCCCCAGTGCCTAATCAATGTCATCCACTTGATCCCTGCTGTCTGCTGGTATAGGACGATCCAGGCGCAAAGGTGGTTACGGCTAGCCAGCGGCAGCGATATGGACGACAGGAGGAGCAGCAACTATGTGTATCACCTGCAGGCGACAGTAAGGGTAGATGAGGCCATCATCTACGTCCCAGAAGGTCACCGCTCGTGGCTATCCGTCGTCCTTGTGCTTACATCGATCCGTCTGGTTGAGCTGGACAGCCTGCGCCATCCTCTCACAGCTCGTGTGCGCCAGCCGCTCCTGCGCCAGAGGCTACACATGCCACCCTGATTCCATTGACAGGCACCATGGCAAGATCACGACTACGAGATGTTGAGACGAGACACAGATTGCTTACATGTATCGAAGGGCTGCTCTGGCGCATAACAATCGCAATAGCCGGGCAGACGCACCCACTTACCAGCTTATGCAGACCTCTCACGATTGATATCAATCTTCAAAACGGCGACATGTATACAAGGCATCACCATCCGGCCCACCATCCTTGCTTGGTACAGGCGAGTTGTTCCAGCCATAAGACCACCACCAGCCGCTAACCGCCAGCCATTATGTCGGCCCAAACACTTCGAGATCACACCGAGCCGTCGAAAAACAACCCGTCGAGCATCTGACACAAGATCGCCTACACAATAAAGGACAAGGAAAAGACATTCACTCGAAGAAGGCCATCGACGATAGGCACTCGCTGCCCCAAGGCAAGCAATGGCGACTCGATTCGCCACGGCAGCTCCAAGCTCTTTCTTGGCTCCAGGGCCGCAACAGACAAGACAGAAGAGAGGGAAACGAAAAAAAAACTCTGGAATGGACACAGTACAGGACATGGAGACTCATGTCACCAAGACCAGAGGCATACTCAGCGAAAGCAAGGAGATGGGCTTGGGCCTTTTCACCAGTTGAGCAACATGCCGTTCCATGACAGGATGGCTGCTTTGGGGAAAGAAGGCCGGCTGCAACTGGGTAGGAGCTCAAAGGCGGATAAGCCGATCGTCAACGACTCAGACATCCCGCTGACGCTCACAAGCATTCAGCGAAACCATAGTGCTGTCGAGGGAGCAGAGGTTCCAGTCCAGAGATCCGAGCAACAGCCAGACGATCAGTACCGTCTCCACAACCTCGTCTGGATACTTGAGAGACTTCGATACAACGTCTTGCCGGAAGACCCATCAGGCAATCTACCTCAAAGCCCATGCCCTCCCTCCGAAGCATCGATTCTTGAGGAAAGTCACGCAAGAACTCACAGAGCAATGTTTCAGAGCGCTGATTCTGAGAACACATTTGTCCAAAAAGTAGCCCAAAGCGTCGCGCTCAACGAGTCTGGAATTGCAGCAAGCAGCGCAAAGCATCGAGAGAAAAGATTGGAATACACGAACAAGACAAGGCTTAGGAAGCAGAACAGGAGGTGAGGTTGGACGTGCTGGGGTATGAAGTTTGCCGACTTCGGCCCGAGCCCGAGGGTATCGCTTGAGTGCTTCGAGCGCTTTGAGCAAAGAAACGCGCAGCAGTAGGCACCTGTTTACCTATTCGAAGAGGTCCTGAGCTGTATTTGCATATGTGTAGATTCGAGCAGTCCTTGTTGCAGCCTGCGATAAGGTAGCAAAGACGCATCCAACTTCAAGATTGACATCATATCACGAGTCACACGACCATTTATATGGGAAGTAGCATGACTTTGTGGAGACGTGTTAGTCTGTGTTCTGAAAAGAAAGCGTGTAAGGAATCCAGTCTATATGATCGTATCGGAGGTATTCTTGCATCATGACAAGACAAGTACAGTGCCACCTGGAAGCAATGCGCAAGCTGTCTCCCTGCATCACACGTGTCCTCTTCAGTGCGTCCTGTAAAAGAAAGCAAAAAGGCCAAGAAGAAACATCATCCTTGGGCCTTGATCCTCCAACTCATGCTTCGTCAGCGTCAAATGTAAAAAGGAAAGCGACCCATATGTGCGCTGTTTTATGCCATGAACATCTCTCGTCTTCATCTTGTACCAGCCAGCCAGGGAGCTCAAGCGTGTGCCCGTGCAGCTATGAGAGTCGGGCGGACCGTGTCGTTGCAGCAGCGCGTTTGAGGTTGGGAGGGGGTTTATCGACGTGGTTAGGTTGCAGCAGTTTAGTGCGACTCGTCGCGGATGAGGGCGACGATCATGCTGTAGAGGTAGAAGAAGAACATGACGAGATGGAAACCGAGCTTGATGAAGGATTCCTGAAGCTGGTGTCAGCTGTCTAAGTCTGATAGTAAGTTTGGCGCAAAAGCTTACCTTCTTGTGAACGTTGAGCTTTCTGAAAATCTCAGTCGCATCCAGGAGATGTTGGTTCTCGAAGATCCTGTATCTTGTCAGCATATGTGTTCATGAGAACAGAGTGCATGTGACCGACTTCTTTGCGTTCCATGCGAGCAGAGGCAGGTTGAGGATCAGGGCAATCCAGTACCCGTTGACAAGGAACAGAATGGTGATGAAAGCGTGGACGGCAGCTTCGGGGACGATGTAGGTGTTGAGGCGGTTGCAAAGGTCAATAGGGTTGATGTAGTCGCTGAGGGAAGAACAGGTCAGCACTGCGTTCAGCAAGGCGGTGAGGCTGGGACCTGAGCATACCATTCGAGATCGCTGTACATGATGGTGAAGAAGACTTGGAGGAAGAGGTTGACGGCATTGATAAGCACTGCTATCAGGTAGAGCCACGCTTCGCCAGACATGATTGCGGTAGAGGATGCGAGAACGCGTCGGAGGTTGTGGTATTGGAGGTCGTCGGTGACGTGGCGCGTTGGTACAAGGTCGTACGTGTGAGTGTGATTCGAGTAGAGGGGAACTCGAGAGTAGATTCTGACAGGTGCAGAGCTGTCTTGTGCAAGATGCAAGATGGTAGTTGTAAGAGGGGAAGAAGATGCAAATTAGTTGGGACTGCCGGCCAAAGCGCGCGACGCCCAGAGGAGCCAGAAGCTCCTTCCTTCTGTCTCAATCGTCAAGTGTGGGGTGTCTTCCAACTTGCCAACTCACACGTCAGTCTGGCCAACTTTTGGTCGCATGTCTGTTCAATAAGTTGATTGCTGCTCTGACTATGCCCATACTGTGGGCTGGCTGCGAAAGACTTGTAAGTACAGCTATACAGACATAGCGACAGTCTCAAGATGTCGGATGGTTCTTCATAAATTCGTCGGCGTGCCTCCGCAGCGTCCTTCTCCACGCTCTGGACCTCTGCCTTGTCTCAAGACATGGCTCGCCCTTCATCCATCGCCTCTAAGACTCAGTCCCATGCCTTCTCTGCTCTCCACCCTGATGTTGAAATAACCCTCCGGACTTGCACTTCCCGAGTTCCTCGCCATTGTCCTTGCGATCAATGGACTCTGTGTGCCATTGCCCGTCCCTGTCCTTCTGTGTTTCCTCGTAGCCGCTGGCGAAGCAGGCAATTCAAGATGTCGATTCATGTTCATCCATACGGCTTCCTCTTCTGTGCTCTCAGGGTACCTCCAGCCTCCTAAGCCCTCAAAGTCTCTGTCTGTCCCGCTGCCAACCAGACTTGCGAACGAGGGTGTCTTGCGGAGTGCTGCTGAAGGCGTGGGCGGTGTGTTGTGCTTCTTGCGTCGTGCCGGTCTGGCGCTCGGAGATGTGAGTGGCGTAGGTGGTGATGATGAAATGATTGCGCCGTTCAGAATGGCGAGAAGCACGTCGAAGTATACGAACAATGCCCGTAAGAGAAGAGTGCCCAGTGCCAGAGTGGTAGTGAACAGAGCGAAAAGAGCGAATGGAAGGCCGAGACAGAACAAAAATGACAGGCCGAGAAGCCTGGATATACCAGAAATCATGGCATGTATGGCAATTGCATGCTCATCTCTTCTTGCGGCAGAATTGAGGTTGAGTATTGAGTGTAAGCAGTTGAGGGAGCTGTTTCCGTCGTGAGACGCGAGAGCGTGTGGGGTGAGCTCTTGGTCTTGGTTCCACACTTTGTTGCTTGGTTTCTCCATGTCCTCTATGCACATCCCATCGCTACATGGATTGCTGTATCTATGTAAGAGCTCTGTCCATAACTCTTAGTCATCCTCGAGATACAAAGGTGCAGCAAAAGTCATGAACATACCCAAAACCCCCGATGCCGAGAGTACCACCCTGACCATATTTGCCGACATCTGTTTTCCATCTTCCATCCGCTGTTGACAATGTTCGGACGCATGATCAGAACTTGCGTTGCCTTGTCAGGTCTGGCTGGTTCTTCTGAGATCTGAATGTGGCCGTAGTCGTCTTGTGGTCAACTTTCGATGGCGAAACTATCTCAAACCTTCAAATGCCCGAGCCAATATCGCGGAGAGAGCGACGGCGTATTTGAACCGATTCCCAATGAGATCAGTTCTCATTATACACTAGCAATAGACTGTCGCGTGCCTCACGATCTTGAGCATCTGGCCAAAGCGAAGTAGGTCCTAGGTAACATTATGCTTGCTTTGTTGACATTCATAGCATTCGTATCTTCTCTTTACATCATCGATCATGCACCAATGTCCCTATCCATATCCTTGTCACCACCGTATCCTGACTTTATTCTCTCGTTCTTGGCCTCCTCATCCACATCCTGTGCTTTTGAACCAGCGCTGCTGCTGTTTGCTTGTCCAAGCCCGGTAGTCTGACCTCCCATGCCGTTCTCGCTCAATGATTGACCGTAGCGAATCTTTTCAGCTGTCTTTTCACCTTCTTCTGCTTTCTTGGCGGCTTCGACTTCGGGGACGGAATCGACAGAGGTTTCGGGGTCTGGGAGTATCAGTATGATTGACCAGAACAGAGCATACGAGGGGAGAGAACTCACTGCCGAATTGGCCACCCGACTTCTTGTGAGGTACTGTGACGGTGTTGATGGCTGTGTACTGCGAAGTGCTAGAGCAAAGTATCATCAGCATCGTTTCTCTAGACTGGGTCGTGTTCTTGGTGTGACTTACGAGCCCTCTGTGTCACCTCCAGGCTGGGTATCCATAAGGTTCTGAGACATGTTTGCTTGTGTAATTTGAAGGTGAATCTGTAGTACTGAAAGGGTTGAACGTAGATTGACAAAGCTGTTGGTTTGGTGATGCAGGAAGAAGAGTGTCAAGGTCAGTTTTGATGACGTAGTGCGGGGACCCTTCCTGCCACCAGAAATCGTGTGTCACGGCGGCATCAAAGGCGCGTCTGCAGTTGAACTCAGCGACATCGTCAACAAGCTGATATCCAGCCTGTCGGCTCTGTGTTTCGCGTCACGCAACGATGAGAAGAGGTCAACGGGAAAGACGGAGTCTGTCGCCGAGTGTCAAGGTATCCTATAGGGAGATTGGCTCGTTGACACTATGAGCACACCTGCGTGCCCTACTCAGCGTATCATCAATGTCTCTTGCACTCTGCGCTATCGCGTTTGGTGTGGAGTACATGTTCAAGAAGCCAGAGTATGATCAAAGAGTATGCACCATCTACTCTGCTGCGCGTTCAAGCAGTTTCGAACGAAAACCCTGCTGCTGCCTATCAAGCACATGCCAAACCCTGGAAATCTGTCTTCGTTCGTCGTCGAGGTCCGAAACCAGGGGGAATCTCACCTATGCACATGTATAATGCATCTCGGACAGATATAGCTTCCACGAGAGACAACCAGTTGCCATGCTCTCCCTGAGCACAGCCCCAATATGGACGGCGTCATGAGTCTTCTCAGCTCTCGAGCGACACAGCTCGTCACGGATGCGAGCCTCTTCCGGACACCCTACGACCCAGAGCCCCTCGTACACCTTGCCAGTAGTGTACGGAGGTAGGTGCGATGGGTGTTGATACTTGATACAATTGTAGCAAGCGCAGGAAACGCACGGACTTCTGGAATCCCAGGAGGACGGCATTCCCGAAACCTTCGCACTGTCCATTTCCATTGCCGACTAACGTCGACCCAGTCACAGTCCGAGCCCCTTTACAGCACCACATCTTCAGCAGAACATCAGCTTCAGATGAATCAAATCAGAACAAAATCCGCTCTTGGCTGTGTTGTGTTACTAACAATCCATCGGCCAGGCCCAGGACGTCGGCGTCCCCGTTGAGCTTCGGCACTCCAGGAACGCCTCCTGCAGCCCTTTGATGCATGTCGTGCTTCTCTTTTTGCAGATGGCAGCTGTAGACACGGTACTGATCGTATTCCCCAGAAACTTGGGTAATTGCTCCGCTAGTTGGTCCTCGTCTACAGTTGCAGTCTCGAGACCGCATGTTAGGTCGAGCAACAAGCTGTGTCTGGTCTAAGCGATCTCATCGCCCTCCACTGACTCAGGAACTCGACATGCAGCACTGAATTGATCCAGCAGGAGCTGGCCCAAGTCAAAGCCACTTATTGAACCAACTTTCCTTTGTGATTCAAACCACTTTTGGGCTTTCCTCCCTAACCCAAATCACCCTGCCAAGCTGCAGTTGTCTTCGCATCTACATAGGCGAGCCGTCCACGTTGAGCCCTCGCGGCGACTCCAGCTACCGTGGGCGAAACTCTTGTGGCAGAAAATGATCGTTTTCCAATTGTGTCCCGACTTGACATCCATTTAGGGTTGAGCTCAGGGTATGGCCAAGAGTTTGAAATGAAAACCTCAGCTCAACGTCAACTTCGTTTACAGACTGGCCACTTCAGCCACCAAGTCGACCAGCACTGCACTGCAGGACATGAGTAGAACATACAGCATGCTGAAAGGACATACCGAGATTGGTGTCATAACGTCGACAAAAGAGGTAGCTGAGAGGAGATTGCAACACAATTCTGGCTGTGGACAGTAAGTATATGAAGAAGATGATATTTCACGCTCTTGAGATGCTCATCCAGCGGAACGACCTCGACAACCACACTCCTTTCTTGTTCCAGCTTTGGGACGTCCATTCTTTCTTTCTTCAAGTCTTGGTGATTCCTAGCCATGGCAGGACTTGGATACTTGATTCCTGGACTCTTGTTGGGTCTGGGAAGCACTGTGTCTGCATCCCCTTTGGCTGTTCAGCAGCTGAACGCCACTTTCACTAATGCCACCTCCATCCCTCATTACAACAACTACACCAGCACCAAGACTCTTCTGAGCACTGCTACCATCTACAACACTGCAAGCACCCGTGCGGTCGTTGTTGCAACAGTTGGAGGATATCAATCAGGCTCTTTTCCAAGATCCTCCTCGGGTGCTGCTGTCAACGCTGAACACTACGACCAGAGCTCTGGTTCTGCTGCTGTGCAAGGCTATGGCTCTGCTTCTGCGTCTTCAGCCGTCGCTGTTCAGATTGGGTCTCAAGCTCAGCCCCCAGCAAACTCGGTTGGATTCCAGACCGTGGTTGTGACCCAGACCGTGGCCGGCTGTGCTCTCGACGAGTCTACTGGTGCACCAACATCAACCGCCAACCACGCTCCTTTTGCTGTCGCAGCATCTTCCGTCGGCACTGCTCAGTACGCAGCTGCTACTGTTCAGCCTGCTGTTCATTGGGACTACCCTCTTGACAACCTTGACAATCTGATCCCGTCAAAGAATGCCAGTCTGTACTACGGTCTTGCTGATCCTAAGGTTGAGCATCCATTTGCATCTGTCGTCACTGACTTGACTCACGATACCGTTGTTCTTGACCACTCCTCTTACATCTCTGGAACCTCGTGTTCCGAAGATGGTATTCTTGTTTCTTTCACAACCACCCAAGCTTTCAACTTGGCATGCGACAGCTGGTCAAGTGTCTCTACCGGTTTGGTCCTCTCGACCTATGTTGACGGATGTCACGGTGAGACCGAAGACCAACGCACTTTCTGGTTGATCGCCTCGCTCTCTTTCGATAACAAGACCCTGACTATCAAGGCGGTCGTCAATGAGGAGCTCGGAATCGGCTCGATTGCCCACACGGTTGATCTCATCTGGGGTACATACACGCCTGGAAACAGTGGTTCCTCTGCCATTGGGGGTAGCACTTCATCTGCTGGTGGCGCAAAAGTCAGCTCTACTTCCACCTCCGGCTCAGGTGCCAGCAACCCACTCACCGGCGCTGTTCCTACTCGTACCTCAGGTTCGTCCAGCAACGGTACTCTTTACGGATCTACTTGCGGAACCGCTCCCTCATCAGTCATTGATGGCCTGCCTGCCATTGATTGTGGTGACGCGGAATTCGATACTCGTCTTGACCAACGTATCGGCTTCCTTGACACCACTGGCGATGACTACGCAGCCAGTGTTCGCGACTTCCTCCCTGACGAACAATTGGATGCAGAGGATCTTGCGGACAACGAAGTGGACCTTACTCGCCGCGATCTGTCTCGACTACAGAAGCGTAGCTTTGGTTCCTGGTTAGTGGGTGGTCTCAAGTCGGTCGGCAACAAGATCGTAGATACCGGCAAAGCAGCCGGTACCTTTATCGCCAAGGGTGCCGGAGTTGTTGTAGATGTTTACGCTGGTGCTGGCAAGATCGCTCTGGCTGGTGTTCGCAGTGTTCCCGTTCTCGGAACAGCACTTGACACAGTGAGCGGAGGAGCCCTTCAGGACCTCTCGAACTTCAATCCCGAGATCAAGGGTTCTCAAGACTTCAACTTCGGTCCTTCGGCTACTGAAGATTCTCCTTGGGGCAAAGCGTATTCGATCTACTCCAAGAAGAAGGACTTCAACGGCGACAAGGGCAGCGCTGAAGTGAACCTGTATTGCTACGATTGCGGTGTGAAGGGTCGAGTATCAATGGCAGGGCAAGCTAAATGGAACGCTAAGGACGGTCTCCAGTCGCTGAATGCTGGTATCAACGCTAACATCGAGGCTGGCGTCCATCTTGGTCTCACCGCTTCTGCAACTTACAAGGACGAGAAGACCAAGAAGATCATCAACCAGCCTCTTCCTGAGGTCGGTGTTTCCGTTGGCAAGCTGTTCACCGCTGGTGTTTACCTTAGCGTTGATGCAAAGGCTGCAGTCGATGTTAGCGCTGAGGGTCAAGTTCTTGTTGGTGTCGCTATGAAGATCCCTAACTTCGAAGCCAAGCTCAACCTTCTCGATGCCGATAGCTCCACCAAGAGCAGCGTTACTGGCTTTACTCCTGAGTTCACCAAGAGATTCGAAGCTAGCGGCAAGCTCAGTGCCCAGCTTACTTTGAGTCTGCCTATCGCTATCAACGCTGGTATTGAGATCCCTCCTCTTAACCTCAAGAGAGTGTTGGCTTTGATCGAGGAGCCCAGTGTGTATGGCAATACTACTGTTGCAGCATCCACTGCAAATGCCGAACCGGCCAGCGAGACCTGCAACAACGGTATCGAGTACTTTGCCAATGTTCAAAACGATATCAAGCTCGACTTCCTCGGCATCAAGACTTTTACACTGCACCACTACGATTCTCCTCCTCTTCTCAAGGGTTGCAAGAAATTCGACGGCTCAAAGGCAACAATCAAGGCCTCCTCAGAAGCTTCTACTGCTACCTCGGGTGACAGCACTGCGACCGCTACTGACGTACCCAATACTACCACCACTGGTACTGAACCAACGGCAACTGATGATGCACCCGAGCCCTCAGGCACCACGACTACAGCTGGGCCTACTGCAACTGACTCTGACGACGCACCTGAACCTACCGAGACCGGTGACGCATCTGAGCCTAGCACCACCGACTCTGGAGATGCGCCCGAGCCTACCGAGATTGGTACTTCTGATGACGGAACACCCACGCAGACCGACGGAGAATCTGCTCCTGAAGCCACTGAGGAGCCGACGTCTGGTACTGAAGGACCTGCATCTGGCACCGAAGGGGAGAGTGTCCAAGAACCTGCTATAGAGTCTGACGAGCCTGCTACGACTTCTGGTGAGGAGACATCTGGTGAAGAGCTTCAAAGACGCCATGCTCGTAGCTTCATGATCCGCCGCCAGGACAACACTACCTCGACCACATCGACTACTGACCCCGATGCCTCCGATTCCTCCAGCGACGATGACAAATACGTTTTCGACGATGACAGCAACTACGTCGAGTCTTTCGACAACAACGTCGCCACAGACGCAGATCTTGCCGACGATGCCACTGGCGACTACTCCGAAGATCCCGACAACACCGCCTTTACAGAGAACACAGACAAGGCTCTCCAACTTGCCTCCGCGCCTGAATCTCCCAGCGACGCAAATTACACCCAACTAATCGATATCTCAAAAACCCTCGCCGTCATCCCCAGCGCAAACGGCAACCTCTACGCCGCTACCTACAGCGAAGCCTTGCTCCAAACCGACGCCAACCTCTTCGGCCACTACGACAACTCCATATTCGGGGATGACAGTGGTCGTTACCTCCACTTCCACCCCGACGAGATGAAAGTCTACGGTGCCAGTCGTCTGCGTCTGAGCGACGAAGACAGTATTCCCAAATCTGCTGATTTCATCACTTTGACCTTGCAGCAGCTGGATGATAGCAGTGCCCAGGAGGTTTACTTTGCTGCTGATACCTATGGCAATTTGTACAACATTGTCATGTGCAATTTTGCCAACAGCGCTGTCAGCAAGCTTTTCGTTGTCAGTGGCCAGAGTGGTTTGGATGCTCTGGTTGACAACGAGAATATCAAATACACTGTTACCGGTGCACCGGTGCAGGAGTGTTATCCTCTCGCGCTGATTGATGCTCCTGCTTCTTAGAGCAGAGATGACGGTGGAGCCAGTCGCTATGACTTCTATTCTCCACGGCATTCTTTTTTGCCGTTCTCTTTCTTTGTGTCTGACTTGCTTCTCGGTTGATGAAACATTTTCCTCTGCTCTTCTTTTCTTCGTTTCCTCCGCCTTTCTTGCATTTCCCCTTCTTTGGCCGTTTACTGTTTTTCTCTCGAAGCTTCATTTTATACTCATCCATTATTTTGTTCATGTCTAATGTACACAAAATCTTCGGGTTTCTACCTACCACTATCCATCTTTCCACATCTTGTTCACACTCGATTGATCGGTGACTTGACCAGCTGAATCTCGAGGTCCAGCCTTTGCACACTTTTGTTCATGGTCGCAGCTCTATAAAAGCGCTTCGACAATTCAGAGATGTAACAAGTATGCAGCACCCTAAATTCCCAGTTTATGGGATCGTCATATCCCGCGAGTGAGGTCCGATGGAAGGGATGTGGAAACATGTGAGAAATACCACTGACTACCTTCTCGAGCACAGTATGTAGACTTAGTCCAGCACGATGATGGTAACCATGAGTATCAACATCGAGAAACTTGCTTTTTTTGACAGGACATTCTCTGTCACTTTTAGATCGCTTATCCTGCCAAAATGCAATCGACAGAAAACACATTCTCATTAGTTGTCACGGAGAAATCGTCGAATAGGATTATAGTCATGTGATGATCATCAAATAGACAATCTTTCTACTCTGCCCCAAAACTTGGGAACTGAAAAGTCGTAAAACTCTCCCAGTCCTCTCCCTCCCCGGTACCCTCCCTCCCCCTTCTCCTATCCTCTTACCCGTTCATCCCTTACAGTCCCAAAGGATTCTGTCCATTCTGTTCCTTACCACCTATACTCTGCTGCTCCTCAGCAGCTTTATCCATTTCTTTGCTTTTGGTGTATCCTCCATTTGTAATACCTCCGATTGCTGTGCCGACAGGGGAAAGGCCTTTGTTGAGGGCGTTGCCCACGGGGTCGCCTAGGGGAGCTAGAAGACCTGTGTTATGGTTGGTCAGAACAGCAAGAGTACAGATAGAAGCAGGAGAAGCGAAAGATAAGAGGGGCGGAGTCCGGGAGACGAAGGAATTGGGGGATGAAAGCGAAGTAGAGGGATAAAATGGTAGGGGACAGAGAGCATGCAGCTGAGGAAGATGATAGGGGAAGGGATTAGAGGAGCTAGGTACACACCTTTCTGTCCTTCTCCCAAACTGACGTCCGTGAGTCCAGCGGGCAAATTACTCAAACTCTCATCATGAGTAGGCTCTTGGTTCTTGTCGGACATGATTGCGATTTTCTTCTTCGTATTTCCGTTTCGGTATTCCAAACTTGTGGTGATTTTAGCGTTGATGTTTTGGGATATGATGTTCTGACTGAGTATGCTGGCTTGACCTGAGATGGGGAAAGAGAAGCAGATTCAAAAGTCGACGAAAGAAGAAAGGGTCGCAGATGCCTTGCTTACGTTCGCAGATCATTTTCGTCCCTGATTTAGCAAAAGCACACCAACACAAGCAAGGCTGGCAGAAATGACATCATTGGTTTCCCCGGAATCTTGATACCTGGAGGGGGTGTTTCGGTTAGAGTTGCTCCTTTGCAAGGGCGTAAATCAAGTTACAGGAAGAACTCTTGTCAGAGTTTCAAAACTCTACAGCGTGTGTGTTTACAAGTCTTGCTAAAACATTCATCAAGGACTGCATCGCGTCAAAGTTCCAAACGGCCAATAATGGCCAGATCGATACTATCAAGAACAAGAGGTTTGGAGAATTGCATTATGCGCCTGCGGTCCACCGGGGACTGTTCAAAATATACAGAAGTCATTGCTGGTCAGGGGTATAGAAGAGAAAGCAGAACAACCCAAGCAATAACGAAGTAAGAAAGACACGCTGAGGACGCAAGAAGGGAATAAGAATGAAAGACTCCAAGACTCTGGGGTTATAGCGTGAGGTATGCTGGTGATGGATTTCGTGACCGTGCGTGTCGGCTTGTCGACTGCTGTCTTGAGGCTAGTACTTCTGATTTGGAGGATAGCCATTGTAGCTTCCGTATCCGTCAGTGCCACCTGCGGGTCTCGGTTTGTCATCGTATTGCCCATCATAATCATAACCACGAGAGGGGTACCAGGAAGCACGCTTCGAGTCTCTAGACTCATCATTTCTTCGAAAGTATCTCGTTCGGTCTCGGTCATCAGAGTGTATGTTGGAGCTATAGTGCGAAGATGGGACGTCGCCAATGTTCGTGCCCTCGGAACGAGTGTAAGGATTAGGAGGGTAGCCCAAAGGTGGAGGAGTACCAAAGTTGGGTCGCTGTCCAGTCGCAGAAAGACGATGATGCCGTTGCCCTGTAGCAGGTATATCGGTAGGTTTGCTTTGAACGAACTGTGGCTGAGGTGCAGCAGAGTTGGCGCGTGAGGTACGATTTACGGGTTCTGGTCGACTAGTGTTTCGACGATCGTCTTCGTACACTTTCCCCGAGCCTTCCTTTGCGGTGTAAGGCTGCCGCTCACGCTCGATCGGAGCAGGAGCAGTACGTTTATCATCCCCATCGATTGCAGGTGCATAATTGGAGTAGGGCGCACGTTCTCTCTCAGTAAAGGATGTCGAGGTAGAGGCTGGAGTTGAAGACTGTTGTGTCTGGGCTGATCTTGTTTGAGGAGGGGGAGGAGGCATGGGATTGCTTGAGCGCAGTTGTATGTTACGATCGGCAGACAGAGCAGCATGTAATCGTTGCTGCTGTGTGATATCCTCTTCCTTGGGGATGAGTCGGCGGCTGAGCTCTTTCGGAAAACGTTCTTTCGGGTCATCGGCGTTACTGATTGGCATGGCTAGAACAGCCTTTGCGAGTCGTTGGTACTCGATGGTCGGATGTGCTTGGATAAGAACGGTCATGAATTGATCAAAGCCATCTGGAGTCAAGGCAGGGATATCTGGAACAGATTGACTGCCCAGCTGAATAAAGTGATGCTGGCAGCGCAGATCACGATAGACCCTCGAGATGGACTCGCAGGTGACGCGGCCTCCAAAGATATCTCGCCAAGGGTAGATCTCAGAGGACAGCCTAACGTTGTCGAAAAACTGAACCATCTTTGCCGGCGAGATGACAAGACTACCTTTTGGCTCGTAGTCATCGATGATGTGCAGAGCAAGACCTCGAAGGAATTGGCTCAATCGTGGAGTAGGCTGACCCGAGACAAACAGAGGTTGCCAGGCTTTTTCCAAGACCGTCTCTTCGTATGTCGAGGGCGCACGAGCATGAGCAGGTCTTGGTTTGCGGTTTTCGGCGTAGACAGGCGACGCATCGCTACTACTTCTGTTAGGAGGTGGAAAATCGTAACTGCTGTTTGGAGGATCTGCATGGAACATAGGTGTTTCAGGAGATGATCTGGAACTGCCAGAGTCTTTTGTCGGAGACGGCGGCGTGTATGGACAGTTTATCGAAGCGGCTGACTCGGCCGGGGATCTCGAATGGGCAGATCTAGTATGAATTGGAAGGGGTGGTGGCTGCTGTTGACCAATGCCAGAAGCCTTGAGGTTGTTCATAACCTGCTCGGTGATTTGAGCGACGAGAGCTGGATCCAACTGACCAGCTGCATCAGAGCGTTCGAAAGCATGATTGACAGCATTCTCGACAGGGGGGTTCTGTTGATATATGCTGTTGGGTCTGACATCATTCGAGTTGCCGCGTGGCCTGGTACGGCGATAGTTGTCAGACTCGGGCTTCTGAGCATATTCGTCCCGACGAAGGTCGAAGCTGTCAGCAGCAGACTGCATAGGATGGTAGCCGTCTCCAGATGCCATGCTGAGCAGCGTCACTTGCTCGTGACTATGTACCGTGTACACGATGCTGATATTCTAATAGAGTTTCGAAGAGCAGTTATCCAAGTAGCGGTGGTGACTTGCGAATCAAAAGAGTGGTAATGAAACGAAGACTGTTAGCCTTGTCAGGCGCAGGCACGGCGATGCGATGCGATGCGAGTGCTGGTGCGATGTCGCGGGGGATCTGGCGCAGAAGTACGGGACAATCGACGAGGAAGAAGCGAGCCCTCGATGCCGCGCAGTCCAGCGAAAGAGAAGAAAGACGCCTTATTTCTGTGTTTCGGCTGCTCGAGTCTCGTTGATCGATTACTTGGTAGTTCAGATGGCGGATCGCGACAAGGCGGACACGATTTCTTGGGCGTTCTGGACGAGCCACTCGTCGTCATTGACATGGAGACCCAGCAGGTTTGTAGACACGAATACGCCACGCCAATCATCAAGCATCGTGATAACAACAATAAGGCAGACCGACCCAGGCGCACCAGTCAGACGGCCACGCTTCAGATGCTGATCCTACAAGCCAAATTGTTCGATCTCACTAGAATGACTTGCGACACCAACTGCTTGTATAAACGTCGCTGCACACCCATACCGTCTCGACACCAAGACAACCAGACGTCGCATTAAGACTTGGAATTCTGATTTGACCCGGCGACAACAAAGGAACGAATATAGGGTCAGGGTCAGAACTTGGCGTCATCGTTTCATGTTGGAAGCTGAGGTCTACCGAACACATGCCCCAAAGATCAACAAACGGCTGCCGGGCCGGTCTAAACCTACCAGATAGTGACCTCCATCCCGCTACCAGGTAGGGAAGGCGACAATTATTGTCATGCGGCCGCTCGTCACAATACGTTCATGGATCAGCTCGATCGCTGCATGGTGGTTCATCAGCATGGAAGCAAATGGCAGAAAAACGGGTCGGCGGCAAAGCCGAGGGTCGAGCAGATCAAAATCTTAGCAAGCTGATGTTCACTGCAGGCCGGGCCGACGAGCTGTCTTGACACATGCGCCTGGACGCCGAGCTTGCTGAGTCCCACATTGGCACGGGTGTTCGGATGAAGAAGATGAGAGTCTGCAAGCGTTGTACGGGACTATCATATCTACATTCTTGAGTCTTGAAAGTCATGGAGACGCAAAGGCAGGCTGTCTCGGTCCCTTGGGACAGAGGGGAGTGATCAGTGATGAGGATGGAGGGTCCGCGCTAAGAATGTAGGCGTTCATAAGCTGCAACGCTGCAGGTTACAGAAGGTTGTGGACAAAATGCAACAGCAGAGGCATAACAGCAGCTGCTTACAAGTATCAGGAAGCGTATAGAGTCATGCAGCAGAGCAGCCGTGTCTGAGCTTTACTGCTCAGGGCCGGACTCAATCCAAGCTGTGCATTCTGCTATGGGACTCTGGGGATTGCGCACGCTCTTCGATATTGTAGCAATTGATTATCGTCAAGAAGAGGCTGGGGAGCGGGCAGCGGTCAGTGGCTTCTCGATCAAGACGTACAGAAGTGGTGGCCGTTGGGCCCTTTTAGGAATCTGGATGAGCGGGCGTTTCATGTTCAGTTAGTGCGACTTGAGGGATTCGATTAGGTATGCGAGGCTTTTGCACGGGGCGCACGCGGCGACGACGAGGGCCAGAGATATTTCTGGACAGCGGTCGGTCTGAGTTTGCTCTGACCAGACGGTGAGTCGGTCGTGTGGCTCCTCTGTCGTCGTTGTTGTTTTGGCAAGTCGAGCTTCTTTCCTTGCAGCAGCAGCAGCAGCGTGTCAGCAAGAAACATCCCCTCCGACATTACCGAGTGATAGTCGCTCTGACGTTTCATCCTCTGCAAATCATCGACAGCTGTGACTGCTCGGCTGGTAGTGTGCCAGCTCGTATCTACATACAAAACCAGAGGCGACGACTGCATCTTGAAACACGCACGACAACACACGCCATCAACCCGCACGCCCGCAACTCGCCCTCAGCTGTCCCGCCGTCGCTCTTGACCAGCAACCCACGACCAACGACTATCCCACTCTGTGGAAAGACGGCGCGAACAACATCATCCCCGCGAGCCCTCTGTCGACGCAGACAATGAAGCAATAGCCTGTCGACGCCTCTTGCGCACTTCTTCTTTGACGCCGACCTTTGTCGTCCCACAATGGCCATGCTGGCGTCCAAACCCTCGTTTCCCGCAGCCATGGGCTCCCAAGCATATCAAAACACCTCGCCCGCCTTTCGCAACAACAACAACCCCGTATATGGCAGCCCCACCGAATCCGAGTTTTCCGACTCCTCCAGGATGTCTGATACCGTCAAGTATGCTCGATATCAAACTCAACTTGCCAATAGCTGCTGATTTGTGCCTGCAGGAACTGGGACGAACAACGCGTTGCCGAATGGCTCGTCAGTATCAACTGCGGCCAATATGTCGACATCTTCAAGGGTACGCTGTTGCTCTTGCCCTGCGCATTCTGTCAAACAACACTAACGCGCGTGCAGCCAACAACATCACTGGCGAGAACCTCATGGACATGGACCCTGCCACACTGAAAGAGATGGGTGTCAACAAGATCGGCGACCGAGTCCGCATCGGTTCCCAGGCCAAGCTGTTCAGGACAAGCGTCTACAAGAAGACGAGTAAACGGAACATGAACAGGGTATGCTACCGACACACCACAGACACACACTTAGCCAGCTGCTGACTGGTTCCTACAGCTGTCACTGGCCACCCTCGACGGCAACGCTCAAATGAATGCTCCGCCAGCCTCGTCACCGCGCGAGCGAGCCATCCTCTCCACAACACGCATACAACAGCCTCCCACCTCTCTCCGCGACAAACGCCTCTCCCGCCGCATCGATGGCCAGGACCTTGCCAAAGCAAACTCTCGCCCTTCTTCACCTCTAATAGACCAAGAGAACCGTTCTCGTGTACCCATGCAAAAGAGCAGCAGCACACCATATCTGCCCAAGCCTTCGCAAAGGCTCACCCCTGGCGAAACCCCTCCACGCTTTGGAGGTCCGGTTGCCGGCCACATACGCTCCAGCCCTAGTGTCGATAATCTCGCTACGTACAGCAGCGCCCTACCTGCCGACAAGGCTCTGATCAGAGTCATCTTCGACAGCGGTCGCTCCTCAATGATCAATATTGAAGGCTGCGAGACTGCCGACGACATTGTCCTCAAGACCCTCAAGAAAGGTGCTCTCAACGAAAACCACGTCAAGAACTTTTGCTTCTATCTTCTTGATGGCTTCAACCCGGACCCCAAGTATTGCCGTCGTTTGGGTGACACTGAATTGCTCCGCATTTGCAATGATCGTGTGCGTGGTGAAAGAGGCCGTCTGATGCTCCGCAAAATCCATGCTGGAGAGCCAGAAGGAGAACAGCTGCGTATTGCTGCAAAGATTGCCGAAAAAGAAGCGCCGTCGCCCCCTGCAATCGAGGTACAACAACCCATCAACAAATCAAAAAGCCACCTCAAGATCGAGCAACTCATCGGCGAGCCTCTGGCTGCTGTCAGCTACCCAATGTCTCCTGCCTCGCTACTTGAGCGTGAAAGGAATTCGTACTTTGCTGCTCAGCCTGCCATCAATACTGCCGGTGCCAGAGCACGTAAACTCAAAGAGTTTTATGGCGCTCGCCCACCCACCGAGCTTATTACTCAGGATCTTACCTCATACTTCCCAGATATAGAGAAGGAGGAGATGGACAAGACAGTGCGCATGTCAATGCGTCGCTCACGCAGACTCAGTAGAGCTGCCAACCGCCTGAGCACCATGAGCAGCTTCAGCATTGCCTCGAGTCTCAAAGACGCCCCTCCGCTCCCCACAATCGCCGACAGCTGGTTGAATTCTGCCAATCAGCCAAAACAACTTCGACCTCTGTCTGTCGTCCGTCTTGGTCGTCCCATCTCGAATTATCGCGATTCTATCACATCATCTGTCCTTGAGCCTCTGGACGAAGAATCACCTCTGGAGCCCAATCGCAAGTCTTACGTCTCTTTCGGCGCCGACAGCGGATCTGACTCGACTGATCGCAATGTTGCTGTGACTGATCCAGAGGGAAACACCATCATGCAAAGCTACTTTGACGACACCGGTAGCACTAGCCCAGCAAACACCGAGAACGGTGGATCTCTCAACTCACGTCTCAGTCAAGTCATTGCCGAAGATGGCGAAGAATCTGATGATGAGCTGATGGAACATTTGGAGAATGATAGTTGGGAGAACCTCAAGTACATGAAGGGTGCCATGATCGGACAAGGCTCTTTCGGCACTGTTTACCTTGCATTACACGCCATTACTGGCGAGCTTATGGCTTGCAAGCAAGTCGAGATGCCATCCTCCTCAGGCACCCACCTCGACGCCAAGAAAAACAACATGGTGGAGGCTCTCAAAAGAGAGATTGGACTTCTGCGCGAGCTTAAGCATCCCAACATCGTACAGTATCTCGGATCCAACTCGGATGATTCTCACCTCAACATTTTCCTCGAGTATGTCGCTGGTGGTTCGGTCGCCACCATGCTCGTCAACTATGGTTCTCTTGGTGAACCACTGATTGCAAACTTTGTCCGACAAATCCTTTCTGGACTGGCATACCTCCATTCCAAGGACATCATCCATCGCGACATCAAGGGCGCCAACATTCTCGTCGACAACCACGGCAGTGTGAAGATCAGTGATTTCGGCATCAGTAAGCGCGTCGAAGCATCTAGTCTCCTCGTCCCTTCCACTGGCAAACGCACAGGCCCCCGCGTCTCGCTCCAAGGCTCTGTCTTCTGGATGGCACCCGAAGTTGTCAAGCAAACCGCCTACACCCGCAAAGCAGACATCTGGTCTCTTGGCTGTCTGATTGTCGAAATGTTCACTGGCGTGCATCCACATCCCAATTGCACTCAGCTACAAGCGATCTTCAAGATTGGCAGCTCTGCGGCACAAGCTCGTCCTGATATGCCTGAACAAGCTAGCGAGAATGCTAAGGTCTTCCTGGAGCGCACGTTTGAGATTGAGCATGAGAAGAGGCCTTCGGCTGATGAGTTGTTGGGGTATGCTTTCTGTGCGCCAAAGGAGCCCGGATCTGCTTGATTGCCATCTACCTTTTTTGAACCATCTACAGTTATGTTCTTGGTTTTTGTGTATGCTATTTTTCCCATTAGATGTAAGCGTAGGTGCTAAGGGGATCATGTGTCTTGTTTTTTTAATTACGTTTTTGATGAGTATGGGAATTGTACGATAGTAGAGTGTAGCAGTGCCTCTTAACGAACAAGAGAAAAGAAAACTTTTGACAAACAAAAGTTCCTAGATCACGTCCTTGTGTCATGTTTCCTTTTTTCTTTGTGAGTGCAGTCTGTCGCCATACATCCTTTTGAAACGGATAAAGGTGCAAAATGAGCCAGTCTTGTATCATGGGCGATGGCAATGATATGGCAGGCGCGTCTCGCACTCGGCAGTTTCCGGCTTGAAGCGCATCGCGAGTCTTGCTTGTGTCTCCGCTCTTTAGCCAACCATCATCCTCATTTATCGGTTCCATAAACAGCTTGAGCGACTGATTCCTTCAGCATCACCCGTCCCGTCGGTCATCAGACGCGAATGACTATACTGATACTATGTTAGTCATAGATCGCAATATCACCACATCGGATCAAAACTAGGACAACCCGATCACTTGCCAGGATTATCATAATAAACTTATTCGTTCATCATGTCATTGGCTATGTGCAAAGCCTTCTCGGCATTATCTTTCTGGAAAGCGACAACTGTACGGGCTTTCTCATCTTCCTTGGTCCAGTATACAAATGCCGATCATACCAATAACATAATCGAGGTGCGGTCTCTTACGGACAAGGAAGAGGAAGCTAAGGAACGTTAAGCGAGCTATTCCAGCAAGTGGTATAGTCGCCTCAAAGATGATACTGAAAGATATGCGAAACGTCTGAATCTTGAAAAACAAAAAGCCGCGCGCAAGTACCAAGATCTAGCATTGCGTGATCAACAGGCGATGTCCCACCAACGTTGGTATCAGCGCAAACGAGACAAGGATCCTACTTTCATGGAACGTAGACGGGAGTGTAGCCGAGTATACGTACGCAAGGTATCTTTGCAGGCTCATTACCGGTTTCGCCGTAAAGTTATGAAATGGACAAAGCACTCCTGGGTGCGGCAGCTTCCATGGAAAACTCATACGCCAATCTTCACGCAAGACAAAGTCCGCCAGATCTGCGCTACTTGTGGCAGCTACAGGATAGACGGAGCCAAGTTATGGTGGCAGCGTCATGTTCCATCTGACCCACCGCTGTATGACTGCCAAACCTGCTTTGCAAAAACTGGGATTATGCCTGACGGCTACGAGGACGTCAAGACTTTTGGCGAGCTGAAGGCACGCAAAGAAGAGCTGGACAATTCGACAAAGGACCTCTCTGATTCTGAACACGACAAACACAAGGGTTGACCGGTCCGTCCAAGTGGCCCATCCGGGGTCATTACGTAGTTGAGCAATTCAACAAATCACACATTGTAGAGATGGACATGTTCCGCTAAGAGGTCCTTGGTCGCTGGTGATAGATGTTCTCGCTTTGGCTACGAGTCTCTACGAGGCGTGGACAAGAGCAGGACTTGGGCGGCCTTCAATCACCAGAGGGCATCGAAAGAGGAATCACTATCAAACGCATAGCATTCAATCCGATTTGGAGGGAGGTCAAGCGGGTAGTGCATTCACATGACCGTTTCTGTGTTGGCGAATAACATGGACCATTGACGCAATGCTACTGACAGAGATTCTGCGTTCCCATAGCAGATATGCACAATTCTCGTGATGATCAATCACGCCATGACCAAAATCCAACAGCACGATCAAATCTGAGTAAAGCTTCGTCGAGCTCAGCCTCCATGATTCCCTCTATCTCCTTTCTCTCGAATTTTTCTGGAGAAACCTCAACCTCAGCACCATGAATCAAACCGGGTATAAACATTCTCCATCTCTATCCTCGTCTTCTCGCATCTTTCTCTTTCCATCCTCTCCCCTCTTCCATTCGAGCTCTCATCCTTCCATTACCCCACCTCGTCTCGTCTCTCCAATCCCTTACCCACCCAAACTCCGCCTTCAGCAACTCATTTATATCCTCTTCTGCGCCGGCAGATTCTTGCGATAAGAGCGATGTTGACCTTGTCCCGTAAACGCATTCTTCAACGCAATGCCAAAGATTATAAAGGGGAAAGCGAGAATGTAGACTAGTGCATCTGAGAAGCGTTCCATGAGCGTGCGGGTGTCGCGCGGTGATGTTGTTGTTCGTGTCGGCATTGTGGTAGTCGTGATGTGTGCGAAGTGGTTCAGTGTGGCGCGGGGTGTTTGGATATGAAAGTGGTAGATGTTGTCGCGCGAGATTCTATGTGGTAATTGATGAGACGATTTGATGAGTCGTAGTCTGTAATTGGTATGCGACTGATATTGATTGTCGCGTGAGTCGTTGGTCGGAGTAAGTGTGGATTGAAGTGTATGTTCAACAGGTCCAGGCTCAAAGTTGTTGGTTTGTGAATGACGCAGTAATATCTAGGAGGGAAGTCGTGAATGCGATTGTGTGTGGCAGCAACAACTACTGTAGACCTTTTTGTTCAGATCTTCAATCAATAGCGCAAAGAAGTCGGTTTTATTGATTCCAGTGATGGCACACCTTCGTGGCAATGACATCATGGTTTCTCATTTGTCGTGCTCACAGCCTCCTCGATCCGGAAGACTCGGGATCCGGAATGGTGATTGTTGTACGAGAATACGATACAAGGATCAGAGAATGCACTTTTACGATGTGCTTTGTAAGATTACCATCCCGTGTTCCACACTGGCGAGAGAACAGATATAGAGGAGAGAGGGAGTTGATGTCGAGGTGCGAGAAGCTTTGGAGGCTTGGCTTCAGCTTCGACGTCCAGCCAGCTCACAGGCCTTGTCTTCATCAATTCTTAACAACACCATCACACCATCTTTCCAGGTATTGAGAGCGCCAGTTCAGAGCAAAAAGTGGCCATGTGCCTTTGACATAGTGCGAAAAAGGCACAAAAATACTGCCTCCTAACGGAGTCGAACCGGTGACCTCGGCATTACTAGTGCCGCGCTCTACCAACTGAGCTAAAGAGGCTTGTGTGACGAACACTGCTCCAAAAAGGTGTATTATCAACATTCAAGATGACGATGCTGCTGGACGGCAGAATGGCAGTCGACCACTGATCATCATCACTGCCACAACCGCAGCAGAGCGAAGAGCAGAACGATGAACCCTTTCGAAACATGATCGTCTGAACATGTAAGGGAGAGGATCAACTCCACTGTATGGAATCCTTCGGTTATCGGAACAAAGATCGACGTCACCAGCCTTGGTATAGACCGTCTATAAATATCAAACGACTGGCTCTCCTACTTGCATCTACATCTCCATAACAAATCTTCCTCAAAAAAAAATCATATTCCCACAATCACATCATGTCCTCCCAACCTCCAACGACCCAAAACTCTGCAGACGCAAACGCAGCCTCAAAATGGGGTATCACACCCAACAGCAATGCCTCCACATCGAACATACCAATCGACCCGCAGACAGGCAAACCAATTGACTTTGAAAACTATTATAACGAGGAAACAAAAAGAAAGCTGAGGGCTGAGGGAGTCAATCCAACGCTCAAAGCGGAGATGGAGTGGCATAAAAGTCAGAGTGAGGGTAAAGGGTTTTGGGGCAAGGTTGCACAGACGACGATGGGTGGAGGGTGGGTTCGATGAATTGAGCTGGGTTTGAAATTTCGGTATGAATATTGACGAAGAGTGTCTTGATGGCATAAGCGTGATAGGAGGTAGAGAAGGATGTCTAGGAAGTACTAGTACATGACTTTGCAAGATTGAGCCATACTCCAAGAAATGATCAGTTGAAACCACGTTCCACCATCTAAAAGGTCACAGCATCCTGCTCAATAGGCACCAACTCCCCCTTACCCTTGAACCTCTCAGCAATCTTTGCCTGCTCACTCAACATGTACCTCTCAGTCTGCGTTCCCTGCTTAGCCAAACCCCTCCACCTCTCAAACACCTCTGCATCTCTCTTGTCACCTCTAGCTTCCTTTGCGTTATTCCAATGTCCCTTTGAAAACGCAATCAGAGTTGTAATGGTCTGGTTCTTGATATCATACACCAAGGAACAGATTGTACCTGTTTCCTCCAGCCAGTTGCATTGCCACAATTCGCCCGGGCGGATGCATTGGTAAGTGCAGGTTTGGTAGTTTATGCGGCCTGCCATGGGACCGCCGTGGATGGCATCTGTGAAATGCGTGAGAGGGCTGCTGTGAATGGTGAAGGAAAGGGAGCAAGCAGAGAAAGACTTACACACGATGCGGTTGGAGGAAAAGAACCACATCTCATAGCGCCATTTCTCGGGTGTGCCGTCTTCGGCTTGAGCTGCGTAGTCGTAGATCAAATGGGTGTCTTTGATGTCGGTGTCGAAGGATGGATCGAGGTTGGTGTTGGTGAGAAAGGTGGGAAGTTCTTTTGAATCTGCCATGGCGGCTGAGGAGAGACGGGTATATTACAGATGGTGAATTGTACTGAGGATTGATATGGATATGGGTCCACTGAACGAAAGTTTGATGGGTTGGATATTCAAGTAAGTACTTATATTCTTCGGACCAGCAAGATTCAACTGCCGAACTGTCTCGCGATTCTTGCCAGAAGAGCTCTGGTGATTTTGACTTTGTATAGCTCTCATGACGTCTCGCGCTCCTTCAAGTGTCCAGATTCGGATGCTTCGGCAAACAACGGTCTGAGGTCGAAGCATGCTTATCTCGACCGACAACAACAGTTCGGGCCGAGGGTCTTCATGTCCTACCGACTGGGAACCGATATCGAAGATAAACTGACCAAGCGGGTTTTGCACTTACCGCTGGAAGGGATTCGAGATTTAAAGCTGTGTCAGATGTCCTCTAGGAAGCGTCCGCAGCGTTACATTAAGCTCAAGCAGAGTAACATTGCTCGACAGACGGCGCATTGGGAAGATTCACGGTAGATCCTTGCAGCATGTTCAATCACAAGCAAAGGCAAGACAAGATTCAAAAGTCGAGCACAAAATCCAGTTTGGTGGTATCATATAATCGCAAAGAAAAGTTTTTGAAAAAAAGAAGTTTTTTGAGAGACCTTGTTGGAATGTGTGAAGAGCATTGTCATAAAACGAACTCTCAAACGCTTTTAAAATGCCCCAGTGTGGTATCATTGGACATTCCATGGACGACCATAACCTGACTCCGACGAAGCCGATATTGCATGGACGTGACTCTTGACCTTTCGACACGACTTGCATGTCTTGTGTCTTAGCCAGCCAGCCTCGTAGCTTGACCCATGCTATTCTGCGCTGGAGTGGCAAGTTTACTTGCGCATGGAGGAAGCACGGCGCTTCTTCATCTCCTGCTGCTGGGACTTGGCCTCGGCAACACGCTTGTGGAGGATGTTGGCGTACTCGGTCTGAGAGTGAATTAGCGAGACTGTTATGAACGTCGAGAGAAAGGCAGAGAAGACGTACGGCGGCGTCCTTGGAGGCCTCGGCGTTGCGGCGCTTGAGGGCCATGCGGTGACGCTTGTGCTGGAGACGCTGGGGAGTAACCAGGCGCTGGATGCGAGGAGCCTTGGTGTAGGGCTTGGCACCCTCCTTCTTGGGCTGGACCTCACGGCGGATGACGAACTTGCGGACCTAATTCACGACACAGTCAGCATACTTGTACAACTCAGACTCGGTTCAGAAAGATGGTGAATCTTTGAACCGGCGACGATGGAAAGGGGAGTACCCACATCATCATCCTTGCTGAGACCGAAGAAGCGGCGGATCTTGGTGGCACGCTTGGGGCCGAGACGCTTGGGGTGGACAACGTCGGTCAGGCCGGGGATGTCGTTCTCGCCCTGCTTAACGATGGAGAGGGCAAGGACGGACAGGTCCATGGCAACGATGCAGCCGCGGACGGACTTGCGCTTGCGCTCACCGGTACGGCGGGGGCGGTAGCACGAGTGGCCCTCAGCAAGAAGCAGACGGACACGGGTGGGGTGCATGACACCCTGCTTCATGGGGAAACCCTGCTTGTCGTTGCCACCGGTGATCTTGAAGACGTAACCCTTCCACTCGTCACCGACAGAGTCGGCGGGGACCTCCTGACCCATGCGGCGGTCCATGAAGACGCGGAGACGGCGCTCATCCTCAACTTCGATGAGCTTCTGGGAGCCGTTGGCGGGGTACGAGATGTTAAGCTTCATGGTGGCTCTGAGAATCTGGTCAGTACGACAGGCTTGGTGTGGTAGAAAGCTGTATGGCAGTCGGCTGGGCTGTGGATTGGGCGATATGGCTGCGCAGATATTCTAATGGATGGCTGAAGCGTAGGCGTGTGCAGTGGACCGTGTGCGCGTTGTTGTTTCGTTCTGGACTGCTTGTCGGTGTGTTGTGTCCGGCGCAGAGAATTTTTCGACCCGTCAAGGCATCTCTTTCGAGCTCATCTTGCTGGTGCCACAGTAGTCGTGCTTCTGACGGCTGTCGCATGCTACGCGCAGTCGTTGGAGATGGCCATGTCGTGTTGCAAGACGTGTGTGCAGGCGCCGCGATTGTCGCTGTAGCCGTAGCCGTAGCCGTCCATGTCCAGAGAATATTTGCAAGCCATATGCCCAAGCCACAGTATCCGTCGATCATACCAACAGCATGAGGGGTGATTCTTACTATTGTCGAGAGTTGTCGTCGTCGGTGGTCGCTGCGCGCTTCTGCGGAAAATGAGATTCGAACTTTGCGAGCTGGGATTTTGCAATCGCTTAGTCAGCTGTGGGTGCCTCGCTCAACACACGTGACAAGCCCGAAGCGACTTCCACATCCAGCCACATCCAACTTCACTTCCATGTCCGTCCTTGCTATCGCGAATAATATTATCACATAAGTCATGTTCTTCACTTCAAGTTAACCTTTGACTGCGACATCGTCACGGGAGCACTAGGGGATCGAAGAGTGCGTGGGGTCTGCAAGTCTTCTAACCAGATGGACTTGTCTTGGACTATCCTGTCTGTGGTCGAGAATAGCACTTGAACGTAGAAGCGAGCTCTGTCTCATTACCACCTTCTAATGGCACATACACTGTCTCCATATTCTCCATGTGGCCCTTGTTTCCCAACATCATACTCTGAAAAAGATACAGCACGTAGTTGATACGGACAAAAGTCTCAAACCTTCTCGTATGCTAAGGTTTGTGACTGCTGTTCAACTCTAGCGACTATGCTCAAGTGGTGGAATAATGTGTGATCGTCCCCACCGGGTAGAGAAGTACACACACAGTCGTTGGGCTCGCGAATCATGCATCTCAATGGCTACACGCATTGAAAGGAGGCATACGAGAAGAGAGCATGTCAGAAGCACAAGTGCACTATCGGGCAGATAACTCAGTCATGACCAATGACAGAGGCGTGTACCCCAATCTCCTTCCCTCACTTCCATCTCAACCTCTATGATCGCACGACTCTGCCACTCTCTCACACAAATCACATCTGGTCTGGTGGTCATCCATCACCTCCTACAAAGCCAGCTAACCCAATTCGGTAGTCACTACACATCTATCAATCCAACAACCACCAACCATCAACAAGACCCTTCAGGGGTTCGAATCTGCTCATCATCGCTTTACCTTTGCAGCAATAACATTCAGGTCTCAGATGCAGGTGCCCTTGAGAAATGTAGAGGGTCGAGTCAAACTTCTGAGGCTGGAGGAGAAGTGAAGGGCACTGGGAAGAGGGGAAGAGTCAACAACGACAACGAGAGGTAAGCAAAACATCCTACCACCAGACCTGTGGTTGCTTTTTTTGCGCCATCCTGCTGTGATTGAGTAGCAATTTGTAGGGTTGAATTGGAAGATTCTTGCTCTAGAAGACAAGGCACACGCATCGCAAGTTTTATGTTGATCAGGGTTATCTCGAGCGCAGTGGGTGATGTTCGATCTCCATTCGTGCAGTCTGTCTACCAATATTCCTTCATACCCATCTGTCCAACTTACTCTCATCATTCGGTTGTGTACCCCAGCTATAGGGCCTCACAACATCCTTGGAGACATACCTCGGAAACATCACTGACAAAGACCGCACTTATACTGTACCAATACCCTTACATCCTTCTCTCATAAGAACTCCACTCAATGTACAATGTTACGTTCCAAATCTCTGATATTGCCATACCTATCCCAAGAACCAAGGACACTGTCATCTTCGGTGCGGAATTTGAAATCCTCACAGGGATATCCAATCAGCTCCTTGTGCTCTTCCAAAGCTACGACGATCCACTTCGAAACCACACCCTTGGCGGGATTCTTCACGTGGAACGGAAGATACGTATCGTGTTTTCTCTTGGTCAGTCGAGACGGCTGGATCCTTAGTGACGACGTGTTGTTGAAAACGTCGTCGTTAGGAGCCGGCACGATGTTGGTGAGATCGCCGAGCTCGTTGCCTCGTAGAATATCTCGAACCTCTTGTGTATGCGACGCTCTTAGAGTGTCGTTGCGTGGGCTTAGTTGTGGGAAGAACATTGGTGCTGGTGATGAGATGCAGGGCGACGACAATGGCCCCAAGCGTGGTGGTGATGGTGGCAGTCTTAAGATGTTGCGGCGGTCGAACTGTTCGTATGCTGATTCGAAAGTGTGGTTGGAAGGTAATGGTAGATTCGACGGTGATGGTCTTGATGGCGAAGGACTTGATGGCGGTGGGGATGCTTCGTACCGCGTAGGCGATGCATGGAAGCAGAGTAGTGACTGCTTTCGTTGTGTAGGCAATGGTGAGTAACGAGGTGATGTGGGGACCCGGGCCGGCGATGTGTTGAATGCGGCAGATGTCAGCAGTGGCGATGGCGACGTCGTGTTGTTGAGATACGTTTGATTAGACGTATTGTGTCGATGGAGCTCCTGGTCTTCTTTGCTCTGTTCCGCGTTCTTTCCGGCGAGCCTGGCTTCGTACTGCGCATCCAGAAACGAAAGTTCATACTTGACATCCAGTTCCTCGCCCGTGTCCTCTAGTCCATTGCGAGAACTCCGAAGCGTAAGGTGATTGGTTGGTGGGTCGCAAAACTCTGGATCTGGCCGTGTTGTGGAATCACAGCCAACGCAGACACGATGGTCAGTTGCACTCCCGTGTTGTTTCGACGTACCCCAAAAGGATTCTTTCTTGACCCTTTTGGTTACTGGAGAGTCTGAGTCTGACGACAGAGGCCTTTTGACACCAGACACGCAACTGATAAGTCTAGTCGGCGCCATCTCCTATCATCAATCCCCTGGTATGGTACTTGCTTGATGGACAGTTGGAGGTGGCTAGGCACACACAGCTCCCGACAAGCGAAACTTGTTCGATGGCGCAGTAAGACGATATGTGATGATATGAGTTCTGTTTTGGTTCGACGTAGTTTGTTGGGATGTTTGAGATCGGGTAGGCTCGAGTTGTGGATGTGGTGCGAACGGCGATGGGTGACAGTGGAGAGAAACAGACGAAGACGACGATGCGCAAACGAATCTGCTGTTCTGTGACTCAAAAATTCTACGCGCTCACTGACACAAGTGTCGTGCGATACTCGTGGCAGCGGTACGCGCATGGCTGCCACGTGGCTTGGCTTTGATGATGGTCGACCACAGTGTACAGCTCCGAACGTGAACGCCAGGGCAGCTCAACTTCCATTCCCATTACCGGACCAGCGCTGACCTCGTAGTAACATACACAGCATGATGTTGTGACTCTCGTGACTAACCTTGATCTTATCCGGCGTTGTAGATGTTCGATCGGGTCCAGGTCCTCATCGAAGGATACTTACATGTGCAAAACAGGAGACAGAGACCCACCTTGTGTTGATTTGGACGGTATAACAACCCGAATCCGGTCGACCTGCTGGAAAAGCCATCGTGTGACAATATCCAGCTCCGTTGGCATGCAAGCAAGGTCATGAAGCATTCACGAGCCACGAACGAGCAAGTGTGTCTGCATATCGAGGCATATGATAGCCAATGACTTCTGCTGATGATCCAGCATCTCTTGTTTTCTTTCTCCGTTCCAGTGAATACCTCCGAGATTTCTCATACAAATGACAGTCGGATGTGGAATGTCATTCAAGGTAAAATTCTGTGATATTGAATCGAGGATGTTGCGCTGCCTGTCGAAAAAGGAAACGATAGCTGGACCGCAGTTCGTCGAATCTGCTTGAGAAGTCTGTGTCTTCCAATGTGAATCAGCAAAGGTCACTCGGGCACGCGCGCTTGTTAGGTAATGACAGACGCGAGGGTGCGGAGTAAAAACGTGGAGGACGAGCTTCTGACCGCAGATTGGACCGTGAGTATTCGCCTTGGCATGGCTTGTTACCAACAGTCGCCTTCAGATTACCTTCAAGACAACATTGGTTGGCATTCTCTATCTTGACGGTCTCCTCTGATGCAATTCTCCTAGTAAGCAGCCTGAGACAAGCAACGACATCTCTTGACAACGCTGCAGTCTCTGGCAGTCTTCTCTCGAGTCTTGTTTTGCCTCCCGACCTGTTCACCAAGAGCATGGCGAAATCCTCTATCTTATGATCGGCTAATTGCTCACCCATTTCGTCTTTTGCCAAGTTACCAAGACCGCCGGTGCACATCGCCCAGAGTGTCGGTTCGTTCGCGCTGATAAGCACTCAAGCAAGCAAATGGTCACACTCCAATGTGACATTATCTCAGCCGTGCGAAATTCTCAGCCGGGCGGAGTCGGTGTAGGGCGCACGACAGTGTGGCAAGTCGCGCTGCTTTGGCTGAGGGCTCGCTCCGGACATTCTTGGCATACCATTACGAGTGACAATGTGATAACACCTCGGGTTGTGGAAAAGGAACATGCCCAATAGTCCACCGGGTGACCTCTTGCTTGGCCGATAAGAAGAAAACATCACAGTAGGTATTAAGGTCATGGCGTTCTGGGCAGCGATATCAACGAACATGTCTTCTTTCATAACATTGCTGCATTCCCACGTTCTTCTCTCTTCCACCACTGCTCTCATCCTTCGACGCACTAGAGTTATCTCATTAGTTTGAGATTGCTCCTTTTGGCCAGTGTCACGGTACCCACGTTGACGAATTGCTGGGCAACCTCTTTTTCACCTTTCTCTGTACGTAACACCCCCTCATCTCTCCGAGAGAAGTTTTCCTTTAAAGATCCCCAGGACTGATCGCATGTCCTTCTCCAGATTCTCCCCACAGTCCCCCACATCTTGACCTCGTGGTATAACTTCCTTCATCATGACTTCCCACGAAAAGGGAACAGCCGATCCTGAGATCGCAAAGACTGCCTCTTACGACTATGAAGCCCAGGACATTGCTGCCATCAAGGAGGGAACTTCCAATGAGCTCCCTGGAGAGCAGCTCCAGCGTGGTCTCCACTCTCGACAAGTTTCTATGATTGCTATTGGTAAGTCGAACCAAGCTCCAGGGAATTAGCAAATGCTGACCAGCCATAGGTGGTGCACTTGGTACTGGACTTATCATTGGAACCGGCAAAGCCCTCGCTCAGGCTGGCCCCGGTTCCATCTTGATCGCATACAGTTTCGTCGGTCTTCTCGTCTGGATTGTCATGGCTGCCGTCGGTGAAATGGCTGCTTGGATTCCCGTTGCTGGTGGGTTCAGTCCCTTCGCTACTCGTTTCTGTGACCCTGCACTTGGCTTTGCTCTGGGTTGGACTTATTGGTTCAAATACATCATCGTCACGCCGAATCAATTGACGGCTGCGGCGTTGGTCATATCATATTGGGTCGACGCGGACAAAGTAAATCCGGGTGTCTGGATCACAATCTTCCTCATTGCCATTATCGCTATCAATTATCTGGGTATCCGCTTCTTCGGAGAATTCGAATTCTGGCTCTCTTCAATCAAGGTCTTGGTCGTTTGTGGCATGATCATCCTGTCTCTCGTTCTCGCGCTCGGAGGTGGCCCAGATGGCGACAGGAAGGGCTTCAGATACTGGAAGAACCCCGGAGCTTTCAAAGAATACAAGGGTACGGGCGACGCCGGCCGCTTCTTCGGTTTGTGGAGTTCCATGGTTACCGCTGTCTTCGCCTACCTTGGAACAGAATTGGTTGGTGTTACAGTCGGTGAAGCCGAGAACCCTCGCAAGACCATTCCTAGAGTAAGTGATACAGATTCTGCATACTACGATCGCACTGCTAACCATACCTGTACTTTAGGCTATCAGATTGACCTTCTTCCGTATTGTCTTCTTCTACATCCTTTCGGTCCTTCTAGTCGGCATGATCGTCCCTTACAACAGCCCCAATCTCGCTTTCGCTACCAAGCAATCCAACTCTGCTGCTGCGTCGCCTTTCGTTGTTGCCATCCAGCTTGCTGGCATCAAGGGTCTTCCTGGATTCCTGAATGCTTGCATTCTGATCTTCGTCTTCAGCGCCTGCAACTCCGATCTCTACATTGCCAGTCGTACCCTCCACGGTCTTGCTCTCCGTGGCCAAGCACCCAAGATCCTGGCCAAGACTGACAAGCGTGGTGTTCCTTACTACGCCCTCGGTTCCTCTGCTCTGTTCTGTCTGTTGGCATACATGAACGTCTCATCCAGCAGCAAGGAAGTCTTCGGCTACTTCGTCAACCTGACCACTATTTTCGGTCTGCTGACTTGGATCTCCATCCTCGTCACCCACATCTACTTCCGCCGCGCCTGCAAGGCCCAAGGCGTAACCCCCAAGCAACTCCCCTACGCCGCACCCCTCGGCATCTGGGGCTCCTACTTCTCCCTCTTCTGGTGCTGTTTGATTGCCCTGACCAAGAACTTTGCCGCGTTCACCCACGATAAGAGCTATGGCAACTTTGACTACAAGAACTTCATCACTGGATACCTTGGTATTCCTCTGTATCTGATCTTGCTCTTTGGATTCAAGTTCATCAAGAAGACCAAGGGTATCAAGCCCCATGAGGCTGATCTGTTCACTGGCAAGGATGTCTTTGATCGTGATGAGGAATACTGGAAGGCTGTTGAGCATGAGAAGGATCGTAAGCGTGATGGAAGTTGGTTCTACAAGACTTTCCTGTCTTGGCTGTTCTAGATGAAACGCTTCGGATTCGCTTCAAAGGGATGAGGATGATTTTTTCAAAGTTTACGATTTCTTATCTCATAGGTTACGATGGTCAATGCGCTAGTGGTGTGAGAGTGATAGTTATATCTCTATCTTGACTGCCTCTTTTTCCAAACTGCTAGAGTGCTGTCTCTCCCATATGCTAGCTTTTGTGATACTAACGCTCATCTCACAAAGGTCTAAAGCCCCATGCTTGTTATAGAAAGGTACAATGATAACCAGATTAGTGATACATCCAAAGAGAGCCCAGAGAGTACCGCATCTCGATGGGTGCGGTCCAGTTCTCGAGAACATTGTGCATTGTTATAGCTATGCGCGTTACAACCCTTTGTACATGGGGAGGTGATCACGTTGTTGCGGTCAAGAAGAAAATTGCATGCCAGACGCTCTTTCCTTCCGCGGACTCACAAACGATTGTGTCACCTCCACAGAAGTCTGTGTAATATGTATACATGATCGAAAGCAGATATCACCCTTCAATCAACAAACAACGCAAAGTCATGCAATAAATCGTCTCATATCTCATCCATACGTGCGTACATAAATTATCTAGTTCAAGATGATCGCATATCCATCAAACGCCCAGAGACTAAAGTCTTCTCAAATCCTCTGAGTCTCCTCCTGGTGAATGGTAATCGAGCCCTTTCTCTCAACCTCCTCGACCCTGGCCTCTAATTCTCCCGTCGCAAAGCCCTTGCGGCTGCCAGCAGCGGTACCAGGAACGAACAGAGGTGCATTGGTGAAGAGGTAGTTCATCTCCTCGAGAGGACGGCCGGCAGTCTCGGGAAGAATGGCCCAGAAGAAGAGGGCGTTGGTGAAGTTGCAGACGATGAAGACAATGTACCATCTCCAGCCAATAGCATCAATGGCAACGGAAGTGGTCTGGCCAATCATGGTGTTGAAGGCGAACGAGACCATGGTAGCGATGGAGACACCCTTTGAACGGGTTCTGGTATCGAAGATCTCGGCGGGGATGATCCACGAAAGAGGTCCACAGGTGGACGAGAAGGTGAAGTTGTACAACCAACAGCCAACCACGATGAAGCCCCATCCGGCGCCCTTGTTCGACTTTGAGGGGTCCTCAGCGTTAGGGGGGAACTTGGCGAGCAGGACGGTTGCAACAATAAAGCAGAGAGCATTGCCAATGTTACCGAGAATAAGAGGCCAACGACGACCGAACTTGTCGATGAACATCAAGCAGAGGAATTGAGCCAAAAGAGCAATCAAGGAAGAGATAGCCTGGTACTTGAGGGTGTCGTCTCCAGAGATACCAATCTGAGCAAAGATCTCGACCGAGTAGTATTGGATGACGGAAACACCGGTCATCTGGACGGAAGCCTGAAGAGCGACAGCGATGAAAAGACGACGGAAGGATGACTTGTTGGTGAAGAGCTCCGCGTATGACTTTGCTTCGTGCTCTTTCTCGTAGGTGACGGCATCCTGAATAGATTCAAATTCGGCGACGACCCAGGCGTCTTGGGTGTTACCATGGGAGTGCAGCTTGGCGAGAGTCTGGAGACCCTTCTCGGTTTGTCCATTTGACATGAGCCACTGTTTTTGTGTTAGTCAAATCACCACATCCCATTATGGCCGAGAACGTACTCTAGGTGACTCGGGGAAGAACAAAATCAGAGCAGCGAGGAGCACAGCTGGCAGCATCTGGACTCCAAGCGGAATACGCCACTGTCGGCTGTCGCGGTCTCCGTAAGAGGTGTAGCATCCAAACGCGGCCCAAGAAGCGATGAAAGCACCGATGCCCAACATGAATTGCTGCAGAGATGTTACGCGACCACGGATACTCGGGTGAGCCAGTTCGGCTTGGTACAAGGGAATGATCATGACCAGCATACCAACACTATCCACAAGTTAGCATTGAACGCAAAACCCATACTCGATGAGACTGACCCAAGACCAGCAATGGCTCGACCGGCATAAAGGTAATGTAGGTTCTGAGCAGCAGTCTGAAGAGCACCACCGACAATGAAGACGAGGGCACCGATCAAGATGGTCATCTTTCTTCCAAGTTTGTCACCACATGGGCCGGCGAAAAAAGCTCCAAAGAATGCACCGCCAGTAAACACGGAGACCACTGCACCGGTCTCGTTGGCATCAGGGTCGAATTGGTATTTGAAGGACTTGGAGCCAATAGCTCCGGCGATGACACCAAGATCATAACCATAGAGTACAGAGCCCAAGGAGGCAAAGACTGAGACTAAGAATTGATACCACTTGGGTGGAAGCGCCATGCTGAGTGAATAGTGTAGTGGAGAAGAGGGATGATCAGAAGACACAAGTGCCCATGGGGGGTTACATGATCAGATATAAATACAAGGACGACGATCATCAAAGTAGGGTACCATTCCGTCCTACCGGACGCGATCCTGCTTGACGGCAGATATTGATGCCGCATGCGCAGCAAATACTCACATACCATCAGCTCGCTCGATACAGCGGGTAGGTCTCGTGGGTGGCGCTGGCAAGATCACGAAGACGCCTCCCCGGTGGGCCATAGAGATTCCTTTCTCGGTTGTGGTCGCCTGTTTGAACCTAGAGTTTTGCGACAAAGTCGATCGGTGAAGTGCTCGGGGGATACATTGATTCCGGGGAGTCAAAGTTTGTCACACTCATATCGCTCCCACAATCGTGCACTAGCGATATTGATGCTATGCAGATGCAAAGTCACCTCGGGAAGGTAGAGATGTCCACAGAGAGCTCAGAGAGCTCAGAGTCACCACGACTCTCGCTGGCGCTCTCCTATCTTGGGAAGCTATTGTGCATTTCTCGAGCAATACGGGTGACATACTTCATTGTAGTGGGAGGACGGGGACGACGGTTGATGTGGGGTAGGGCGCATGGAGAGTGGAGGAGAAAACATGGAGTCGGTAGAGGCGTTCGGAGAAACCTTCGGCCAAGCTCGTAACCCTAACCATCACATCGACTTTCTGAAAGGCTGATATGTTGGCTGTCAGACCTGTTCTTGGACCAGCTGTGCACATCATCCACATCTACCGAGCGAGAATCAAATCTTCCGGTCTCTTTCGGCACCTCGTTCCTGCCAAGTTGTGCATCTCATCTTGAGAAGGAGCCATGAAGGATCTCGCGCCTTGGCAAACGTGCTGAACATCTGATAGTCGCTACCGTTTGAATACATGTCGATCAGCAGACCTTCAACCGCGGCGTGCCCGCCCTCACGGATAATTACGAGTAAAGGAGCAACTCTATTGGCGAAGTCCACCTCGAGGGCTCACGATGGCTGAACCTCGAGGTTCTTGTCGCGACTCGGGCCTTTTCGCTACACGCCTGAATGCAATGATACCGAAACCCTAAGATGAAACTGTGGACCAGCTTTGGTGTCCTCCACCGAGCTGTGATCATGTGGTAGATGGAAACAACGATTTAGGATCCAAAGTTTCCTGGTACTGGGTAGGTATCTTTTCTCTGTACCGCTTTGGCTGCTTTGTTTTTGTAAAAGGATCGAGTGTGGAAGACATATTGCGATCACCTCAATCAACATGGCCACTTTTACCAAGATCCCGGATTCAGAGACCCCCGTGGTCTCGGTCAACCACCTTAACAAGATTGCAAAGATCAACGACAATGTTTATGGAGGTTTCACCGAGTATGTTGCTGTGTCTATATCATCATCCATCGCGAGAGGCTTGTGACTGACATATCAAAAGACACATGGGCCGCTGCATCTATGGCGGTATCTACGATCCTGGCAACCCCCTATCAGATGAGGATGGTTTCCGCAAAGATGTGATTGAGGCATTCAAGGATCTCAACTGTCCTGTTGTCAGATATCCTGGCGGTAACTTTGTAGCTACTTACCACTGGCTCGATGGTGTTGGTCCCAGAGACCAGAGACCCGTGAGGTGAGTTCCTCTTCATCAGACATGTCGACCGATGCTGATATTTATCCAGACCGGAACTTGCCTGGCTCGGTGAGGAAAGCAATCAGTTTGGTACCGATGAGTTCCTGAAGTGGTGCGAGGTTGTTGGCACCGAACCATACCTTGCTCTCAACTTTGGCACCGGCACGCTGGACGAGGCTTTGGGCTGGTTGGAGTACTGCAACTCTGACAAGAACACTTACTACGCTAACCTGAGACGTAAGAATGGCCGTGATAAGCCTTACAATGTAAGTCGAATTCTATTTGAGAACTGAGAAATATCGAGAGCTAAGATTCAATAAGGTCAAGTACTGGGCTCTCGGAAACGAGATGTGGGGACCATGGCAGGTCGGCCAAATGACCAAGGAGGCATACGCAGACAAGGCCTACCAATGGGCCAAGGCCATGAAGTTGCTAGACCCCAGCGTCGTGCTTATTCTGTGCGGTGAGACCGGCTACAGCTCATGGGACACCTATGTGCTGAAGGAGTGCGTGAAATGGGACACTCACACTCTAGGCGGCAGCACGACCGCCTCACTCATCGACATGCACAGCATCCACATCTACACAGCTTCAAACGACCACTTGAAGAACGTAACAGCGCCTCGCAGTGCTGAGCGCGCCATCGAAATTACTGGAGGCTTGATCGATCTCGTCCGTATTGAAAACAAGGTGCCATATACAGTACCAGCACCCACCATCTGCTTTGACGAGTGGAACGTCTGGGACCCCGTACGTGCTCCCGGTGACATTGGCGCAGAGGAGAAGTACACTTTGTCAGACGCACTTGCTGTTGGTGTGTGGTTGAACGTCTTCATCCGTCAAGCCAAGTACATTGGCATGGCAAACATTGCTCAGAGCGTCAATGTCATTTCACCACTCATGACCACCAAGGATGGTATTCTCAAGCAGACGACATGGTGGCCTCTGCTGTTGTTCTCAAAGTACATGCGCGGCTGGACCGTGGCAGTCAATGTGCGCTGTGGCGAGTACGAGGGCGAGACTGAGCCCAAGTGGATCAGAGGCACCATCGAGACTCCCTGGTTGGATGTCTCGGCTACCATCAACGAAGAAGGTATTGTCAGCATGGCTGTGGTCAACGTGTCGGACAGCAAAGACTTTTCTACCAAGCTCGAGGGTGTCAGCAGTGACGCAATCACTGTTTACACTGTCACTGGCGACAATCCTATGGTTGCCAACACAAACGGCAATGAGGAGGAGGTTGTCATCAAGGAGACCAAGTGGGACGGCAAGGGCGAGTTCACTTTCCCCAAACACTCGGTCACTATGCTCAGATGGAAGGCTTGAAAAAGTTGCGATCAAAGAAACTTTGTGTATATAGATTGTTGATCGTTATTTGGAGGCATTATAGATTCAGCGACTTTCTCAAATCTAGCCATCTGCCTTTGCGCAAAGGATCTAGTTGCTCTAGTTGATCTAGCCATTCTGTCAACTCGAGAGTGGTAACCTTCTTGTTGCCCGCATCAATCTCGAGATATTCAGGAGTGTATGTCACCAAAGCTAGGTAGATCCACTTGCAGTCCTTGGTGTCTTCTAGCATATCCTTCAGTAGATCAAGCTGTGTGTCGTAATACTCGATGCGATGCTGATTTGTCAAGTTAGGGACTATCCTGAGGTCTGAGGATGTTTTGAGTGACAGGTTCGTCATGAGGTAGTTATGGTAGAACCACAGACTTTGATCATAGGGGTCTGTGTAGAGAGCAGTGATGATGAGTTCAAACTCGTCGTCGAGAAGCTTCTTACGAGCAGCAAAGTCGGCGTTTCTCTCCTTCAAGAGTTTGGGTATGAGCTGTAGTCTGTTGTGCCAGGCAGAGAAGTTTGACAGATTTGTCTTGATCATCTTGGTAGTGTATGCAAATTCGGACTCGGTCATAGACGGTTCAGATTCCCTCTGTTGTTCGTCTTGACTCTTGTCTTGGAGCTCTTGGGCCGAGAGGTCTTGGATGGACTTGACGACCTCCCTACGGTAGCTCCAACCGTGGAAATTGCGCGAGTCGTAGGTAAGCATCTTTGTGACCAAGGCCATCTCTTGTTGCCATAACTTCTTTGCTGATGTGACGGGAAGGTATTTCGAGGCCTGCTGCAAGAGCCATGCGCGGTGGTTCCAGACCCAGTAGCACTTGGGGAATTGCTTGAGCAGGGGCAGTAGGAAAGCCAGGTCTTCACGGATCAACAGGGTGATCTCATGTTGAGCTGGATTCAGGCCGGGCGCGGGCTTCGACTCGGCGTCTTCAGCTGGCGGAGAGTTGACTTCTTTGGCAAAGACATGTTGAAGGACGAGTCGGCGGTGGTTCCAGACGGTATAGTATTCGGGGTTTTGGGTGAGCAGGGCAGACGTCAGGCCGAGCGTCTCGGATGTGTACTCTTGGGCTTTGATCTGGACATGTTCTTAGCTCCAGGTATGGCTGAATGCTTGGAAGGACATGCCTTTGCTTGTTCACTGTCAACCAGGGCTTGGTATGCGCCAATCTGCTTGAGCTCCTTTCTGCGAGCGGCGTCCGTCTTGTCGCTGACGGCGACGCGGGGCACGCCGTGCTGTAGACAGGTCAACTTTGGCCAGCCAGCATCTTTGTCCCTCGCCAACTCACGCTCATGATTCGAATAGTCTGTGTCTGTTTGTTGGGAGCTCTGTTTGGCAATAAAGTCTAGCTCGTGTCATGCCGCAGTCGGATGCGCAGAGCTGGAGACAGCGCCTTCGACTTTCAAACAACAAACTCCCTACCAAAAAGCAGCGCACCCAACGCCGTCGCTTCTTCGAATCAGACCGAGACGTTCAAGTCGGTCCCTTCTCTTTGACCCTGAAAGCACGCTATCCTGTTCGCACCTTCTTCAAGAACCTATCCTTCCGCTTTTCCTTGCATCGTAGATCCAGTCAAAAATCAAAGCATTTCCATATCCCTTCCCAACCCATCAAGCATTCTTCGAAGCGACGTGCGAGCTCAACCTCGCACCGCAGTATTCATTCTGAGCCTGTCCTCAATCACCACGGCTTCAATCTTCGTTGAATGCTCTCCACCTCCTTTCTCTCCTTGACTGAAGCTTGCCGTCCCTCCTCCAAGTCACACGATGCACTCCAAGCAGAGCTCTGCGTCTAGTGAAAATGATCGACCCGATACTCAGCCATCTTTCAAGACTTAGCGCGTCTCGAAGCCTGCTCCACGCTCGTTGTCAGACGTCCGTCGTTCGAACCAGTCGTCCTCTTGCCAGTCATGGGTCTATCCCATTTCTCCAACCCCTGTCAAGCCACCTCCTGTGTCAACAGTCTGCCGCCTCCTCGATGCTTTCAATCTGGATGGCTGCAACGATGACATGGACATAGACGATCGCCATGCCGACGTGTCTAACACAAGCGACCATATGGAGTCAGATCCCGTGACAGTCACTGAGCCGGAGCCTATGGAAGGTATTGAATACGCTGAGGATCTAGCCATATCAACACCGCCCGGCCTGCCTGTTCGTCGTCCATCCACACTCAGGAATCATGCCAATCAGAGACCCAGACCATCGAGAACACCTGATCGCTTCGTCTTCGACAGAAACCCCAACGTACAATCTCGAGAGAGGTTCATGCTGTCCAGCCCTCCTCAAGACCTGACTGTTCACGACAGGTGGAGCCGTCGACAATGCCATGCCCATGATGCTTTCGGGTCCAGCACAAGGACTGGCCGAGGCTCGAGACGTTCGAGATCTCTAGTCAGACACCAAACCTCCAGGACTCCGAGACTGTTCATGAGCAGTCGTGTCAACCCTCTTGGTCTTGTCACGCCTGACAACCCTCGCGACATCAGTCAAGGTGCTGTGTGGAATGTCGGAGGCTCATCGTCTGTTAGCCCAAGTGACGGCGTTCGAAGTGTGAGTAACGGACGGGGTGGTCATATCACGAGCGGCACCAATGCACCTATGTTCAGATCTGATTTTGCCAACCGTGTACATGATGACTCCGAATTTTTGCACATCCACGGACAGCGTCTGAGTACTGCCATGGGACTTGATCCAGCCAACAGGGTCTTGGATCAAGGCTCTGGTCTGCTTACTCCAGTGAGTTCACCTGAAGCCAATGCCGCTGGAAGCTTCAGTCCGACTGTCTGGCGAAACAACGAGTGGACAAAACCTGGCTCTCCTCCATGTGAGTCACTTACGATTTGGTGCTAATCTAAACAGACTAACACTCTATACAGTGCAAAGTATACAGCACAAGTCAAAGAAAGTCGTTCCGGTCATCCCCTTCAGATAAGTCCATTTCATGTTGGCTCTCGGTTGATGCTGATGCTCCACACAGTACTCGATGCACCAGCACTTCGTGATGACTATTACTGTTCCCTTCTGGCGTACTCGGACACAGCAAAATGTCTCGCTGTCGGCCTTGGAGCGCAAGTCTACACATGGTCTGAGGTCCGAGGAGTTGAGAGTCCTGAGTTCTTGGGTCAACCCTTTTCTGGACACGTTACATCGCTTTCATTCTCATCCACACAAGGTGAAAGGTCCATTCTTGCTGTTGGACGATCTAATGGATGCATAACGCTTTGGTCCCCTTCAGAGGCGAGCCCAAGGTTCAACCACACCCACCGCTCTCCGGTCTCTTGTGTTTGTTTCAGTCCTCGCACTTTCCGTAGAGCATCTACTCAAAGTCTTCCAGTCAGAGTGCAGGTTGAGTATATGCTTGTCGGTAATGAAGCTGGCCAAACTTACTTGTACTCGGTAGAATGGCCAGACGAGCTCAACATGGACCTCTTCGCATGGCCTGGCAACATGACCGTTCTAGCACGTCTAGACCTCCACACGCAGCAGATCTGCGGGCTGGCCTGGAGTTCCGACGGCCGATTCTTCGCTTCGGGCGGTAACGACAATGCGCTCAATGTTTTCGAGACACGACGAATTCTGCAACCTGAGAACGCAACGGTACATCACACGGTCATGGTGAGGGATGATTTTACCTATTACCCACCGTCGAATCAAGAGGAAGCACTTTGGATCTTGCCAGGTCGACAGAGTCACCACTACACATTGAACGCGGCAGTCAAGGCCTTGGCTTTCTGTCCATGGCAACCGTCTCTGCTAGCTGCTGGTGGTGGTAGCAATGACCGTTGCATTCATTTCTATCACACTGTATCTGGAGCGAAGCTTGCAACCATCGATTGTTCATCACAGGTCACGAGCTTGGTCTGGAGCAAGACTCGGCGTGAGATCGCTGCTACTTTCGGGTTCACCCAACCGGATCACCCTATCCGCGTGGCCGTCTTCTCATGGCCGGCATGTGAGTGTATTGTCCGCATCCCTTAGTATGGTGAAGAGCGTGCTCTCTGGGCTATTGGATTTCCTGGTGGTCCCGACAGTTCCACGCCTGGTGAAGATTCTGGCAGATCATCGGCAAGAGAAGGTACACCTTGGTATGCAAGACGAACACGCGCAGAAGGTTGCCTGGTTGTTGCTTCCAGCGACTCGAGCATCAAGTTCCACGAGGTCTGGAGCGAGGAGCCGACATCTTATCGCAATGGGTTGGTGACGCCAATGGGGACCAACATGGGCATCAATGGCTGTCTTGGTGGCAGTGACATACTGGAGTCGCTGCATGGGATTGAGAAGGAGGGTGCTTCGGTGATTCGTTGAGCTCTTTTGCCGGGAGAAAGACTTGTGATGGGTGCTCGGGCAGGAAGAATTGGGTGTTTGATTGTTATTGTTTCTTGCATTAGTCACTTTCACTCCTAGAAGACAGCCGCACATCAATGAATCCTAAGCTTATTCTTTTCTGCTTGATCTCTCGAAAGGTAACATTTCGTTGCAAATCATTCTTTTCACATTCAGTCCCTCTCCGCTGTGTACACAGGCTTATAGTAGGGGTGCAGATAATCTAGATGCAAGCAAAGAGAGAAAAAAAAACGGAAGATGTAAAAAGTACAAAGCTGGGTGCGTGATATAATCGAAAAGAAAACAAGCAAATATAAACTCCCCATTTGTAATGACCCATGATCTTCGTGATAACATGTAAGGGGGAAAAAACGCAAGCATAAAACGCCTTTTTGTCTTTTTGTCCAACTGAGGTCAGAATCCAAAGAGAATGGTGGAAGGAAGCAGTAACGAGTAGAAGCAACCAGATCAGAGAGAGCATCAGCACATCTATGCACCAGCCTCAGTCTTGGTCTTCTTGGCCTGAGGGACCTCAGCCTCAGCATCGACCTGATCCTCGAGCTCTCTCTTCTCAGCCACACCGTTCAGCTCCCTCTGCTTCTGCTCAAACTTCTTCTTTTCCTCTTCGGTCATGTTGGGGAGCAAGGGGTCTTCGGTCTCCTTGTGCAGGTTGGAGTAGAAGGTACGGATGATGGAGTCTGCGTCGTCGATGGCGATGGGGCGGACGTCGGCGAGGGCCTTGATCTTGGCTGTGCAGAGCTTGACTTGGGCGTCTGTCATTGTGAGGGAGAGTTGCTCGACGCGGGATTTGATTGCGTTCCAGCCGGTCAGGCGGGAGGCGAAGTGGACGTAGCGCTTCATGCCGAACTGTGAGGTTTGTCAGTACTGAGATCCAGCGAGAAAAGAGGGAAGAGGGGAAACATACATCGGCGGGATCAATGATCTCGTAGGTGGAGGGGTTGGCGAGGATGGCCTTGGCGTGGATACCGGCCTTGTGGGTGAAGGCGGAGAAACCGGTAATGTAGTTGTTGAAGGGAATGTTGATCTCGACCGAGTCGGCGACGAGATCCTCGATGGCCTTGAGCTTGTGCAGGTCGTACTTGCCCTTGACGTAATCGCGGTCGGCAACAATCATGCGGGCCATCAGACCACCCAGAGGAGTGATGCCGTTGCGCTCACCGATACCGATGACCGAGGTGTCGATGTGAGTGGCGCCGGCCTCGAGGGCACAGTATGCGTTTGCAATGGCACAGCCAGAGTCGTTGTGGAAGTGGCACTCGATGTCGCAGCTGACGACGCCGCGCAGGGTTCTGACCAAGTCGTAGACCTGGCGGGGCGAGGCACAGCCGACGGTGTCGGCGATACCGACTCTGTTGACACCGACCTTGTCGACGGCAGCGTAGAGCGAGAGAAGGTCGACCAGGTCGGATCTGAAAGAGTCCTCGGACGAGAATCTGATTTCGAGACCCTTGGACTTGACGAACTGGATGACCTCGATGGCAGCGTTCTGCAGAGTGGATCAGCGGCTGGAGATGGAGAAATGCATTACAAGATGCAAACGTACCTTGATGTAGGTCATGTCCTTGCCGTGCGAGTGCTCTCTCAGGAAAGAGCTGGTGCCGATAACGACATCGACACCGTCAACACCGGTCTCAACAGCAACCTTGACATCGTCCATGTGGCAGCGAACGTGGGTCAAGATCTTGGCCTTGAGACCCAGCTTGCAGATGGCCTCGCAGTCAAGACGCGACTGCTCAGAGGCACACGGCGAGGTGAGCTCGATGCAGTCGACACCAAACTCATCCAGAGCCTTGGCGATCTTGATCTTGGTCTCGGTGTCAAAGTAGGCATTGGCAAACTGCTCGCCCTCACGCAGCGTCGACTCGATGATCTTGAAGTTTGACACGTTGGACAGGAAGTCGCCTACGGGTTGGTAGGGGTTCTTGTTGACTTGGTGTGTCTTGCCCTTCTTCTCGAAATCGCTCTCGAACTTGGTGAAGCCGTCGTGGGCTTGGTGCACTCGATTAGTGAAGGTTTTGTGTTTGAAAGCATGTTGCAAGTACTTACAGCCATTGGCTTGAGCACCGTTGGTGGCGGGAGCGCCGTCGTCGACTGTAGGACACATTTTGGTATAGATAGTTGTGGTGGAAAGGGTATGATGAAAGGAAGGAAAATAAGTGCAACTGAAAGCCGACGAGAGGTTTTAGAGCTGCTCCGCTTGAGTCACCGGCCACAGAGCAAAGTCCAAGCGCACGCTGGGCCTCAAAAATTCGAGTGGGGCCCCAATGACGAGCATCTGCTCCGGTGTCGGCCTCTATTTATTACAGCAATGGTCAGCAACTCCAATGTTCACCTGGAGAACATCAAAGCATTGAATGATAATCTTTTGACATCACCTACCTGTATTGACAGACTCTGTAGACACTGAACTGCTTTACTCCTATATCTACCTCACTACCTGTCGCCTCTCTGCTCGTTTATCTCCTAGAATTGGCCGAATTCTGTTGATCAGCGCTTTCTCGACTTCTTTTTTGTTCGGACATGTTGAGCGGCGTCACTCCGACGGAGAATACCGTCGGCCCAGACATCGCTCGACCAGAAATTCATCTCCCCAGCCCTTGTTGCCCGGCCATCGGCCTCTTGGACTTTGTCACTCTCGTTATAAAACGCTTCCAACTCGTTGAGATTCGGCCTCTTCAGCTCCGCCGCTATCAATCGACCTTCGAGACAAGACAAAGTGCCTTGCAAGACAGATTTTGGATCTTTCTCCCGGCCGGTGCTTTTCTTATCTCCGCTACCCCACACGCGCGATGCTCGCGTGTGCTGTGTTGATCTCCTTTGGTCCCTTGATCGAGACTCCAAGCCTCAAATTCTCCCGTGTGCTCACATACGTGATCATGACTCACGAGCATAATCAATCAATGTCTGTAGCCTTCCTTGAAAGCTGAGTCAACTCGTGGACTCGTGAGTCATTCTAGGTGAAGCGTAACCACGAGAGGAGAATCAAGAGAAAGAATCCGAGGGATCCTGGAACCATTGAATCTCATGGGACATGTGACAGCAGTCAACAGCTACAGGAGTGTGTCCTGGACACAGCTACCGTCCATGAGCCGTGCGATGACCCCTTCGTTATCTAGCTTGATATCCGTCAGGAGTATTGTCCTTGCCGTCCCTTTGGGGTGTTTGTGATGCCAGAGGTCGCAACAAACTTGACGATATGATCCAACACTCCCTTTTCATGGACGACATAGTGCTGAGCCTTCAACGCGGGCTGGGTTCTAGCTTTTTTCCTCTTGTTACGTTGGACAGAAAGACGAGGTGGCTCTTCCATCTCGGGGTCATCTCTGCCAGATCTGGGTACTGGTGCATTAAGATTGTGACGGGGCTCGACAGTGAGTTCTCCGGCAAGAGTGCGCACGACGGGCTTGGTCTACATGTTGGTAGCGGTGTCTGATATCAATAATCAGAGCTGGCGAGTGCTCCGATGCATGATTTCTGGCTTGGACGCACGTAGGCTACATTTTCTTGGCAAGACTACCTTCTCGTAGAGCTCCCCTCCGTCCACACCGTGGTCTCTCGACAGTAGCGTTGCATCTGATAGTTGCACTGCAACAGGCTTTTACTCACATTCAGATTCAATGCATACAAGCAAGAAAATGCGAGAAAGAATGACGTGTTTCAAAAGACAGTGCTAAACAGAACTTCCCAGACTCCTCAAGAGAGTGTTCGTATCTCAGTTGCCCATGTTCCCAAGATCATCCCACAACCTCTGGTTTCCTTCTTGTATTTCGGCCACCAATTCCTCGAAACTCTCTCGCAGTTTTGCTACCGAATCACTCTCGGGTGTTTCATCTAGCACCGAACTCTCCTGCACTTGGGGCTCCTGTTCGCTCTCCTGGGCCGGTGCGTCCTCTACCTCGTCTGTCTTAGGCGAATACGTCAAGTAATCGAAGTTTTGATTGTGAGCACTTGAAGTATGGATACTGTGGCGACGACGAGGCGAAATACCAAATTGTGTTTGCAGGCGCTCGGTGCTGGACGCATTGGATGTCTAATCTTCGGTACTGGACGTATCGGGTGTCTGATCCTCCGTGCAGGACGTATTGGATATCTCATCCGCGCCGGCCTTGAAACCTTCATCGTAGCCGTTCCAGAAGCCCTGACCGTACATTTCGTTGTTGGTAAGGCCTTGCTAATGCACTCCGTTGATGATGCGAATCAGTGTTGGCTCGAGTTCGTAAACGGAACTGGAGGTGGTATCGGGAACTACGTCTTCGTATTGAACTTCTTGTTGCTTGGCTTCTTGCTGCTGAGACTGTTGCTGGAGGGCTTCATGGGGAGTGTCTTGCTGATGGACTCCGTTGGATTGGACTGACATGCTGCCGAAACCGTTGCTGTCCGCGATCTGTAGAGAGCTGGAATCGTGGCTGGACATTTTCGAGTCGGTATGAGTGGAATGTTGAAATGGACGTTGTGATGAATATCAGGTATGAATGTGGTGTTGATGGGGAGACGGAGATGTTGGTTGATGCTGTGTTGTTTTATGTACATGTTTCTGAAGTGGGAAAGAGCGTATGAATCCGAGACGAAGGCGACTTCCTAATGTTTAGTGTCCAGAGAAATCTAGGATAGCTACCTTGGCGACTTCAGGGCCGACCATTGCTGCATATCTGCCAACGACTCCTTTGATTGAGTTCGCATCTTCGATATCGCCACTTTCCCATGCCACAAGGTCCTGAATTGTATCAGCATTTTGCATGTGCTGTCTGGACGAGAATGACCTACTTCTGTATGTACCGTCATTCCTTTACTGATATGGATGCGCATCTTGTCGAGGTCCACTTGTGCCTCAACATCTGCAGCACTCATCATTCCAGGCATATTCCATTGGAAGAGATCCTCAGGATTGGCAGCCACTTCCACCGGAGTATCTAGCAGATAAGGAATGCCTTCTTCGCCCTTCTTGTGACTACGCTCGCGTGACAACGAAACGTATTTCTGCTGCGCCATCAACTCGCGCACTTCTCCCTCTAACGGATTCCATTCGTAAGTCTCGGGATCCAGCACATATTGTGGTTTGTAGTCGCCCTTGTAGCGCATCTTGACGCAGCTGTGGATATAGTAGCCCATGTAGTAGAACTCGTAGCCGCCCTCAAGTGCAAGCGCTGCTTCTCTCATCGCGCTGAGTTTGCCGAAACTCCACTTTTCGAAGTCTTGATGGTAAATGAAGTAGACTCCACTGACTGCATGTGGCAAGAGGTCAAGAACTCCAATGGCGATAAGTCGGCCGTCGAGTCGATAGCATTGGTGATATGATCCCAGACGTTGTTCTTTGCCATCTTTCTTTACTGTCTCCCGAGCTATCGGAGATTTGCAGAGGAAACGCTCGAAACCTTTCTTTGAGACTTCTTCGGGCTCGTCGTGATGCACATGGATCTGGTAGTCTTTGTAGAGCTGGAACTTCTCTTCGGTACAAGTGTCGGGCTCTAGAGTGACCTCGAAGCGATGAGCTGGTGCAACAGGCTTCAGTTGGTCGATTTCTGCTTCGTGGACTGTGTGCAGCAAGTCGAAGCCATTTCTCTGACGAGCTTTCTCTCTGGAGATTGAAGTTCAGCTTATGAAAAGCTAGGCATAGAGGCATGTCAAGCTTACTCCTTGGTCTTGGGGAAACGCTTGGTGGTCTCCTTGATGTACTCCTCTCCAAGCACTAACTTGTTCCAGCTATTTAGAGCTTTTCGTTGGTTGGTGTTTGCGGCAAGCGACTTTGCAGGCAGCCTAGGGGGTTCATCAGTGACATTCGGCTGGAGACGATGATGGACCACCCACCTGATGGTGTAATGAGGGCAGCATGATCGATATACATCCGGCTTGTAGATGAGGTTACCAGATCTATACAATCGTCAGCCGATGTACTCTACTCTCGGATGAATAGTATAGCCAGCAAGCAAGATGGCTGGCAAGTTTCGTTTTGCTCAAGTGGCAACTCCTAATGTCGTTGCCGTAGAGAAATGCTTACCGTCTCCAGCCTCGGTCAATCAAGTCCTGGTATACTTTGGCACTCAAAGACTTTGTGATCACGTAGTACGAGCCACCTGCAGCAGTCAGAACATGTTCATGTGACAATCTAGAAGGCGACGAAGAATGATGGACAAGGGGCAGTCCATCAAGTAATCGATACGCACGCGATTTGGGGGTTCTCTGACTTGAATCATCGCCTTTGCAGTAGCCACAATCGCCTGATTCGCACAAATGTTAACTCTCGTACATGAGATTGTAAGGCTGTCAGGCTTGAGAGGCGTTACCTGGCTGATATCCTGGGGGTTTTTACATGTCAGCCCAATATTATTGACACAGGTGGAGCCTACATGCTGCATGGCCAGACTCTCAGAAGCTGGCAAAGCACATGTCTAGATAGGCTCTTTTCATTGGATGTCTCTGTTGACCTACCTATTGGTGTAAGAAGGGTCGCGGGTGCGGGCATGGTGACTTCCAGCGTCGGTGGCTAATCGAGGTCGACAAAGGAGGAGACGCGTGACAGTAATATGTAATCCAAGGCGGATCTGAGGAAGGTGGACGCAGGAGTAGAGGTGTGGTTCAAGTATTTATATTGAGAAAATAGGTAATAGGGAAGTGTAGCGATACGTGGAGTGTCTGGAATTCTGGGTGACGATGGAACATGTGAGACGCAGCTCGAACAGCAGCACTGCATATAGGTCTCGGATGATTGCAGCTCATGATATATTGATTGAATACACAACTACACGCGCAAAGCTACTCGATACAAGATCGAGAAAGTGAGAGAATTGCGTTGAGAGTGTAGATGTAGGAGGGGCCTTGGGCCTAGATTGCGTGCCTCGTCGCGGCCGGCGGCCAAATCCCCGAATTCACAGACAGCCCCAGCTCCTGTAATTGTCTACACAACACCAGCTACTTGCATGATTTCCTCAATCCCATAGCAGTCACCCGTCGCGAACGGGTCTGACCCTCAGATCCTACCTCTCACAACCAAGCCTACATCCACACATTCACTTCCGAGTCGACTCAGCCTTTGTTGAATTGCCATAGACTTTATCTGGCTGGACACGTGAGCCCTACACAACGACCGCCGACAGACCATCTCGACTAGTGAATCTGCTCGACATCCGTAGAGGACTTTCAACTGTCAAGATGACTCAAGATCTGAGTGTCGACCGCCCTATGGAGGCTCGCACTGGAAGAGAGAACCAGAGTGAGTCTGGTCGCAGCCTTCACCAACCACCCATCTCGTACTGACCAATTCCCCAAAGGATACGGATCACAAGGAGAACGCCTTGTCGCCGGCATCGTACCCCTCTCCAACGACCGCAAATCTGTCCTCCTCATCCAATCAATGCGCCGCGGCGGCTGGGTCCTCCCCAAAGGCGGTTGGGAAGTCGACGAGACGGTCGAAGAAGCCGCCTGCCGCGAGGCCTGGGAAGAAGCCGGTGCCGTCTGCAAAATCCACACCGACCTGGGCAAGATCCCTGAAAAGAGGAAACCTGATCAACTCACCGAAAAGGCTCCCAAAGCCGCATACCATTTCTTCGAGGCTACCGTCGACGAGGTCAAGGAGGAGTGGCCGGAAAAGCACAAGCGTAAGAGAAGGTGGATGGGCTACCAGGAGGCCATTGGCCTGTTGAAGGACAGGCCTGAGCTGTCGGAAGCTCTCAACAGAAGCAGCATCGACAAGCAGCTCTGACCGCCGTCTTTATACGTCCACAAACACAACTCTATGCCCGCCTAAGCCTCGAAGCTCCAGACGTTGCGGTCGAGCACAAAAGAGAGACAGGGGCGCACGTCGTGGCATGCCCTTTGTCAAGTTTGAACTTCTGAAGAACACAGAAAGTAATCGATATACGTCGACAAAGGGAATTGTCGACTGCAGATGGAACAAATAGTTCGCCTCTGAGACAACACTGTTTCGGCTTCATTTCTTGCGCATCTTACTCGCTAGATCTACCAATTGTAATGCGGAAATAAAAAGGGATCAAAAGATACACCCCTAGCCTCGCTTCCCAGAAGCGAGTTCTGTCTTGATCACTCCTGATTGCACAAGCATTACGATGACTTTCAAACCATATATGTGATACAACTAATTTACAAGATATTCCGCGACCTTTCCGACACGGCACATGTTCCTTTGAGGATGGCCCACCGCTTTATCTCAATTCGACGCCGAACTTGCTTACCAGCTCTTGTCGAATCTTCTCATGCATGTCATTGGCTTGCTCCTTGGTCAATGTACTCTCAAGACTGCGGTAGTTGATTCTGTAGCACAGACTTCTACGGCCAGTCTTTGGGTGAGTGAACTCGTCAATTAGAGTGACATCTTCCACAGAGTCTCCAGCGGCACTGCGCACAATCTCCATAATGTCGTTCTCGTGGAACTCCAGAGCAGGTGCAACTGCCTCTGAAGCGAGACCACCGGCAGGAGAAGGCGATGAAGAAGTGTTCGAGGCGGTGGCAGTAACAACAGCATCTTGAGCAACGCTCTTGGGTAGCCAGAAAGCAACATCGCGGGGTGCAGCGGGGTACTTTGAGAAGGGCACGAAACGACGAATCTTCTTTTCGTCAAATTGAGACAAAAAGCGAGTGTCTTTGCTCCAGAACAGACGGATGTCGGGGATTTCATAGAGCAGCATGGCAATCCTCTCAAGACCGATACCGAACGCCCAGCCGACTCTTGATGGTGCGTCAGCATTGTCAAGGAGTGGTTGAGAGATGACACCACAGCCGAGAACTTCGAGCCAGTCACCTTGCCAGAAGATTTCAAGCTCCCATGAGGGCGAAGTGAAAGGAAAGTACGCCTCGATCCAGCGGACTTTCAATGGTTCTTGCGATTGAGCTTGGTTGCGGCCTTCATCAATGGCGGATGCAGCTGCTGCCTCCTTGGCTTTTGAGAAGATTTCAACAACGACGTTCTCCAGAGAGCGCTTCAGATGTGCAGCGACAGCTTCAGCTTCTTCCTGAGTGTGAGGTTCTTGCAGAGGATTGCGTTCAGGGTGAGTGGTAGGGTTTGGGTCTTCAACAACAATATCAGGCTTGGGCAGCCTTTCCACATCTTCCCAAATCTGCTGCGCGAGAGTTTTACCCTTAGGTAAAGCATTGCGGTCCCATGTCATGGCGCCTTCCATCTGGTGAAAGACAGGATAATGTGAGCGATCGATAGCATCTCTACGGTAGACATCTGCTGAGATGGTGAAGCCATTGCTTGTGTTGGCGCGGAAGACGTCAGCTTGATGGGCAGATGTATGTGTCCGTAGCACGGTATCCTTGTTGATGTAGTAGGTGTCTGTTCGACTACGTCCGGGGTGGTCTAGTGGGAAGCCCAGGGAGTCGAAATTCTGGCCCACGGTTACAACAGGAGAAAACTCGTTGTGGTGTTCGTAGCCTGGGAAGCGAGACTCAATCAATTTTCTTGTGATTGAAATCGGGTGGTTGTCCTGCTGGTGCAGCTTTCGTGATACATTTTCCAAAATGGTACTCGGAACATTTGTCCAGGAGTCTGATGGGTAGACTTTGCCGTGTATCGTCAATGCGTTTGGTTTAGAGTCTGCTTGTCGTCAGCGAGAATGTACGATACTGTGCGTAGTGTGTCTTGATGTAGGATTGTTTGTTTATATTGACTATTGAGATCGCACCTCCTCGAGAAGATTTCAACTACACCACAGCCATAGTCTATGGACTTGTCTGAATCCCGTCTTTAATGTGCGTGTCTATTCATGACCATGAGAGATGTAATTGACTGACCTGAGCTATTGTGTCGTCGCGTAGCTGTCAATGATGCAATTGACACGTTACCGGAGATTTTCAAACATCTGCCACATGCCGGGGCAGACGTGCGGAGGAATACAGTGTTCAACATCCCTTCTGGAAAGATGTTGTAACTTCCAATTGCCGACCTCGTAGTATGCGATGCTCGATCTTGAAACCGAGGCTGGAAGAAAGCTTCTGTGGTCAGTGCACAAAATGTCAGGGTGCTCCTCTGTACATTGCTTTATGATACATTTCTATGGATTTCGCGACAGCAAGGGCAGGTACGATGATGGACTTGTCTTTTCTAAGATCATTCGAGTACATCAATCCTGATTCTCAAATTTGGATTGCTACTCTTGACTTCATCTTCGGCAAACATCACTCTTCATTCTTCAACATATATCACCCACCAACAGCTCCTCCGACCATGACTATCTTCCCTGTCATTCCTGAGGCCGACAACAAAGATATCATCAAAGCAGTCGCAAAAAGCAATGATTACAACCACGGTCCAATCAAATATCCGCTATAGTTCGGTGGTACATCTTCCGCTCTGGCGGCTCTCTTTTCTCATCCGCTGGATCTAGGTATGCAAGCGGCAGAAACAGAAGCACCTCATCGTTACTGACTATAGTAAAGTCAAGGTTCGGCTACAAGCACAACATCACAAAGGAGCACTTGACATGGTCGACACTTTCAAGCATGTCTATAACAGCGAAGGCGTAGCTGGATTGTATCGTGGCATATCGGCATCCATCTTGCGTCAACTCACCTACTCGACTGCACGTTTCGCAACCTACGAAAAGCTCAAGTACATGGCCGAGGACGATGGTACAAAGGCTCCACATACCTTGCTCGTCGGACTCGCTGCAACCTCCGGATTGGTAGGTGGTGTGGTTGGAAACCCAGCCGATATCTTGAACGTCCGTATGCAAAATGATGCTGCTCTGCCATCCGCCGAACGCCGCAACTATGGAAACGCGGTCTGTGGATTCGTCACCATCGTACGTGAAGAGGGCTGGAAACAGAGCGTGTTTAGAGGCATGGTGCCTAACCTTGGAAGAGGTGTGTTGATGACGGCAGGGCAGTTGGCTGGATATGACGTGTTCAAGATGGAGCTTCTCGCCCAAACCGACATGCACGACGGTACTCTGACACACGTCACGGCCAGTACGCTCGCAGGTCTCGTTGCGACAACGCTTTGTAATCCCTTTGACGTGCTGAAGACGCGAATCATGGCCAAGGATGAACGTCTCGGTATGTGGAATATGATCAAGCTGGTGCACAAGATGGAAGGACCAGCATGGATGTTCCGCGGCTAGCTTCCAGCGTTCATTCGATTGGGACCTCACACTGTAGCGACATTCTTGTTCCTTGAGCAGCACAAGAAGTACTACAGAGCCCACTACGCGGATTAGGGCATTCTGGGGATTGTCCTAAGGTGTCATTGGATGGTCGCGGAGTGGAAGCAGGAACAGAAGTGACTCATTCCTAGATAGAGAATACAACCTGTGTACTCCTAGATAAGCTTGAGCAGATGAGTCCACGGACTGTGTCCATTGTCCAGGACATCAGCTTGAAACGGATAGAAGGTGTTCGAGGGGGAGCTGGCGGAGATGGCGCCAAGATTGCGGGTCCAGCCGCTCGTCGGTCGCCAGCTGGCCTCACTCTGGAGAGCTTTAGGAGAAGTTGGCGGTAGAACGACTCCCCTCTTCCATTGATTCATCTCAATACGTCGTCACTCCCTCCGGTTCGCATAGAGAGATTGTCAACATGAGTGGTCGTGAGTCTACACCCTCCAACGTGCTCCGCAGCAATGTCTCTGCACTTCGCGAGACGTACAGTGCCCGCGCGGTCGAGCACGCCAATTGACACGTCTGTCGCATGACGACTAACATCTGGTGCTCGCAGTACGATTCCTCGACTTGGTGAAGCCTTTCACCCCCTTGATCCCTGAGATTGCCGTCCCCGAGACAAAGACTCCCTTCCAGCAGCGTCTGATATGGACCGGTGTCACTCTCCTGATTTTCCTGGTCATGTCACAGATGCCTCTCTACGGCATCGTGTCCTCTGGTGAGCTACACAATTGCAACATCGCACGCGACAGCGATACTGACTTGGCTCAGACACCTCGGACCCGCTCTACTGGCTCAGAATGATGATGGCCAGTAACAGAGGTACCCTCATGGAGCTGGGTATCACCCCTATCATCTCCTCCGGCATGGTCTTCCAGGTGCGCAAAACATATCTGAAAGCCACAAGCTGTAAAATATGTGGTTCTGACACATCTGCTAGCTTCTTGCCGGTACCCACCTCATCGACGTCAACCTTGACCTCAAGGCCGACCGCGAGCTCTACCAGACTGCCCAGAAGGTGAGCTCCTTGGAGAACTAGGCCTCGTGAAGAGCCAATGCTGATCTTCCTAGCTCCTCGCCATCATCCTGTCCTTCGGCCAAGCCTGCGTTTACGTCCTGACCGGTCTCTACGGCCAGCCCTCTGACCTCGGTGCTGGTATCTGCGTTCTCCTCGTTGTCCAGCTTCTCACCGCCGCTCTGATTGTCATCCTCCTCGATGAGCTCCTCCAGAAGGGCTACGGTCTCGGCAGTGGTATCTCCCTCTTCATCGCCACCAACATCTGCGAGTCGATCGTCTGGAAGGCTTTCTCGCCTACCACCATCAACACCGGCAGAGGTCCCGAGTTCGAGGGTGCCATCATTGCCCTTGTCCACCTTTTGGTCACCTGGCCCAACAAGCAGCTTGCCCTCAAGGAGGCCTTCTACCGCCAGAACCTGCCCAACGTCATGAACTTGATCGCTACCATTGCCGTCTTCTGCGCCGTCATCTACCTCCAAGGTTTCCGCGTCGAGATCCCCGTCAAGTCTTCGCGCCAGCGTGGTATGCGCGGTTCTTACCCCGTCCGTCTCTTCTACACCTCCAACATGCCCATCATGCTCCAGTCGGCCCTTTCCTCCAACGTCTTCCTCGTCAGTCAGATGCTCTACTCTCGCTTCAGCGACAACCTTTTGGTAAAGATGATCGGTGTCTGGGAGGCTCGCGAGGGCTCTTCTCAGATGCTCCCCATCTCCGGTCTTGTCTACTACATGTGAGTCCAATCCGCTTTGGATATTCGGTTTAGACGCAGACGCTAATAAATCTTGTGCAGGTCCCCTCCTCTCAACTTCAAGGATGCCCTTCTTGACCCCGTCCACACCGCCCTCTTCATCGCATACATGCTCATTGCATGCGCCGCCTTCTCCAAGACGTGGATCGAGGTCTCCGGCTCCAGCCCTCGCGACGTTGCCAAGCAGCTCAAGGAGCAGGGTCTTGTTATGGCCGGTCACCGTGATGAGTCCATGTACCGTGAGCTCAAGCGTGTCATCCCTACTGCTGCTGCCTTCGGTGGTGCCTGCATTGGTGCTCTCTCCATTGTCAGTGACCTTGTTGGCGCTCTTGGTAGCGGTACTGGTATCCTCATGGCTGTCACGTAAGTTTTGACATGATCTCTGTACGATATGTATTCGGACTAACAACGTTCTCAGCATCATCTACTCTTACTTCGAGATTGCCGCCAAGGAGGGCGACATGTCCGGCCTCAAGGGTATGGTCATGGGTTAAACGCCTAGAGTGCCAGATTTAAGAATCTTCTACACTGTATATTTTATCATCAGGGGAAGAGAGGTATGCTACGGGCGATCTTTGAAGAATCTTGCTTGTAACAACAGCCAGTCTCTAAAAGAGCTTTGTAGATTATTGAGGCCAGGCACTTTCATCCCGAATGTCTCTGATTTGGCCGGATCGCCGTCAGTTCCTACGCTCTTTTGTAGGATGCAATTTCAAGAAAAGTTATTCACATTCGCTCCTGCCTTTTCTCTGTGACTTGAAAATTGCTTGATCAACTTCTCTTGGCGTCACTGCTTCAACCTCCTGCACTTTCCTTTCAGATCACTCTTCACTCTACTGCGTCCCCTGCGCAACTGATGGCGGCTTCTCAACGCTTCGAACACCTCAGTCATTTGGTTGTCTTCTCTATCAGGGTCCTTCTATCCACACTCGAAAGGTGCGTACATCGATTGTATGCCTCTCTTCAAGTGTTTTGGCTAACCACTGCTGAAGCGCAGTGCTTCCACCCATCATGGAACTCCGTAACGGCAAACGCTTACGTCCAGCTTCACCGACTCGGATCAACCGTCGCAGACCACGAACATTTCGTTTGCTGGACCTTCCTGCAGAGCTCAGGTTCATGATATATGGCTATGTCTTCGGTTATGAGAACGTTCACTGGACGATGACCTACGAATCCGTGCCCGCATCTGGGTACGTTTTGGCGCTAGGTCGTATCATAGACTCGATCGTCAACCCACGCAACATCAGCCTACATCAGCGTCACCTTGGTTTGCTGCAAACCTGCAGACAAGTTTCAAAAGAAGCTTCGGCGATCTTCTATAACCAGACACGCTTCGACGTCGGGTTCTGTCCGAATAATGATTTCAAGCTTGATTCAGCATACCGTCTTCACTTGACTCATGCGGGAGCCAAAATAAGCGATGGACTGGCTGCAGATGTTCTTCAGCGTGTCCAGCACGTTCGCTTCAGCTTCAGGGATGAGCGCAGACGTTATACGCACACTTGGTTGATGTTTCTTCTATGCCGTTTTCTGAGCTATGGAGAGAGGCTCAAGTCGCTTCGGTTCGTCGAGGACGGGAATGATGAAAACTCATGGTATACCTACCACAGCATACTCAGCTTCAAGCTGTATCGAGGTGATGCTATTCTAGAGCTCCGCAACACCACACATACCGATGAGGAAGTCGCCAAGCTGAAAGAGACCTCCAGATGTACAGATCATTTATTTTGCTTTCCACACTTTCACGACAATATGCTGATTTTACCACAGGTGCCAAGAACACATTCACCATCAGCGTGGTCAGGGAGAGCGACGTCTCGAGCGACAAGAACTAGTTGTCCAAGCTTGCTTGTTAATGTCAGTATTACTGGCTGGCTGCTGATGCTCATCCTTCTATTGCGCTATTTCAGAAGTCGATATCATTGCTGAGCAATGGTGCGGGACACATCTCATTAGAGTGGAGTGATGAGTTACGATTAGAAGAGTATACATCTCTACCTTTCTATCACTTCCCTAGTCAATTCTACAAGAAAGCATCCTTTTCAAGACCCTCAAGCAAGATAGCCACATCTACACATACATTCCCTTCTCCAGACTGACAGTGATTGACTGATTGATCGCATAAATTCGATTGGGTGATGAGGATCATTGGGTGCATGCATACATAAACCTCTCGACGCTGTAATGAGTCGTGAATGCTAGATGTCATCGAGATCTCAAGCATCGAGCTTTGCCTCTTACGGAGAGCCTCGGTTTTCTATACAACATGTCTGCATGACAGGGACAATCACTTGCCCTCTTCATCTTTCCTTGCCTTTTTTTTTTTTGCTCTTTTCTTCTTTGTCTCAAGATTCTAGCTTTCTTTCTTGTCTTATTTCTTCTTTTTCTTTCTTATCTTTTTTATCCTTCTATCACTTTACTTGACTTGTACTCTCGTTTTCGACGTTCTTGACATTTCGTTTTCGAGTTGTTCTCGAGTCATTGAGTAGTAGAGCATTAAGTGGAAGAACATTAGCAGTTCTAGTCTATCTTTGAAGAAATGGAGGAAATTAAAGAGGTATAGGTCTGAGTAATTTGCCTCGCTACAAGCAAAACTATCAATATACCAAAGAGCTATCAAATTTTGGATACAGCAAATACTCGCTCTGGTGGTTTATTAGCCGCGGAGAAATCGCAGGCTGTTTGTCATCTCTGGGGCTGGCTGGCTGGCTGGCTGACTAGGGTGAATGTTTAGCCTGAGCAGAGCTTTTTCGTTTACAGTACTCGGAAAATCAAATGCCGGAGTTTGAGAAGAGCGAACGGCAGTTGCGGTCTAGATGGGCTGTCACTAGGAGATGAGTCGTTGGTGTTTGAGGATGGAGGGTTGCTTTCTGAGGAGGGGAAAGTCGTGGTGGACAACATCGGCAACTGCATGCATGCACCTTATCCAACATCGGTCTCTGAAACTCTCATCACATTTGAAATATCAAGATTAAAGAATAATAATCTTCTTTTGGATTCTCATTGCGTTTCGTCATCTTGATGGGTAATTACAAACTCCAAATCTTCATCCACATCGCCGACCGCCCACCATCAATTCGATGTATATATATGCTTTGTTCGAATATAATGGCCCGGCCAGACTTCCTCAAAGCCTGCTCTTCTCTTTGTCGTTGGAATCACTATCATGGATTCAGTTGATACCGGCCTTCTTCTTGAAGGCGTTGATCAAGCCAGAGGTACTGGCGTCGTGGCCGTCAACCTCGCCAGAGGTCTCGAGCTCAGCCTGGATCTTCTTGGCCAGAGACTTGCCGAGCTCGACACCCCACTGGTCGAAGGAGTTGATGTTCCAGATGGCACCCTCGGTGAAGGTGAGGTGCTCGTAGTAGGCGATCAGAGCACCCAGAGTGGCGGGGGTGATCTTTTGGGCCAAGATGGAGGTGGTGGGGCGGTTACCCAGGAAGGTCTTGTGGGGGACGAGCTCGTCGGCGGCGCCCTCTGCGCGGACATCCTCAGGGGTCTTGCCGATCATGAGGGCCTCGGCCTGGGCGAAGTAGTTGGAGGCGAGCATCTTTTGGTGCTTGTTGTCCTCGATGGGGTTGTGTGACTCGGCGGCGAGGATGAAGTCGGTGGGGATGAGCTTGGTGCCCTGGTGGAGGAGCTGGTAGAACGAGTGCTGTGCGTTGGTGGCGGGCTCACCGAAGAGGATGGCACCGGTGGTGTACTTGACGTAGTCACCGCTACGGGTGATGGCCTTGCCGTTGGACTCCATGGAAAGTTGCTGGAGGTAAGCAGGGAAACGGTGCAAGTACTGGTCGAAGGGAGAGACAAGGTGAGTCTGAGCGCCGAAGAAGTCAGAGTACCAGACGCTCAAGAGACCGCCGAGGACGGGGATGTTCTGCTCGAGGGGAGTCTCCTTGAAGTGCTTGTCCATGGCGTGGCCACCAGCAAGGAAGTCGTGGAAGTTGTCGTAACCAATGTACAGGCAGACGGAAAGACCAATGGCACTCCAGACGGAGTAACGACCACCGACCCAGTCGGCGAAGCCGAACATGTTCTTCTTGTCAATACCAAACTTGGTGACCTCCTCCTCGTTGGTCGAGAGAGCAACGAAGTGCTTGGCAATTGCCGACTCGTCCTTTGCGTGTCCGAGGAACCACTTCTTAGCGGTGTTGGCGTTGGTGGTGGTCTCAGCAGTGGTGAAGGTCTTGGAAGCGACAAGGAAGAGAGTAGTCTCGGGGTCAGAGTCGCGGAGGGCCTCAGCCATGTGGGTACCGTCAATGTTGGAGACGAAGTGGAGCTTCATGTCACGCTTGCCGTAAGGCTTGAGAGCCTCGGAGACCATGACGGGGCCGCTATACAAAAGTCAGAGCTGTGGCTTTCGCAAATGGGAAGATACAAGGGATACTCACAGGTCGGAACCACCGATACCGATGTTGACAATGGTGTTGATGGCCTTGCCGGTGTAACCAACCCACTTGCCGCTGCGGACTTCCTCGGAGAAGTCCTTCATGTGCTCGAGGACAGAGTTGACCTCCTCGACGACGCTCTTGCCGTCGACCTGCATGGGCCAGTTCTCGGTGTTGCGGAGGGCGACGTGGTAGACGGCGCGCTTCTCGGTGAAGTTGATCTTCTCACCCTTGAACATGTCGTCACGGAGCTCCTCGACCTTGGCCTCGCGAGCGAGCTGGCACAGAAGCTGGAGGGTCTCATCGGTGATGAAGTTCTTTGAGAAGTCGAAGATGGTCTCGGACTTGTCAACCTCGTTGGTGAAGGTGCGCGAGAACTTGTCGAAACGCTTGGGGTCCTCGGCGAAGGCATCCTTAAGGACAATGGAGCGGCCAAGCTCTTGGTGGTGCTTCATAAGCGACTTCCATGCCGACAGATCGCTTGCTTGGGCGAAACCAGGCATCTTGATGTTTGTTGGGAAAGGGTGGTGTGGGGTGATGCGTGTACTACACGTGGGAGCAGCGAGGTCAGCGGGAGTTGAACTCGAGAGAAGGTCAAGGATGTCAGAAGCACGTACGAGGATATAAGGTGGATTGGAGGAAAATATCAAAGTAAGCGGAAGGAAGTGATGGCCAAGTCACAAATTGAAGAAGATGCGATGAGGAACGAACTGCACTGGCCGAGAGCTCCGGCTGAATTGCACACTTATGACGAAGCGGGGCACCTCTCACTCTCACTCGAGCGGCCCACCAAAAGCCGATCGGCGGCTGCTGCTTCTTCGGCCCCAAACACATTCACAACCCTGCCACTTCTCTTTTCATATCAATTCACTTCTCTCTTCACCGTGTCTCATGCTGTGAACATTTTGCACCTATAAAACTCTTCATGCGTGTTTGAGACTGCTGTTTCTGATATTCTTGTTACGCCGAGGGGGGAAACCCATATAGTCCAGCCCAAAATCTACCTAGCCAGTGCCGTCATTCTTTGTTGCAGTCCCGCTGCGTCGAGCAAACGTACACGACCAGCCCAGCTCTTCTATTGTATGTCCCATCACTGAGTCATGAACGATGGGTCCTTGATACTGCCTCCTGCATCGCCCAATCCCTCGACCGGGCGGTTGTATGACCACCCGGCGAACTGCTGTTGCATCGTTGATGAGAGCATCGGTCCCTCAACGTACGAGTCTGTAGGTGCTTCTGATGTGAATTCGCGATCGAAGTTGGCAGTGTCTCTGTCGTCGAGCTACAATCATGTTAGCATGTCTTCTTGGCTAAGACATCGGTGTCACAGGTACTCACCACGTTGGGCTTGAAGCTCGGCTCGTACTTGCGGTCCAAGAGCTTTCTCCAGTCGATGCTGTGGAAGAAGGGATGTGCCTTGATCTCTGCTGCGCCGTTGACACCCAATCTTTTTGTCGGGTCTCTGTCAAGTAGCTTTTGCAACAGGTCGCGTGCAGCAGGAGGTACAATCTCAGGGCCGGGGAAGTGTAGGGGCTCTGCCAGAATCTTGCGGTACATATCGTTGGTGTTTTCGTCGTAGAACGGCGGCAGACCTGTAAGCATCTCGTAGAGAAGAACACCAAGTGTCCACCAGTCGACCGTCTTGGTGTAACCAGTGCCGTGAAGCAGCTCGGGTGCTAGATACTCTGGCGTACCACAGAATGCTGGAAGCTTGGTCAGTACGGCTATACATAAAAAAAGGAACAGCAACACATACTGTTTGTCTTGTCCTCGTCCTTCATGTCGAGCTTGCACAGACCGAAATCGCATAGAGCAATGTGACCAGTGTAGTCAAGCAAGATGTTCTCGGGCTTCAAGTCTCTGTAAATGACGTTGAAGCCGTGTAGACACTCGAGCGCGCACAAAAGCTCGGCAGCATAGAAACGAGATCGGTTTATGTCGAAGCGTTGCTCTTTTTGTAGGTGATGGAAGAGCTCGCCGCCGTTGACAAAGGCCAGCACAATGTAGAGCTTCTCGGGGGATTGGAAGGAGAACTTCATGGGAACGATGAAAGGGTTGTTGATCTGAGCCAGTACCGAACGTTCGGCAAGAGTATGAGCAACTTCGGAGCGCGAGATGATGTGGGCTTTTCTGATCGTCTTGAGGGCATAGATTCGGCGAGTGTCGCGCTTCCTGAAGGAGACAAAGGTTAGTTGAGCCTCGCGAGCGACAACACAAACACTAGGCGAACACGTACTGCACTTGCATGACCTTTCCGAAACTGCCCTTTCCAACCACCTTGAGCAGTTCAAAGTCCTCAATCTTGAGTGACCTTTGTCGATTCTCGACAAATTTGACGCCGCATCTGATTGATCCAGTTCCGTACTGGAGGTCGACCCACTCAGTACCAGACTGGCCTTGAGTCTTTGCCTTCTCAGCGTGAGCGAAAGCGGCCTTTTCTCTGTCCTTTCTGCCCAGCTTGGGATCTTCCTCATAGGGGTGAACTTCTTCAAAGCGGGGGTTGATTCTGCAGGTTCCTAGGAAAATGTCGTCGTTTCTACCGGCGTTGGGAGGGGCATTGGGATTTCTGATGTAGATGGAAAGGTTAAGTTCGCAGACACGGGAGACATCGAACTTGTACTGTGTGTTCTCGCCAGCCCAAACGGGCTTCTCTGGTGTACCCGAGACCGAGTTGACAAAGACTTGTTGCTTGTCGAAATCGACGAGGGCGTAGGGAAGGTACTTGGAAGAGTAGCGGCCGTGAACCGAGGGGGCGGCATTGATACCTCCTTGGGAGGATTGAGGACGTCCAGGGGCATACGAGCCGTAGGCTGAGTTGCTTACGGAGCCTGGGCGAGCACCGGCTACTGAGAAGCCACTACCACTGGACAGAGAGGCACCATGGCGAGGTTGGAAGATTTGTTCGGCACCGGCAGGCAGAGAGAAGCCACGACCTTCATGGAAGGTGAGGATCAGGATACCGGGCTTGAGCGGTGGGGCAGGAGGAGAGGAATTGGCTTCGGAAGCGGCTATGCAATGTCAGCGGATAAGTCGCAGAGGCGGCAGCAGATGAGACGCTGTACCGATACCCTGGGGGTCGTTGACGGTAGTTGACGAGCCAAGAGGACTGTTTGGCGGCTTGGGTGCCTCGGGTGTGATCGTTGAAGAGCGAGAGAAACTATTTGCTAGGGGCGCGAGGTGCGTTTCCTTCAGTTCTGTCTTTTTGTCAGTAAGAGCCACAGGGTCGATTGGAACAGAGACGGATGTGCTTGAAGAGGATAGGGTGAAGGAGGAGATGCGGCGACGACAGTCGTCAGGGGTAGATTGTCAGGTGGCCAACGCACTCTTTGTGAGCTTCCACGACATGACGAGAGGACAAGCGTGTGTGGTAAGATGTTCTGTGCTTGTCGAGTCTTGACTGTAGAGAATACGGGTAGAGTTGACTGCCCACTGTAAGTCGTGGAGTTAACGTAAGGCTGAAGTGCTCGGATAACGGGCCGCCGCCAGAAAAGGAGAGGATGCCAAAAGCCCCTACCGACAATTCGAAACGCGAGAAGCAAATTGTGGATGACCGGCTGTCTTGTCCTTGAACTGTTTGACTATCCAGCCTTGTAATCAGTGAATCAAGGCGTCTTGTCGCATTGTTTTGGGGCGTGTTGTTCAGTTGGGAAGCAATAATTAGAGTTGACCTTGGGCTTGGCAGCAGTGCGTGTTATAACGACGACTCGTGAAGCTCCCCGCGCGCGTCGACTCACTGAATACCGACGACCGAATCACAAACACTCGCGCACTTCCATCTCCTCGCGCCTCACTCGTCCCGGAACCTCACTCGCCCATCTTATGCGACCGTGTTGACACCACTATACCCCCTTCTCCATCCCTGCCGACTGCGCACGACTTGGCACGACACTCCGGGCCCGCGCCCGCACATGACCCATCATGGGCCTCATCAAGAAGAAGACAGCCGTCAGGACTACCGAGGGAGGCATCAAATACATTTGCGACATCTGTTCCGCCGACATTACTGCCACTGTACGTCGCTTCCCATGCCCTGCATATTACTCGTACGTGGTCTGTGCGCTGTATACTGACATGGCCACTTCAGGTTCGCATCAGATGCGCTGACGATGACTGTGACAACTACGACCTGTGTGTTCCTTGCTTCGGAGAGGGCAAGTCTTCTGGCAAACACGACCCTGCTACACACGCCTTCCAGGTTATAGAACAACATTCAATTCCGATCTATGTCGAGGACTGGGGTGCCGACGAGGAGCTGCTCTTGCTTGAGGGTGCTGAAACCTACGGCCTGGGCTCATGGGCCGATATTGCAGACCATATTGGAGGTTACCGAACCAAGGACGAAGTGCGCGAGCACTATATCGAAACATACCTCAAAAGCTCAAAATTCCCTCTGCCAGAACGCGCTAGTCCCAAGGACACCACCCTGTCCGACTCCGTCCCTAGAGATGAGTTCCAGGCTCGTAAGAAACGGAGGATAGAAGAGCGAAAAGAGGCCGCCAAAAATCAAGCCATTATCGACTCCAAGCAGAAGCCTACCTCCAGTGTGCCTTCGTGTCACGAAGTCCAAGGCTTCATGCCTGGTCGTCTCGAGTTTGAGACCGAGTACTTCAACGAGGCCGAAGAAGCAGTTCAACATATGCACTTCGAGCCAGGCGATGGCATCAACCCTACTACTGGAGAGCTTGAACCCGAAATGGACCTCAAGATCACTGTCATGGACATTTACAACCACCGTCTCACCGCTCGTGTGGAGAGGAAGAAAGTACTCTTTGAGCACAATCTGCTCGAGTACCGCAAGAATACCGCAGTCGACAAGAAGAGGACTAAAGATGAGCGCGATCTGAGCAATAAGATGAAGCCGTTTGCGCGCATGATGAACCACTCGGACTTTGAGGCATTTGCAACGGGCATCGAGTATGAGCACAGTATACGACAAGCCATCAAGCAACTACAAGACTGGCGGCGCATGCAGATCAGTGATCTCAAGACTGGAGAAAAGTACGAAGTCGAGAAAGCCGCGCGACAGGCCAGAGCTGCAGCGAACGCAGACCGCTTCTCGTTACCTAGTAGAGTCCATAAACCCAGTGCCCAGGAACCACCATCAGCAGCGTCAGCATTGATCGGACCAGAGCTACCACCAAAGCCAAGCACTACTGGCTTGCAGACACCACCTGAATCAACATCCCCAAACGCTAGTGTGAGCAATCCTCCACCAAGGTTCCCGTTACAAACGATAACGGGTGTATCGAAGATTGATCTGTATGGCAACAACAGCCAGGACTCACATCTCTTGACTGAAAACGAGCAAGAAATTTGCAGGGTGGTGCGTGTTCAGCCAAAGGCATATCTGGTCATGAAGGACGCTGTGCTAAAGGAAGCGCTACGATCAAACGGCTGTCTGAAACGGAAGAATGTCAAGGAGATTTGTAGAATCGATACGACCAAGGCTGGGAAACTATTCGACTTTTTTGTCTGGTCTGGATGGATTGCTAAGGGGTGAGGGTACATGAGGGGACTGGGGCAAGGCTTGCTATTATTTCAAAAATACCCACCATCATCAACGAGTTTACGATATTGCTATAGAAGAGCTACAAAGACACAGATAGTTTGCTCCACAAGGAACACTTCTCGTCTCAAATATTATTCTATTCGACTGTTTTATATTGGTGAAGAGCTGGCCGAACGAAAGCCGAGGTGCCCGCATCTCGGCGATGCGGCAACCAGGATCGGCGTCAGCGGCCTGTGATTGACACTGGGGCTATCTTGTACTTTCAGGTTCCAACTCTCCAAGCTGGAAATACCTTGTGGACGTCTAGAGGTCTCTTATTTGACCATCACCCGGCCTGGACAGGAAACGATAGCACCTCACATCGACCTCCGACTACGTTTACACAGCTTGGGAACCATCACCTAGATTCCCGCTATTGGGTAGAGCACCATGAGCGGACAAGTGTGCGCCAATAGCTTGAGGGGGGTGGCCAGAGTTGCACGCAACTCTGTAAAGACTCCCTCTCGCTCTTGGATGACAGAAGCACAGAACGTAAACCGAGTCAGTGTCCACACACAATCGCAACGATGCCTGGGATCCTGGAGCAACCGCCAGATCAGAGGACAGTGGAGGTCACACCAAGTGAAGAAGCGAGACTACGCGACCTCGAACTCGACCGTCTCCATGGCCGACTACAGAAAGAGTAGGTGAAAAGAGGGTTCCCTGGACACAACCGACTTCAGTCAGTAACAGCCCTCGTCTTCAAGGTGAATATGGCCCTGTAGCCGAGTACAATCGCCGCGTCAACTCCGGTGTCCTCAGAGACGACCAGCATCAGCGCAGTACGTTCTTGCAAACCCCACTGTCGCCCGAGGAAGAGCTAGACTAATCCTTTCAGCCATTATCGAATCGTTACAAGATCTGCATGACATGTTGGCCGACTACAACCCACCCATCGTCCAGGAGCCAACGATAGAGTCCCTGCAGCCCAAGAAGAGAGGCATATTCTCCTCAATCTTTGGCGGCGGTCAGAAGATGCAGTCCAGCCTGCAAATGCCCAGTGACTTGCCCAAAGGCTTGTACATGTATGGCGATGTCGGCAGCGGCAAGACCATGATGATGGACCTCTTCTACGACACCTTGCCCGAGAGCATCAAGAGAGCCACGCGCATTCACTTCCACAACTTCATGCAGGAGGTACACCGCGAGCTGCACAAAGTCAAGATGCAGCACGGCCAGGACATTGATGCCATTCCTTTTGTTGCCGCTCATATTGCCAAACGCAGCAGCGTGCTCTGCTTTGACGAGTTCCAGTGTACTGATGTGGCAGACGCCATGATCTTACGAAGACTGGTCGAGTCTCTAATGCACCATGGTACCGTCATCGTGACCACTAGCAACCGTCACCCCACCGAGCTGTACAAGAACGGTGTTCAGCGCGAATCTTTTGTCCCCTGCATCAACCTTCTCCAGCGCCAGTTGCGTGTTCTCAACCTCGATTCTCCAACCGACTACCGCAAGATTCCTCGCCCTCCATCGGGCGTATACCATTTCCCGCTCAACAAGGCTGCGAGCACACATATCACGCATTGGTTCAAGTACCTAGGCGATTTCGAGAAAGACCCTCCACACCCAGCCGAGCACTACGTTTGGGGAAGACCCATTCAAGTGCCTCGAGCGAGTGGAAAAGCTGCGCATTTCGAGTTTGACGAGCTGATCGGCCGTGCCACTGGTGCTGCCGACTACATCGAGCTGATGCGCAACTACGACGCTTTCATTGTGAGCAATGTTCCGCAGATGGACCACCGCAGCCGTGACAGAGCCCGTCGCTTTATCACATTCATAGATGCTGTTTACGAATCACATGCTAAACTCGTACTCACCTCTGCTGTACCGCTCACCGAGCTCTTCCTCTCGCGCGAGGAAGTCGACGCTGCAATGAAGCAAGCGGCAGCCAAGGGCGACGGTAATGCAGAAGCCGCGCTCAAGGATGGTTCAGACGTCGACGATGTCATGCGGCAAATGATGGATGACCTAGGCATGAACATGAACATGCTCAAGAAGAGCAACTTCTTCTCTGGCGATGAGGAAGCCTTTGCGTTTGCCCGTGCATTGTCACGTCTCTCTGAGATGGGCTCGCAGATGTGGGTGGAACGTGGCATGGGTCTCGAGAACAAGGGCGGCAAGAAGGAGAAGGAAGACTTTGCAAAGGTCAGGAGCAGGTGGAAGGAGGACAGCATGTAATGCTGTTGTGGTTCAAGAAGTCTGTTGCATACGATTTGATTCGCAGGATACATTTTCAACTGCAGAGTTTGTATATATACACACATTGCGAGTTGCGTTCGTTTTCTGCAAAGCCAGCGTTCAATCGAATGGAAATGAGAGGTAATACACTCATATCGAAATGTACACAATCGACTCAAGATTATGAAGATATGCCTTTGCAGAACTTTGCGTCCTCTTCCCGAACGCAACAGCAAAATGTGCTTTTTCTTGGTGACTGGCCTCAGAAATGTGTCATGTTGAGATCAAGTCCACAGCGTGGATCATTCTCTTCCTATTATAATAAAGATGCCTGAGCATCGTTCATCAACGGCCATAAAGGAGAAAGAAGAAGGCCAGAAAAATCTCCAGCAGCTTCACAAAGAAAAGCTGCTTTTCCTCCCAAGAGCCTCATTGGCCAAAACTCATGGCTTGTCGCCAAGACTTATGGCCAAGCAAAAGGCGTCCACCTATATAAGCCTTGCAAACCCTTCCACCCTCTCTTTCTCGATTCGTGCGGCGTCCGGGTATTATACAGTTTCCCCTGTTGCTGGTTTCTCTTTGACATTCGATTGTTGATTACGTGAGGAGCTGGCGTCAACCCGTGGACACAGATCAAAAATATTGCATACCTAGTCTTATTCAGCCACTTCCGACGGAGCCTATTATTTACATTGGCTCTGTTGGTGTGCTGATGGCTGGACATCTTCTTCCTCGACTTTGTAAACTTTTGTGAATATTCGATGCGTCTTGTGCTGCAACGAGGCTCAAGATGTGCTCTTGCTGGTCCATTTGTCTGCTAGACAAAAGTTCAGATACCAGGACTGAGTCTGGCGGGAAATGCAGCCTGCGGAACTCGAGTCTGCGAGAAGCGCAGGTGTCCATCACACTTGAGAGATCATGTTTGCTATGTAAACGCACCGAAATACCAACTACTTCTGCGAAACTCTGTTCAGTTCGTGAAATGCTTCTTCCTCGTGATGCTCGGCATTGTAATTTGATAATCTCTTGAGCATCAAAAATTCTTCTCTCCCTTCAGACAACCAATTCTAAGACCCAAGCTCACCATAAGCGATATGCCTGGACTCAAAGTTGTCGCATTGATCTCGGGGGGGAAAGACTCCTTCTTCTCTATACTCCATTGCCATGCAAACGGACATGAAGTCGTCGCCCTTGCAAACCTGTACCCAGCCGCTCAGGATGGCGAGCGATCTGAGGACATTGACAGCTACATGTACCAAACCATAGGCCACAGCGTCATCCCACTCTACGAACAAGCACTAGGACTTCCGCTATACAGACAGGAGATCCACGGTGGAGCTGCCGATAGAAACAAGAGCTATGCATCTCCAACCACCGCTCAGTCAAGCCAACAGGACGAAACGGAGAGTTTGGTGCCTTTGCTACGTAAAGTCATGGCTGCGCACCCCGAGGTCAATGCCGTCAGTACTGGAGCTATTCTCTCCGACTATCAACGTACGAGAGTGGAATCTGTTGCCATTAGATTGGGTCTGGTACCATTGTCGTATCTCTGGCAGTACCCTTTCTTACCGCCATATGCCGAGACTTCGCTGTTGGATGATATGGCTGCTGCTGGACAGGACGCTCGTATCATCAAGGTCGCTTCAGGAGGATTGGATGATGGGTTCTTGTGGGAAAATGTTGCCAGTTATCGCACCAAAACCAGACTTGTGAGAGCGATGGAGAGGTTCGGTATCATTGGGGATGGAGCTGCGCTTGGTGAAGGAGGAGAGTTTGAGACGCTTGCAATCGATGGACCATGGCCGTTGTGGAGGAACTCGATTCAAGTTGGGGATGATGATAGGGTGGTCGTCGCGGGAGAAGCAGGAGCTGCATCTTTGAAAATCAAGACAGCTCGTTTGGTGCCAAAGGAACCATCCTCGGACTTCTCGTTTGAGCAACTGCGGAAACCAACGACACTAGATGACAAATTTGCGGCTCTGGAATCTCGCATGAGCAACGGCTCTGGTGAGCTTCTGGATGTCTCTGACGAAGCAGCAGAGAAGACAGAAGCTCTCAGCTCAACCTTTGGATGGACGATTCAAAAAACAGACACGTGCACAATCATCTCAAACGCAATGGCAGAAGGAGCATCAGCAGGAGAGCAGATGACCAACATCATGAGCCGGTTGATCAACGATCACTCCGTCAAGCCTTCCTCAATCGCCTTTACCACCATCCTCCTACGAAACATGTCCGAATTCGGTGCAGTAAACCTGGCATACGGATCTCAATTCGCTACACCAAACCCACCTGCCAGAGTCACCATTGCCTGCGGTAGTGCACTACCAACCAACACCCACGTCTCTCTATCCGTCATGATCTTACATGATGACCTAGCAGCACAAAAGCAAGGTCTCCATGTGCAATCTCGCTCCTACTGGGCTCCTGCAAATATTGGTCCATACTCCCAAGCCATCATCACGCCTACTTCAGCTTCCTCACCTGCACTTCCCAAGCTCATCCATATTGCCGGCCAAATTCCTCTGCATCCACCAACTATGGAGTTCCCTTCGCAAGGGTCCTTAACGCCAGAAGCACACTTTACAGCCCAAACCATCCTTGCACTTCAGCATCTATGGCGTATAGCTCAAATCATGCAAACCGCCCATTTCCTCGGCGCTGTTGCCTTCATCAGTTCTGCTGCAACCACATCCGCATCTTCACGCGTAGCTTCCGCATTGCAGAGTTGGAAGTCAGCGCTTCAACCTCCCACCACCGAAGACGCAGAAGATGAACAAGACGATGGAAACTTTGATGTTTGGGATCAGAGACAATTTGGCAGTTCAGGGAATACGGTGACTTCTACACAACGAAAGGATATAGTGAATGTATCTGTGCCGCCTTGCTTTGTGGCTGAAGTGGAGAGTCTGCCTAGGGATGCGCCGATCGAGTGGGCGAGTATTGGTGTTGAAGGGTTCGAGGGTGGTGTTGAGACTAAAGGTGTGTTTGAGCTTCCTTTTTACTTATGTGGGTGTGTATTTGACTGACTTGAATGTAGAAATTAAAGAAGATGCCTGCACAAGACAGACCTTGACTATCAAGTCTGGACTCGAAGATGTGGTTCTGGCTGGCTGGATTGCGGTTAACAATGTCGACCTCTTGACTAAAATTGCTTTACCAGCGTCGCAGGTTTGCACTGTGTATACCACGCAGATCTTACCTGAGAGCTGGGTCAAGGAGAGACAGCCTACCATCATTCCTTGCTACAGACTCTGGAATGGCGAAGGGAAACAAGTAGCTGCTGTCGTGGCATACAGACAGCAGTAAGGGAAGCACATCAACATTGCAGACAACAGAGAATCAAGGGGTATATAACAAGGGTGTATTTCTCATCATTTCCTCTCCAACTCTTCGCTATTCTTCTTCCTCCGCTTTTGCCCCATCCTCTTTCCGATATGCATCTGCAAAGAGAAAAGAAGCGTACGTAAATATAAGAAACCATCATGTCCCGTAAAAGCGCCCCAAAAAAGGTTGTAGTGAAAAAAGGGTCGTTCGTGCAATTGTACAAACAAATTGGTGACTTTGCTTTTGTTTCTTTTTGGCCTCGGTCTGTCTGTCTGTTCCTGCCCAATGTTCTCAGCTCCTTTAGGTGGCCTTCTTGGCGAACTCGACGCGCAAGATAAGATGTCCGTAACCGTAGCCGTCCATCTTCTCGCATGCAATAGCGGCGTCTGATCGGTCGACGAAACTGACGAAAGCGAAGCCCTTGGCCTTGCCTGTTTCTCTGTCCTTTGCGAGGAAGACACGGGTGACGCGACCGAAGCGCTCGAACAGGGCGCGGAGCTCGTCTTCTTCGGCGAATTCGGAAACCTGGGATCAAATGTGTTAGTTGGTGGTGTATAGGCAGAGTCAAAAGAGTGTAAACTCACGTTGGTAACACGCAGAGTAGCCAGGTCGTCTCTCTCGAACTTGCCGCCCATTCTCTCGCCAGTAGCAGCACCGCCCTTGCGGAGATGCGGGGGCACGTAGGAAGAGCCACCGGGACCGGAAGCGCCTTGTGCAGGGCCGCCAGCAGCCAGGTTCTGAAGAGTGGCAGCGCCGACATCACCGTCGAGGTCGGCAAGACCAGCACCGGCCTCGCCCTCGGGGGCCATGGTGTTCTTGAAGGGACACTTTGTGGTGAAATGCTCGCCGGAACAAATACGACACTTGATCTTCATCTGCTTGAGCTGCTGCTGCTTCTGGTCCTCCTCGGCGGTGGGTTGCTCGGCGGCGCCAGACTTGAAGCCGACCTGGGGGCGGAAGATGATGTTCTCTCCAAGGGTGGTGGTGTCGGGTTGGGGGCCAGCGGGGCGGCCTGCCTCGAGACCCATCTTGGGCCATGCGCGGCGCTCGGCGACTCCAGCCTTCTCATATGTGCGCTTGGTGACCTTGCGGATGCGTTGTGTGCGCTTGACCTTCTTGCCGTCGTCGTTGAGGAAAATGGTGACAATGGTCTCGCTGCCGTCCTTGTTCTTTGTGTGCTGGGGCGGGGGGAGAGCGGTGGCGAGATCAGGCTCGTCGTCTTCGGCCCAGTCGGTGCGTCCTGGTTGGTTTGACATGATGGCGGTTGTGTGGTTGTGGTGAAAGAATTACTGGCCTTTTCCTCGTCCTAGCCTTGGGTGCTGCGTTGGTGTCTGTCGAAAATTAGCAAATGCTCGTGGCCCGAGCGCCGACCTGCTCACAGTCGTTCTTTCCTTAGTGCTCAAACCAACAGTCCAACACTTCACGTGCTGCCCGAGTCTGTTCTGTCTATTTGTCCTCCGACTTGCTCTGGTCCTTTCTGCAACCTCTGTCCATGCTCTCAGCTACTCAAGACGGGCGGCTGGAATACATGTCGACATCAACATTTACTCATCGCTTCCCTATCGCTAAACCCGTCACATGTATATGCTGATATATACACAATTGTTATGCGACCACAGTCTTCGTCCAGTCTACATGCTTGAGATCTTTCCGCGAACAACTCTTGTATCTCCAAGAATCCTGTGTACGCATGCTCCAGACATCGCGACGTCTGCAACAGATGTTAAGACGTGACACACTTCCCTTCGACACTGGACCGCGCACTGTAGTCAGGATATCATTTGACTTTTATTTCAAACACAACTCATGATCATAGTTCCTTCATTCATGGGATGATTCGTGAAGGGTGCGGTCGGTCTGTTCTTCCGTGTGCTTAATCCCGTACCTCTTGTCTATAACCATAACTACGTGTAAGCGGAATCGAACCCATCAAGATGCACAGTTGATTTTAGATTGGAGATGGCCTCATAGAGAGCCGACAACGTCACGACTCTCAGTGAATACTCCCTGTGTGATGTATGAACTGTGCATTTCTACAGCTATTCGCGTGACATCTGTTTGTACATGGAAAGAAGACAGGTCCTCAAGATTGCCGCTCAATCGCCAGTCGAAAACGCATCTTGCGTTCTCACATTCCCATCTCAGGCTCTTCGAACCAGATGTTGTGTGCAATCTGGAGTAAACATGGCAAACTAAATCAAGTGTGCACGATTGCATCTGCTGGTGTGAGATGGAGATAATTGAGGGCTGCTTCCCACCGGCTGCGACTTCCGCATGCCGAAAAGATCCCTGCAGGCCGCCCAAGACGTCAGTCACGTCACAAGATTCCTGCTGGCATCCACCTCCCACCAAGAATCCAACACTCTGGCGACCCGCATCAGCCATCAAGTGTTGGCAGTTCAAACCAGCCGCCAGCAGACTGCGTCATGCGAGGCAGCGAGAGATTGAGGTTTGCTGAGGGATGCGATGGATTTGTCTGTGCCGTACCTACCGAGTATATGTTATCTGCTTCCGCCATTTCCTTGCACTTTTGCTCGTTTTGCGATCGTCATTCTTTTTGCAAGCATCTCGAATACCATCATCCTTGTCACTTTTACACGAGAAAAGCTTAAAAAATACTCCGGTATCTGAGCCAAGAGGGAACTCACGATTACGTAGAGGCGCATTTGGGCTAAGGCTTGGTCGTATCACCAGTTCTCTCTTAAACCAGGCATCCATCATGGCCGACTTTGTGGTAGGTCTCTTGCTGCGTTTCTTCTCTTGTCACGATTCTCCCTCACCGTAATTGTCGAATATTCCATCCCGGACGACCTGCGAACCTGTCGCTCTAACACTGTCTGGCTTGAAAAGGAACTTGGAATCGAAGGCTTCGATAAGGTCGTCGACAAACACTTCGACAAAGGCTACGACAAGGGACACGAAAGATTACACAGACATCGACATAGAGACGAGCGCGAAGACAGCAACGACAGAAACAACATGGGCGACACACGTCAACGTGATCGCGGCTACGACAGTGCATCAGACGATAGCTACGACCAACGACCACGACGAAGAAGAGACGAACGAGACCAAAGATATCAGCGTGACGACCGCGGCGACAGGAGATTGCGACAACAAAACAATCGCGAGGATGAACGACCACGCCGTCTCTCACCTCCAGGACAAAGCTATCATCCTCGCGCCGTAGACCCAACATATGTACCATACCAATCTTCAAATGCGCGGCCAAGAGACACCGCACCACCTGCTCCCCAATACTACGACACTTCACCACGACCCCCCTCTCGTGATAACTACACACCCGCATCTTCAAATCGCGGTGGCCCCCAAGAAATGGCACGGTACTCACGAGCCCAAGACCGCTCGTCCTCTCATTCCCGCTCACGAAGACATCGCCGCCACTCCTCCTCGTCCTCACGTTCCCGCTCTCACTCCGCAGGTCGCGATTTCCACGACAGCCCCCTGATGGCCCTCGACAGCAGTACCCTAGGTCTGGGAGCCGGTCTCGCAGGTGCCCTCCTCGGCGGCTACATCGGCCGCGAAACCAGCGAGCGCCATCAAAATCGAGGCGCGGCTCTAGGAGCCATACTCGGCGGCATCGGCGCTAACATCCTGGAAAACAGAGTTAGAATCTATAGGGACGAAATGAAAGAAGAGCAGAGGGAGGCCAGGGAGAAGTGGGATGCGAAGCACAAGGAAACCAGGAAAGAGAGGCGAGGAAGGAGGATGGAGTCGCCGCAGAGGTGGTAGAACCATGGTGTTACGAAGACGTTTATGAAGAAGGTAATGGAAGATGATGAGAAAATGTAATGTTAAACGATTGTTGTGTGGAATTTCCTTGCTCCCCATACTAGTATTTTCTCTTATACGCATGTACTGCATGCTTGTTGACGAGTACGAGGCATGTACAGAATACGTAACTTATCCACATCAATCACGTCTGTTGACTCTCAGATGCTGTAGAAAAGACTCGCACAGTACCAACACCAATACAAATCCTCGATCAATCCTTGTACAGTGCAACATATCGATTCAGTGAGCTATAAAGACACGCAATCGCTCTCCTAGAAGATTTCCCGGGCGACTATGTCTGTGGGCAAACCTTTCTCCAGGGAACGCACGTACATTCTCATAGCGGCACGATCACTCGAGAGACAGAGAAAGAGAAGAAAGAGGATTGCAGGCGGCAGATCCGCCTCGCATCAGTTTCGCCCATTGTCTGCGAGTTGATTGCAAAGGAAATCTGAACTCTGATAGGAAAGTCAAAAAGGCCAGATAATGTACATTTCACACCATATAAACAAGATCAACGTTATAGCAAATCCCAAAATACACTTAGCAGGAGAAGACCTCGAACGTTCGTCTTTCTTTTTCTCGTTGGACTTGGAAAAGTAACAAGCAAAGCAACAAGCAGCCAGCCCCTGGTCAAAAGAGAACGAAGAAACAAAGCATATATACGCCCTTGTTACGCCATAGCTCTTTCCTCGGTTTGTGAACAGCAAGCAGAATGTAAGCAAAAAGGGAAAAGGAGATATTGAAAAGTGTGAGACAAAAATGCACAATAGATGGTAGAAAAAAGAAGAGGAAGAAGCATGTGAACGCCTCCCTCACGTTGTCTCGCGAGCCCGCCGCACTCCCCATTTTGGTCGCATGATAGATGTGGTAAAGATCAGGAAAAATTCCAAAAAAGAACGCCATAAGAATCCCTCGTCCCTCCAGTTCATCTGGTCGTGTGAGATCTTGGAAGAGCAACCAGCTGTAAATAAAGTTATCAAGAATGGAACATGTCAGTCCGGCCGTGACTGAGCGAGACATGGTCGTTTTCACTTCTTCTTGAGACCTGGACTGGGCTTCATACGTTGTGAAGGCGGTCCTTCCAGTCCTTCGTCACCTTCAAGCTTGACTTGTGAACGCCGACGCTTGCTGCTCAGGTTTGGGCTTGTCGACGCGGACTGATGAGCACTGTTGGGGTTGTTGCCCTGCTGCGAGTGCTGCGGCACCATCATTGGTGGACCCATGTGTGGGCTCGGGGAGTGATGCATCGGTCCCATCATGTGATTGGGAGCCATCAACGAGCCACCCGGCAAACCCGGGTGTGCAATGTGAGGTGAGCCATTCATAGCCATCATCTGTTGCCCGTTCAGGTGCTGCATCGGCAAGTTCATGTGGGGGACTGACGGCGAGGAGAAGTTAGGCGTTTGGCCAGGCAACTGCATGTGTGCCTGAATAGGTGTACCAGCACCCTGAGGCAGGGGCTGAACAATTCCGTTTCTCTGCAGAGCCATCTGCGCGTGGTTGGGTTGCATAGGGTTCATCTGGGGCTGGCCGAATTGTTGCTGTTCTTCCATCTGAGCGACCATCTGGTTCATGGCGTCATGTGGTCGGAGTTCGTTCTTCTGGGAGTATTCCATCAGGTCCTTCATGAAGAAGATGGTTTCCGCTACCTGGACCTGGTCAGTTCAGGTGGTCGTACAGCTGGAACTCTGAAACAAGCACATCTACCTCAAGGTATTGCATAACAGCGGGCGTAACGGCGTATTCGTTGACAGGGGCGGAGGGGAAGTCTTCGAGCTGAAGAGCGCCTTGTGCCTTTTGCATTGCCTTCTTAGCCGGAGTTTGTCTATGCATCTTGGGACTTTTGTTCATCAGGGGCGAGCCCTGGGCGACGACACGCGCAAGTTCGGAGCGCGGGATGAATTCCTCGGTTTTGGACACTTCGAATTCGAGAGATTCGAACTTGTCCATACCGCTAGGGAACGAGGCTGTCAGCTTGCCTTGCCAGATCAACTAGGCGAAAGTCAGTTTGTGTCAAGGCAGATTGTAGGGAGAGGATGTACTTGAGTGTTGTTCGCAAACCAGAAAATGTAGCGAGCACGAGCGCAAGTTACCCAATGAGCATTGTTGGGAGCAGGCATTTCTCTGACCCCCTCTAGCTGGAGTTGGATGTTTTGTACACCACTATCAAACCAAGTCCAGTAGTATCGTGCTAGCGAAGAGGCATTGATCATGAATTGCTTGGTCGATGAATTCGTGTTGTCAAGGACATGCTGTACCAGCCGGCCGTCCGGTGTCCAGAACTGGCTCACGAAATTTTGCCAATGGTCTTGGGAATTTGCCTCACGCGACTGTCACACTAGTCAGTTTCTTGGTCCGGATTACTCTAGGAACACTTACACTTGCATTGAAGGTGCTGAGATGGTCTGAGAACTGAATCAGCTTGAGGATGAATTGCCCATTGCTCGTGCGACCCGGTTGCTGCTGCTGCTGTTGCTGCTGTTGTTGTTGAGCAGCCATTGCCTGCTGTTGACGCATCATGTTCATGTTGTTCATATTCATCATCTGCTGACGTTGCTGTTGCTGCTGAGCCGTCTGCATCTGCTGCTGCTGTGCCTGCTGAGCTTGTTGCTGCGCCTGCTGTTGCTGTTGAGCATTCTGCGACTGGTTTTGGGATTGGGCAGAGCCCGGCTGCTGGGGAGTTTGCTGGTTGGGCTGTTGAGGCTGCGACGAGGGAGGTTGTTGAGGGAGCGGTTGTGCTTGCATTTGTGGTGTGGGATGGGCACTCGGGGGCTGAGGAGGCTGCTGTTGTTGCGCCTGTTGCGGCTGAGGCTGCTGTTGCTGAGGTTGCCCTTGAGGTGTCTGTTGCTGCTGAGGCTGAGGAGGTTGAGAGAGCTGTTGCGCCTGACCCTGACCTTCAGTGACAGAAGGGATTTGCGACTGGCTCCTCATCTGAGCCGGGGGCGGCTGTTGTGCAGTAGGCTGACCGTTCTGAGGAGCACTCTGATGGGAAGCCTGGGATGAGGCGTGCTGCATTGCCATGTGCTGAGCCATCGCCTGTTGCTGCATCTGGGGTGTTGCGGGCGCCTGAGGACCCTGGGGATGCGGCGTCTGCTGCTGCTGTTGCTGCTGGGCGTGTTGCTGTGCCTGGGCAGCTTGTGCGGCTTGCATCTGGCGCATCTGTTGGATCTGGATCATGTGCTGAGGCGGGAGATTGGCCATTTGCGCTTGTTGGAAGGCTGGATTTGCCTGCATCTGGGCAAATTGCTGAGGGCTCATGCCTGGATGACCGTTGATTCCCATGCCCATACCCATACCGTTCATCTGCTGTTGCTGTTGCTGAGCTTGTTGTTGCTGTTGTTGCTGGGCTTGTTGCGCTGCCATCATCTGTCGCTGACGAGCCATGTGTTGCTGCTGTTGCATCATCAATTGAGGATTGTTGGCCACTATGACAGGTAGTGTTAGCATCGGTACGACATGGATGGAAGGTCAAGAGGAAGACATACTTGCTTGCTGCATCTGCTGGTGGTGTTGCTGCATCATGTGGGTTTGGGGGTTGAGATGGCTCATGGCCATGGCGTTTGCACCGGGACCGCCCATAGACTGTTGCGGCATCATGCCACCACCCGGACCGGGACCCATACCGGGAGGCATATTCTGCTGGCCGGGTTGCATGCCCATCATGGCAGGTTGGCCCATGTGAGGAGCACCGGGACCCGAGACCCCAGGCATCTGCATCGGCTGGCCCATGTGCTGGGCGTTAGGAGGCATTCCTGGGTGGCCGTGGGGTACGCCTTGTTGCATGCCCGCCGGGTGCGGAGGAAAGGACATGCCTTGCATCATAATGGTCGAGAGTGAGCAAGCAGACGCGTAGTTTCAAGCGACGACGACAAGGACGAAGGCTGGTCAAGTCGACAAGGCGCGACGATGGACCGAGAGTGAAGAGAGCGCGACGAAAGGTGCGCTCAAATGCATGTATGAACACGAGATCGTCCGAGGGTGCTGTCGCTCTGGATGCGCAGACTTGGGCGCGATGGTACTCGTGGACGGACGCGCCTGATGCGAAGGTTGCTTCCCGTCTCTCCGTGAGCCCAACAGCGGACTAGACCAAGGCACACGTTAAGGCAGTGCCGTGTGCGTTGGCGTGATCGTGAGCGTCTTGAGTCGTGATCTGGCCGTGATGAGGGTGTCGAAGACTGAAAGACACGCCGAAGGACAAGTACGAGTACCAGAGTCGAGGGTGGTCCGGGGACCGTCTGCTTCACGGTGCCGGGAGTATGGACGGCCGAGCTAAACGTCTTCTCACCACTTCAAAAGCCCTCACTAATTCATGTACTGCTCTTTCGGACCGTCGATGGCCACTGCAGCTTTTGCGCGTACAAAGCCAGAGTTGCACCGTCGTGTGCGAAAACAGATCCAGCCTGGCACAAGATGCCTTGCGATTCGAGGGTCGCTCCTGCTCATTCGACCCTCACCTCAGATGCCCGTCGTGATTTGTCCGCTGATGGGGGCTCGTGCACTAACGAGCACTTTGCACTTGCTATCCAACACCATAACCAAGCTCCTACCCATCTGCATGCTCTCGTCCGTGTGCCCTCGACCACATCCTTTTCACCAAACCACATTCAAATATACAGCTGACGACTTTCTCAACGACAACTTGCTAGCATTGCATGCTTTGGTTGCGTGCTGATCCGACTACCACTGGTAGAACGACTAATTGAGCGCGCCAGCGAACACGCTGATACCAAACGCTTGGACGCGCTTTCCTTGGCGCGCGCGAGGTTCTGCCGAGCTCATTGATCGACGCCAGTATTTATTTGTGATCAAGCCGAATCTTTCTTGCAAGCAAATTCCTTCACCACCAAATCCCGCCGTCGTCCGTCGCTGCCAGACTCTCGCGCATCTGTTATGCCCGTCTGCGCGACATTCGGCGGCGCGTATATCATCTGTGAGTATTCTCTCGTTCTTTGCGCATCTCCCTTTTCCACAATCATCATCCGAATGATGACAACTATTACAATTATGTCTTCTTTTCCCAACAGATTCGACCATGACGAAGACTATCTGTTCGGGCAGCCGTCGCTGGCAGCCTGTATACTTGCCAGTATATTTTTGTCTGACACTACCTCCAAACCTACCTCGTTCTACATTTATGTCTGTGGAACATCGTGCTAACAAGCGCCGAAGTACAGGAGTCAAACCGCATATCAACCACGATCAAGAGGAGGAGTAATGGGCATACATTGTGGGTGTCGATGAACTGTTGAGCAGTGTCGGCACCCTTCAGCAACTATGGTGAGTCGCTTCGCTTTCTATACCCGTCTCCACTATAACACAACCCCTCTTTATGATGAAACCCATACCACATTCGCAGTTTTCACGCTAGCCGTCGCCTAGAACCTATCTTAGACGGTCGTTGAGCGCTATATCTTCCTTGGATGTCTGATTCTTTTTTCCAACCATTCACGCTCTTGGTCTTGATTGTTTTGTAACAACCTTGTGCTGACCATCTCAAAGCCACAGATTAACTTTCTCGAATCTTGATGTTATATATCTTCAATCTTTAATCAAAATAATCTTCTATCTTAGCATATCTGCTCTTCCAATGTACCATGTAAACGGCCACCAACGGTCATCTTTTGTATGTCAACAAACATCAATATCACATGTCAATCAACCAACGCTACTGTTATATGATAATCCAACGACCCGGATAGTCCTCAGACAAGAATTTCCCATCCTGCCGGGACAAGATCCAATGCGAGCAACGTACCTGCAGCAGATGATTTTCGTATCTAATCTTGCCATGCAGCCAACCTCATTTCCTCTTCTTCAGCTCTTCCACAGCCCTGCATGCTTTCCAATCTCCGTCCTTTCGGAATAACTAAAGCACATGCAGAAGTAGCTGAAAGGCTAAGGAAGGTATGCTATCGCTCCCAACATTCGCACGTACTCGTACGTATCTGCCAAAAGCTTTGGACAAGTCATTCAAGCGACTAGCCATTTTTCCCTGCCCTGATGCATCTCAACCACATTCTCTCCCGTGTCGTCAAACAACTAGCTATGCAACATGCAGACCGAGTGGAGGCTAGCAATTGCAAGGGACTCGAGTGGTGCTTCTCGTGCATTGTCTTTTGCAGTTCTATCACGCATGCACGCAGAAGGCAACAAAAGGAAGAAAAAAAGAAAAAATGTACATGCTTCCACCAACACCCTGGCCTTGTTCTCTAGCCTCTTTTTCCGAACGACCACATGATGATACAATGCATTTGGCTCTTCTGAGATGTCTGTTATGGGTAGTTGAGACTCTATCAATGCGAAACATGTTGCTGTATGTCATCTGTAGTTACTGTCGCTCATCGAGAAATAATGCGTCACAAACAGTCCAACAGCGTATAAAACCACAGCATCAGCGTCGGCAACCTAACAATTATCGCACGTCAAGCACCGTCTCAATAACTATTTCCATCTCTGGTACTTGTTAGTATACTACAATCCATCCATCATACAACACAAAAAAGACTCTTCATATCCATTCCAACATACCCATCCAAACCTCTACACACCTGACCAAACCAACCCAATCTCTTCCAAGCCAACCCTACCCATCCATCCCGAATCCTCCCGTCCTCCGTCCCCTGCACCCAAAATTGCGCAATCGGCTCGCTCGCTCGCTCGCATGCACGCACAGCAGCAAAGAAAAACAAGACAGCGGGAATGCCGCAACCCGTCTGCCGTGCTCTGTTTCCCATCCCCAGCTTTTGCTGTCTCTCCACCTTTACGTTGGGAACAAAACAGAGTCCAACAAAAACTACGACATCGCTTGCCAAGTCTTTCAAAAGGTCTACTCGGAACAATTGACCTTTGTCCTTTTTGAAATGAGACTAACTCCGATTTAGTTTGCTTTGGGGCTTGCGTGCCTTGCATACTGTACGGGTATGGCGAAAAACTTAATCACTGATTGTAGGATATATGCCGCAATAGTGTTGAGAATCCCCGGTGAGTCTGTGGTAGATAGTCAGTCCGAGATCGTGACGAGAGAGAAGAGCTGTAGAGTCAGTCCATAAGCCAGCCCACCAGCGTATTCATTGATTCAGGAAGCAACGGCGCGGCTAGGTGCGAAGCGACGAGCGACGGCTCAATATTCCCAAGGTTCCAAGCCTTGGTTGTGAAGTTCGTGTGGGTTCAGCGCTATTTGACTCCACCAAAGAAGGATGACGACGCGTCCCAAGTTGGACATGGCTTTTGTCGTCGTTTTGGAGTGTGGAGCACGATGTTCGATACGAGCAAGAGGAAGATTATTCATATACGAAGCACAAACAGAAGACAATCGAGAGGTAGATGTAGTGGAAGAATTGATTCAATGATAGACTAAATATCTATCCGAAAGAAAAAAGTAAAAGGCTATATGCACAATGAAGGACAAGAGAAGCAGGCTCCGGGATGCAAGAAAGCTGTCAAGCCAACCAGAAAATGCAGATAAGAAATTGTGGAAAACAGTTTTCCAAGACGATACACGTCTTTATTACCTTCCTTTTGGAAGCACCTCGGTCCGCCCCGATCAAACATTAGTAGGCGTAGTACTGTTGCCCAAACCTCGAACGCGTATTGACCCTTGTCTCATCGACGAGGGACGTCATGAACCAACAAGCCCCTCCCGACGAGCCCAATATGCTCATTATCAACATGAATATCATGGCGGAAGCGAATAGGTCGTGAGAGTGGTTGTATAAAAAGAAAGTACCCCTGCAAGCAAGAAGGCGCTTACAGGAGAGCGACGGCCATGGCACCAGCGGCGATGAGCATCTCAGCGGCGAAGGTAGGGAGGGCAGCAGCACCAGTGTAGGCAAGAGGGCTGGTGGGGGCAACGACAGTGCCGTTAGCAGGGCGAGTGGCACCACCAGTAGGGGCCTGGATCTGACCGTCGGAGATCTGAGTGACGGGCTTGCCGACGGAGGTAGGGGCTTGGATCTGGCCGTCAGAGATCTGAGTGACAGGCTTAGCAGTGGGAGCCTGGATCTGACCGTCGGAGATCTGAGTGACGGGCTTGGCAGTCGAGGTGGGAGCCTGGATCTGGCCATCAGAGATCTGAGTGACGGGGACACCACCAGTGGAGGCCTGGATTTGACCGTCGGAGATCTGAGTGACAGGGGCACCAGTAGAGGCCTGGATCTGACCATCAGAGATCTGAGTGACAGCCTTGGTGGAGGTGGCGGCCTGGAGTTGACCGTCGCCAATCTGGGTAGCGGCGCCGGCGGAAGCAACACCACCAGCCTTGAGGACGTTGATGTAGATGGGAGAGCACTGGTTGCCAGTGGACTCGTCGTAAAGGTTGTAGAAGTCACCGCTCAAGCACTGGTAGAAGATGGCAGAGCTGCCGATGGCAAGAGTGCCGTTGCTGCAGACGGAGAAACCAGAGGTGTAGATGGCACCGGTCTGGGCGGGCTTGTCGAACTGGAACTGGTTGTTGGCAGCAATGTAACCAGTGCGGCCCTCGTCATCAGTCAGGACACCGTTGGCCAGAGTGATAGTCAAGACCTTGTCCTGACGAGCCTCGAGGCTGCGTTTGGAGGGGGTGGTGACGTTAGCAATGGAGATGCTGAAAGGACCGTCGAAGCTGGTCTGGCAGCCCTGAGGAGTGGGCTCCTTGGGGGCGATGGCCTGGGTGACACCCTGGGGGAGGGCGACGACAGCACCGGCAAAGGCAGCAGCGACAGCGAAGGACTTCATGTTGATGGTGATGAGGATGTTGATGATAGAGTAGTTGTTGGTTGAGAAGATGCGGTGATGATTATGTGCAGAGAAGAATGGATGTTTGTGTTAACGACAGGTGTGGGTGACAGATGTGAAGCGATGGAGAGCGAAAGTGAGTTCTGTGACCGGAGAAGGTACGAAGGTCGGACTTGGTAGTGACTTCTTAAGGTTGGCGAGGCGAGTTGATGTGTAAACAGAACAGCGACAATGGGAGGAATGTGCCTACCTTCTTATATGCCCCAGCTCATTATCCTCTGGAATGCCAGGGAGGGGTGGTTGGACCAGGCGGCGTTAGTCTCCTTCATCCGAATATGGTTCCAGCGCTTGGCCCCAGAGCGAACACGGGCTGTAGCGCTGCACTTACGTATCTACGCCGTTGGCCGCTTGCGATCAACGGACAGAGGTTGGAAACGGACGTGCCTGGCGAGGTTAGCGGCTGCCAGCGAGCAGGCTTTGGACAGAGCAACCGGCTCTGCGGCCACCAGTCGTACCAATGGTCTGGAGATGAACCACGAAACCGGCCAATTGCCCAAACCTACGTGCCCCCCAAACAGTGACCATCAAGCATTGCGGCTCCCGGTGGTCGTACTGCGTGACGAACCCAGGATCGACTCAGCCGTGGCGGGGAGGGACAGGCGGGAAGCATGCAAGCGCGACCAATCACCCGCAACCATGCATGTCTTTGTTTCCAGTCGTCTCATCAGCAACCCTCAAGCACATGTTGAACCCTCGCTTTGCGAAAGAAGCACCGAAGAACCCTCCCGAAACCAGCCATCTCGCCGTGACGTACATCTCGATGCTTCGGACTCTCCAGCAAGTGCAATCGCAAACTCTGTTGAATGACAATCTTTTGACTCCGGATCCGGACGTAAATCCTTTCTTGGAACGTCAAGTCAGTGACCGAAATAGAAACCGAAGCAACCTCCGTGGCCACCTTCACCAACCATCCTGCCCTCTCTCCATGACCACTGCATCCGCATGCTGCATAGCGTGTGCCGTGCCCACTGCCCAGCCATCCTTGACGCTCGCTGCTAGATCACCCATCTCGCAGTGCATCGAGAGCATTGATGCATAGAGCGGGGTCTTATTCTCTCCACAAAGTGGCACGTTGCTATAGCGCCTTCCCCACGCGCGAATTTAGGCCCAGTCAGCCTTGTTGGAATTAAGAAGACGTTTGAGGAGAAAGGTTCAACAGCTTCTTCAGCTGCTGGTCGAGGCATTGTTTGTTTGAGGGTTTGGTCTGCAGGACAATCGTTGTACAGCCAGGGAGATTGTGGTCTTCTTGCTTGTTGGGCAGCGAGCACGATGTTCGCCGAGCAACGATATGGTCGATGAAGCCGATGAAAATCGATGGGCCCATCATGCATGCAGGATTGAGGTAGGATTTGCAGCCAAGCACGGCAAGGGAACCTCCCAAAGCCCCACTCGAACACGACGACTTTTGCAAGATTCCCCCAAGCAGAAGCTGCATACACCATGTATACTTTTGTGCTCGTTTCAGGATGAGCTAGATGACCTCACGTGCAGCATCAGCAACTCAAATCCAGCCATCTCGACCGCAAGGCGGTGCTCGAGGTAAAGAGGAGTAAGGTTTCTATATCGCACGGCTTGGCCGAATGCAAGCAGATTTAGAGCACTGGCTAGCCGTGCCATCGGCAATGATCGACGCATCATGACAAAAGCCTAATTGTCGCATACCAGACCCTCCGCGGTTGAAAGCATCTCCGTCTGGCGGTGGTGGCCGCAGCAGTATCATACGATCTCGTTGCGGCTCCATCCCGATTGATTCGTTACATCACATCATTTCCTTGGAGGTTTCTGTTCCTGAGCAGTTATATCAAAGACGTTTCGGCTCGCCGGCACCCAAGCATTCAATATTTAGTGCGCTCGTTCTGATCTCTCATCGGTCAACGATCCAACGGCCGCATGGATACGAACGTTGGTGTGTGATGGCATGGTCGACGCATGAGCTGCTTACTCTACGTCCGCCACCGGCTCGCGAGATGAGGTACATTATACCTTTAGATGACATGCAGACAGTAGATCTGTGGCAAGAAACAACAAGATGTCGAGGGATGGCGGGGTGCCCAGGGGATCTTCTCATAGCTGGGTGGCTGGGTGGGCGTGTTGAAATGGTTGAGCCAATACAATCAGAGTCACATGGCCATGTCCAGCACAGGTATGACTTAGCTGTCACCTCGTAACGCCGTTTTGAGGATGGACATGTCTCAGTTGGCGGCGAGTTGTTGTTTACAGCAGCGATGAGGCAATGCATATGTGACTCAGCGAGGCCGTTGCTTCGAGCTCCGAGGTCGTTGACTCGTTGCAGCGAGCGAGCTCCTCCCCGCAACAGCCTTCCAAGCCTCAGTTCTACCTTGAGTTTTCCGCATGTATCTAAACCTGCATGCATACAACACAAGCCTTGTGAGCCCTGTTATGGCTTACTGTACATTTGACAATTTTCCGGTGAGATTGGCTGATCGAAAGGGAGCAACCTAATACTATGGTGCGTTGTCGCTGTAGCATGAGCAAGTGAGGGGACAGGGAGTTGGATACGAAGGGTAAAATGTGGAGTGCAGGGAGTGACACAGCGCTATCACTCGATCAAGGGTGGGTTAGTATCTGGTCAATGGGGTAATCTTGATAGCGCAAATGTGGATGGACAGAACGAACGCCCGGCAAGGGATGCTTTGCTACTGAAACCTGTGACCGGTTTGTACCGGTTTCATTACTGTTTGTGGAGCAAACAAACATATGTCGCTGGCGGATGAACGATGATTGGAGGTGGACGAATGGTCAAAACAGTAGCGACGTGGCAACGGCGAATAAATTCAAGGTGATTTCCCCACTGTAGGTACGTTTAAAGCATTGAGTCCTTACATGGATATCTTATCTGCTCGGATATTGCCCTTGCAGGTAAGTTGAATCTGAATGGTATGCGAGCCCTCTAGTGTGACACTGGAAGACATCCGCGAGATTGTCTGTGAGGATGGATGTTTGCGATACAGACTAGCTGTTCGGATATCAAGGACGGGTGGATTCTTCGCCCACGGTGATACCCAGCTCCTTTCTCAACAAAGTGGTCAGGCTGGTCTTGTCTCTGAGATAGATCCAGTCACCAGATGCAGCGCCCTCCTTCTGTTGCTGCGACTCGCCCAACATGACCCAGTCGAACCTCTTGGGCCCACTGATGGGAGAGCTCAGCCAGATTTGCTTGGTGGGTGGCTGCTTGTTGACAACGTAGGTGCCGTTAGGAGGGTAGACGATGTTGAGGACGCCGGCCTTGGTAGGTGGTCAGCAGATGAAGAAGAAGCAGTGACGGCTGTTCTTACAGAGTACTCGACGTCGACACCTTCCTTCTCCTCTGCCAGCTCCTCTGCTCTGCTGACGAGTTCCTCGAGGTAGTGGTCTGCTCTCTCGTGGTACTCTTCGATCTCAATGGGTGTGGGATCCTTGACCTCGTGCAGAGGCTCTCTGTCTTTGAGGGTGGGCTCGTCGGTGTCGGGCAGAATGCCTTTGTAGGCACGCGAAGCGTTCGAAAAGGAGCGAGTAGCGACGTGTGATGCACAAGGAGCTTGTCTGGGCAGGTATCTGGGAGCGACAGGGCGAGTCGAGAGACTGCGCACTGCCTGGCGCAAGCAGCGGACCGATCTGGGTGCCGACATGATTGTGATTGCGAGTTTGAGTTGAACTGAGGTGGGTGACGGTGATAACGTCGAGCAGCTTGAGCTATCAATGGGGAATACTTGAGGTGTAGTGAAGGAGATGAAGTTGTTTGCGACAAACCGGAGCTCGCAGACAATGACGATGAGCTTGATCAATGCGGGGGTCTGGGCCCAAGTCTTGCATCTCTTGTTTGCTCACGTACCATGTTGTACATTCTCATAAGTTCCCAAATCTATATGGACTGTTTGAAAGACGTCGGTTACATGTAGACCATATCTTGTGTATGCGCTATCATTTTCATGACCGCCCTGTGTCTGGATAGCTCACTCATGGTCATATTCAAGAGTGAGAAGATTAGGAGTGACAAACTTTGGCACATGTCGAGGTGGGTCTCCGAAACTCCGACAGTGCCTCGATTGATGCTTGTTCCTGAAACCATACACCCACGTGCTTCTCACAAAGTTCTACCATCAACCCCGTTCAAGTAAACAAATTCTTCTATATCGACGCACAAGTACAACAAAGTCGAGCAGCAGCTATGATCAACGCCGTCCTGGTTTTCAATAACAATGGCCAACCGCGTCTGACCAAGTTCTACACACAGCTGGTACCATGAGAAGCGCATATAACCCTCGATACAAGTTTCTGAACATTTCCCACAGGATACAGCTGTCCAGCAACGTCTGATTTCCGAGATCTTTGCTCTCGTCTCGGCTCGTCCTTCGTCGTCATGCAACTTCCTACCGTTACCACCTCTTCTTGCTCCTGCTCAGTCCTCGGCCGCTGTCTCGGATTCTCTCAACGACGTTCCCTCTCTGGTCACCTACCGCCACTATGCAACTCTCTACTTCATTGTCATCAGCACTAGTACCGAGTCTCCCTTAGCTCTGCTCGATTTGATACAAGTCTTTGTCGAATCGCTAGACAGGCTCTTCGAGAATGTCTGTGAACTCGACCTCATCTTCAACTTTGAAACGCTACATGCAGTTTTGGGCGAAATGATAGTTGGTGGCGTAGTAATAGAGACTGGTTTGGATAAGTATGTGCTTAGACGTGGTTTCTTGTGCTCGTTGCTGACGTTTGACAGAGTGGTACAGGGAGTAAAGGCTCAAGGAAAGGTTGCTAAGCGGCCTGTCAACGAAGGCAGCCGTACTGGTGGTCTTGGACCTGGTATCTGGGCTGGCAGGTGATCATCTCCCAGGCAAAGGTATGCACCTCGATCGCAAACAGCTTCGCCAAGCATCTCAAGGCAGCATCTCCTCGCCAGCCATGTGGATCCAGCATATCTCCAAGGCTTAGGACACATTCCAGAGGTGGGCTGAAACCCGCCACTTTTCGTCGAGAATGTTTCAAATTCGTTCTCTGCAGCAACGCACAGCAAGGAGATAGAGGGATGAGGAAAAAAAACTGGACAACAATATACAGTACGTCCAGCTTGGCGATATGTATACACTAATCACGCTCTCTTGGTTGAACCAAGGGCTTCTTTGTAGCTACCAATCCACAATCTAAGAGCATTGGACTCGAGTCTTTCAGGATTGCGTTGTTTCCCGACTCTTTCCTGGTCCGCATCTGCAGAAGAAATCCTGGTGTCATCACGGTGTGCCCAAGAGGCGCAGTCTGTCACGAAGCTTGTGCTCGTCACTTGTGACTACCAATCTTTTCCCGTTCAAGTATGTCGGACGCAAGCTGGCTGTCCACAGTAGTCGGTAGTGGACACAGCAGGTAGATTTGACAGGTCATGTTGTGTTACGGTGTTTCTTGACAGCTCATGACGCGGATCGAGGGGACTCTTGGTCTTCGAGGGTAGCACGTGGCTTCCGCCTGGGTGTGCCAAACATGTCGTTGGTCGCTCTTGCGTAGTAATCTCGGATCTTGTCGAACATGTCAGCCTGAGTATCTAGCACACGTGAAAGCTCAACATACGGTGCCAAAGACGGTCCCCTCTTCAATCTCCATGAATAGTAGACCGTAAACAACGACAACTAGACCTAGAATCAGCATATGATTGTCACACAAATCAAGCAAAGACATACACGAGATGGTACCCCAGGTAGCCAGCTTGACGAACTTTGTCCATGTCGGTCTTGCCCACTTCAGCTTTGCTCTCCTACGGTACCGGCGTTCGAGGCGGAATTGATGTTTCTGCGACAATTTGGTAAAGTCTGGCGGCCATGTCCGCTTGCTTTTGTAGGGATTCCTGGCGAAATCAAACTTGGGCAGAGCAGCTGCCCGTCGCATCAAAGTTTGAAAAAACATGGTTGGATATGCTGTGAACTAGAGAGAGTACCAGCACCCTCGTGGATAGATTGTCGAGGATGCGCATCAAACAAGGCAAACTGGTGGGCGCTACGAAACAAAAGTCGTCTGGGGAAACTTTTGGCTGGCGGCGGCATTGAATGCAGCCATCTCTCTTCTGACTCACGCAAAGCAACCCTTGCCCACCACGTCGTTGCTTAGTTTCTCTTTGCGCCAGCTGCGGGTACTGCGATCGAGGCCTCTTCAATCCCGCTCTTTCACCATGGCCGCTCCTCAGGAAACTCAGGGCACTCTCAAGATTGAGAACGTGAGTCACGAGCTATTCTGTACTTTGCTCACTACTGACGACCCATTGCGCAGACCGACAAGCGTGACACCCTCATTGCTTCCGAGAAGAAGTACCAGCAACAGTGGAAGCAAGACAACATCTTCCAAGCCGATGCCCCTACTCTCCAAGATGTTCCCTTCCATTCAATCACTCCTGCAGAGCTCCGCGAGCAGCAGCCCAAGCAGTTCTCCACCATGGCTTACCCCTACATGGTACCGGAAATCTTCATATGGCAATCTGAAGAAACATACTAATCATGTCCACGCAGAACGGTATTCTCCACGCTGGTCACGCTTTCACAGTCTCCAAGGTCGAATTCGCTACTGGATGGGCCCGCATGGAGGGCAAGAGAGCCCTGTTCCCCCAAGGATACCACTGCACCGGTATGCCTATCAAGTCATGCGCCGACAAGCTGGCTCGCGAGATGGAAATGTTCGGCAAGAACTTCGAGAACTACAAGGAGGAGGACGCCGAGGAGGATGCTGTCCCCGCACCCACACAAGAGACCACCAAGGCCGACATTACCAAGTTCAGCGCAAAGAAGAGCAAGGCCGCAGCCAAGGCTGTCTCGATGAAGTACCAGTTCCAGATCATGGGTGCTCTCGGTATCCAAAAGGACGAGATTCACCAGTTCGCCGACCCAAACCACTGGCTCGATCATTTCCCTGCTCTCTGCGAGCGCGATTTGACAAACATTGGTGCAAGAGTCGATTTCAGAAGAAGCATGGTTACAACCGACAGAAACCCCTACTACGACGCTTTCGTTCGCTGGCAAATGAACCGTCTGAAGGAGTTGGGCAAGATCAAGTTCGGCAAACGTTATACCGTATACTCCCCCAAGGACGGACAAGCCTGTATGGATCACGACAGAAGCTCGGGTGAGGGTGTCGGTGTTCAGGAATACACTGCTCTGAAGCTCAAGGTCCAAGAATGGGCCGAGCCCGCACAAAAGATCCTTGCTGGCAAGCTACCAGAAAACGCCAACGTCTACTTTGTCCCCGCTACTCTTCGTCCTGAGACCATGTACGGCCAGACATGCTGTTTCGTCGGCCCCAAGATCGTCTATGGAATTTACAAGGTCTCCGAGAACGAGTACTACTTCGTTTCGGAGAGAGCTGCTCGCAACATGGCTTTCCAGGGTATCTTCCCCGAATGGGGCGTCTTCCCCAAGGTCGCCGACTTGGAGGGCTCCGACGTTGTTGGCACTCTCATCAACGCCCCTCTTTCCGTCTATGAGAACGTCCGTATCCTGCCTATGGAGACCGTCAAGGCTTCCAAGGGTACCGGTGTTGTTACCTGTGTCCCCTCGGACTCTCCCGATGACTACATCACCATCCAGGATTTGGTCAAGAAGGCCGACTACTACAAGATCAAGAAGGAGTGGGCCGACCTCGAGCCCCTTCCCATCATTGAGACTCCCACCTACGGAAACTTGACTGCCAAGAAGCTGTGCGAGGACATGAAGATCGCCTCGCCCAAGGACACTAAGCAGCTTGCTGAGGCCAAGGATCTTGCTTACAAGGAGGGCTTCTACAAGGGTACCATGTGCTACGGTGAGCACAAGGGTAAGTCTGTCGAGGAGGCCAAGCCTCTTGTCAGACAGACTCTCATCGACGCTGGCAACGCCTTCAACTACGCCGAACCTGATGGCGAGGTCATGTCTCGTTCTGGTGATTCATGTGTCGCTGGACACTTGGATCAGTGGTACTTGAACTACGGAAAGTCTGGTGACGAGCCATGGCAACAAGAGGTCCTTGGCCACGTCAACGGCGAGCTTAACACATTCTCCACTGAGGCCAAGAACGCCTTCCAACAGACTCTCGACTGGCTAGGTCAATGGGCTTGCGCTCGTTCTTTCGGCCTCGGCTCGAAGCTTCCCTGGGATCAAAAGTTCCTGGTTGAATCTCTCTCCGATTCTACCATCTACCCCTCGTACTACACAATCGCCCACTACTTGCACTCTGACATTTACGGAGACTCTCAGGGTATTGGCAAGATCTCTGCTGAGCAAATGACAGATGAGGTTTGGGATTACATCTTCACCCGCCGTGAGGACGTCGAGAGCGACATTCCTAAGGAGACCCTCCAGACTATGCGCAGAGAGTTCGAGTACTGGTACCCTCTCGATGTCAGAATTTCTGGTAAGGATCTCATCCAGAACCACTTGACCTTCTTCCTGTACATCCACGTCGCCCTCTTCCCTCGCGAGTACTGGCCTCGTGGTATCCGTGCCAACGGACATCTTCTTTTGAACGGTGAGAAGATGAGCAAGAGTACCGGCAACTTCCTTACCCTGTACGATGCCACCAAGAAGTTCGGTGCCGACGCCACCCGTGTGTCTCTTGCCGATGCCGGAGACTCGATTGAGGACGCCAACTTCGAGGAGACTGTCGCCAATGCCATCATCCTCAAGCTCTTTGAGTTGAGAAAGTGGTGCGAGGAGACCGTCCAAGGTGTTCGCGTGCTCAAGGACGGCGAGAACTACGTCGAGGTCAACAAGAACGAGCGTCTCAAGAACAACGACTCCGTCCAGCGCACTGGCGAGAGATCCTTCTGGGACGACATCTTCGAGAACGAACTCAACGGCCTGGTCCGTGAGACCAGAGAACACTACTCTGCCACCAACTACAAGTCAGCCCTCAAGTCTGGCTTCTACGACTTCACCAGCGCCCGCGACTTCTACCGCGAAATCACCAAGTCTTCAGGCATCGGTATGCACCAAGATCTTGTGCGCAAGTATGTCGAGCTCCAAGCCTTGATGATCACCGTCATCGCTCCCCATTGGTCCGAATATATCTGGCTCGAAGTCCTCAACAAGCCCACCACTGTGCAAAACGAGCTCTTCCCCCAGGTTCCCGCCACCAAGCCCGAGCTCACTGCCGCTCGCGAGTACGTGCGCCAAACCAGTGGTAACATCACATCCGCAGAGGGCGCACAGCTCAAGCGCATGGCCAAGGGCAAAGCCACAAACTACGACCCCAAGCAACCCAAGAAACTCACCATCTTCATGGCCACCGAGTACCCCTCCTGGCAATCCAACGTCATTGACCTGGTGCGCTCTGCCTTTGACGGCTTGAGCATCGACATGAAGGCACTCAGCAAACAAGTCCCCAAAGCCGATTCCAAGAAAGCCATGCCGTTTATTCAGACCTTGAAAAAGAGCTTGGAAGAAGGTGTTGATGCCAACACTGTGTTTGAGCGCAAGCTTGCTTACAACGAGGCTGATGTGCTTGCTCAGATGGTGCCTGGATTGATGAGCACGGTGCAGAGATGTGTGTGCGTTGAAGTCATTGAGGTCAAGCAGGGAGGTAAGAGTGGTAAGGTTGTTGCTGGACAGGGTGAGGCTGCTGCTGCCAAGGGTATCGAGGTGCCCGAGTTGCCGCTCCAGGCTGAGAATGCTGTGCCTGCGTAAGTGTTTTTCTTTTTCTCCCTTGCTCTCCCTTTGATCTTGAATGAGAAAATGATGCTAACGATGTGTGTGTACATGCAGAAACCCCACTTTCTTCTTCTCGAACATCTAAACGATTAGAAGGGGAGTGTTGACTGGGATGTAGAAGAATGTCAAAGAAAGTAGAAAAGACGAAATCAAAAAGCTAAGAATCTTTCAATGTTTTTTTTTTTTTTTTTGCCATTCAGCCCTGCGTCGATTCCTTAGTATTTTGTCAAAAGTCGCGAGGGTCTTGATCTGGGTCTCTACTGTACTCTGCTGTTTGTGCACCCAGCTGCTTGTACCCTCCGTGGTAAGAGCTCGAAACGTTCAATGCACGGTAAGAACCAGTGAGCAAAAGAGTATAGCGTTGCGGATGATTGTCTTGACATCTCGACGGTCGAAAAAGGATTGCTTTGGGCTGTGAAGTTCGTTCTAATTGTACAGAGTCATGTAACCTGAAAATGCCACACACGCGAGACTTTGAGAAAGAGCAAGAAGATGTCGCATATCGGCATGCGGTATGTCCCTGCCTTATTCGTTCAACCAATTATCGTCATCATCAGCGACATCGTAATCCATCTCTGCCGCTGGTGCTTGCGGCCTTTGCTGTCCTGCATCCTGAGCCTCATCCATATTGATATCCTTCGATGCCTCTGTCGGTGTGAAGGTGGCAGTGGCAGGGGTAGTAGGCGCGGGATTTGCCATCCACGACAATTCCACTTTACCAAGATGAGGGATGTCAGAGCCGTGGTTCAGGAACTTTTCGGCCTGGTAGCGTTCGGAGAAGGCGAGCATTGCTGCGTCGGAGCGCGAAGGGTGAGGGCTTATTTGTGTGGATTCCATGAGATCGCTCTGTGGGGAGAATGTTAGCAAGTCATGTGGAGGTGGTGAGATTGTCAAGGGTTGAACCCACGAATAGGAGGTATTGCCTTAGCGCCTCGTCCTTTGCAGTATCCAGTTGCGCATTGTCAGGGAAAATGACTGCAATGGTGCGAGGTCTGTTGTCAAGTCTCCTCACCGCACCACCGCGCGCAGCAAAAGCACCTCTGCCTCCTCGCCATGCGCCTCGCGGTTGGAATGCTCCACGTCCTCTGTATCCACCACGACCGCGTGGAGCAAAACCTTGCCATGGCTGATCTTCGTTTGGATTTATGCCTATGCTCTCGGCTTCTCTTTCCAACTCTGCGAGCTTCGCTTTCAATGCGTCGGTTTGCGAGGGTGTGCCGTTTCCGTCTGCGCCATTGGTACTGCCGTTTTGAGCAGCGGCGGATTGGTCTGGAGTCCCTGACTTTCCTCTTTCTTTGGCGGCGAGTTTGGCGAGTAGTTTGCTGCGCTCTTCGGCCTGAGCCTTCATCTTTTGTTCCAACTCTTGCCGTTGTGCCTCGGCCTCCTTGATCTTCTTTGTTTTTTCTTCGTGAGCGCGTTGTGCCTCTTCTTGTTTCTTTGCGAATTCGACGGGGTCGATCTTCTCTTCCTCTTGCATTTCTACATCACCATCACTCTTGCTAAAGCCATTCTGATGGCGCTCCCGTTGCATTCTCTCGGGCTTGTACCAGTAGACTTTGACGAAACGGTTGTCGAAAATGACCTTGGGGCTGTCATATGCTTTCTTTGCGCTGTCGTAGTCCTCAAACTTGATGATAGCCAAACGTTTGTAATCTTGCAGCTCGACCGATTCAATGGTTCCAAATTCCGAGAAGAAATCGCGGACGGATTGCTCGTTGAAGTTCTCCTCGGGGATCTGTTCAATCACCACCTGTGTAATTGAGCGATCGTGGTTTGGACCGGCGGACGAGAAATCGGCGCGACCGCCACGGCCACCACGGAAGGCGCCTCTGTCGCCTCTACCGCGACCACGGCCACGCCCTCTATCACCGAACGGACGGCCTTGGGATATAGAGGCATTTGTAGGATCGTATTCGTCTTGCTGTTGGGGTACGAGGACGGGATCGTTGCCGTGGTCATGGGGACACGAAGCACCGAGTGCGCAGAAGCCCTTTGTATCGTAGTCGTGACATCTCTGACCAGAGCGCGGGGTTTGGGCGTTGTTGTTGTTGTTGTTGTTGTTGAAAGCGCCGGGCGATTGAGGGAAGGGCATTTGAGAGATTCCAGGCATCTGAGGCATGCCGGGCAGATTCAGTGCCTGCTGCATTGCCATGAGAGCGGCCATAGGGTTGTTCGGGTCGAAGGGGGGCATGGACTGAGGAGCGGCAGACATTTGACCCATGAAACCTCCTCTTTGACCACCGCGACCGCCTCGTCGCATCTTGATGGGACGGTCCTGGTGGTATGCTTGAGGGTGGTTGTCAAAGGCATTGCTGTCATTGAAGTCGCGCTTCTTTGAAGCAGGACCTGAGGGAGGGTTGAAAGCAGGTTCGCTAGGTTGGAAGGCAGGGGCAGTAGGCTGGAAGGCAGTGGCGGTGGGTTGCAGGGGCTGGGACTGGGAGTGGGACTGGGAATTTGCGAGGTGGGCGAAGACATCGTTGACGAATTGAGGCGTGGTATCATGCAGAAAGTCGAGTAGATTGTCGTTGCAATTCTGCTTGACTTGATCGTCTGACTCGTCTGATTTGATCAAGGCAAGAACATAGTCGGCAAGGACGTCCGAGTCGGCGTCCGAGATGTCGTCGAGACGCTTGACGACCCAGGTCTTGAGTTCGTCCGAGGCGGCGTCGTCCAGATGCATGGTTGGTGGATTGCTAGGAAGAGAAAGACTCAAGCCTGCGCGGCTCTGGAGAGAGCGAGAGCTAGCATCGACGGCGCACAGACCTACGTCAGGCCCTGGACCAACGTCGCTTCCAACCACCGAGCGACGTGAACAGTCCATACCGCTTGCTCGCCCTCACTCCCTCCATAGACCAACATCCTGTCGCCACCGCAAACATGGCCGGAGAGGATTTCACCGTCGACCCCAGGATGATGCACGTCCAGCCTCGCATCCGCTACAACACCATTGGCGGTATCAACGGTCCCCTGGTCATTCTGGACAATGTCAAGTTCCCTAGATTCAACGAGATTGTCTCTTTGACCCTGCCTGATGGCACCGAGAGATCTGGTCAGGTCCTCGAAGCTCGCGGTATGTCTAGGCCCTTGTCCAATCCAAGAGCCGCACACTGACAATTCTCCGTGCAGGCAACCGTGCCGTCGTCCAGGTACGCTAGCCTCTATCCCGACCGCCACTCGATCAAGTTGCTACAAAGGACCACCGGGCTTACACGTGACGACAGGTTTTCGAGGGAACCTCTGGTATCGATGTCAAGAAGGTGCGCTGAACCAAGAGACAAACCTGGACACAAGCAGAGTGCTGATACCTACTAGACCAAGGTCGAGTTCAGCGGCCACTCGCTCAAGCTCGGTGTGTCCGAGGACATGCTTGGTCGTGTCTTCGACGGTTCCGGTCGTGCTATCGACAAGGGCCCTAAGGTTCTGGCCGAGGACTACCTCGACATCAACGGTCAACCCATCAACCCCTACTCAAGAGTCAGTCATTCTCAACCCAAGCTGTGCGATCGCAGTATATTGATGGTGGCAGGAATACCCCGAGGAGATGATTTCGACCGGTATCTCGACCATTGACACCATGAACTCCATTGCTCGTGGCCAGAAGATTCCCATCTTCTCTGCCGCTGGTCTGCCTCACAACGAGATTGCCGCCCAGATCTGTAGACAGGCCAGTTTGGTCAAGCCCACCAAGGGTATCCACGATGACCACGAGGACAATTTCTCCATCGTTTTCGGTGCCATGGGTGTCAACTTGGAAACCAGCAGATTCTTCACTCGCGACTTCGAGGAGAACGGCAGTATGGAGAGAGTCACCCTATTCCTGAACTTGGCCAACGACCCTACGTAAATCTAGTCCGCAGTGCATCTTAGCTGCCCAGTACTGACACCACGCTAGTATCGAGCGTATCATCACCCCTCGTCTTGCTCTGACCACCGCCGAATACTACGCCTACCAGCTCGAGAAGCACGTCTTGGTCATTCTTACCGACCTTTCGTCATACTGCGATGCCCTCCGTGAGGTATCTGCCGCCAGAGAAGAAGTTCCCGGTCGCCGTGGTTACCCCGGTTACATGTACACTGATTTGTCCACCATCTACGAGCGCGCTGGTCGTGTTGCTGGCAGAAACGGTTCCATCACTCAGATCCCCATTCTGACCATGCCCAACGATGGTATGCTACATCCTCTTAATCAACCGTTGAGAATATGCTAATCGGATCTGCAGATATCACTCACCCCATTCCCGATTTGACCGGTTACATTACCGAGGGTCAGATCTTCATTGACCGTCAACTCTACAACAAGGGTATCTACCCCCCGATCAACGTTCTTCCCTCGCTCTCGCGTCTCATGAAGTCTGCCATTGGTGAGGGCATGACCCGCAAGGATCACTCGGATGTTTCCAACCAGCTGTACGCCAAGTACGCCATTGGTCGTGACGCAGCCGCCATGAAGGCAGTCGTTGGTGAGGAGGCTCTGTCATCCGAGGACAAGCTCTCGCTCGAGTTCTTGGACAAGTTCGAGAAGACCTTCATCAACCAGGGTGCATACGAGAAGCGCAGCATTTTCGAGTCGCTCGACACTGCATGGGAGTTGCTCCGCATCTACCCCAAAGAGCTTCTCAACCGTATCCCCAAGAAGACACTGGACGAGTGGTACACCCGCCGCCCTTCAGACAAGAGCGCCAACAAGGACACTCGCGACAACTCGGACAGACAAGGCGAGAGCGAGAACCTGATTGACGCATAATCGAAGAAGAAGCGTAGACGTTTTGACTGATTTTCCTATTTTCTCTTTTCCTTGTTGTAGATAGCGCCTGTGCTTATACCATACCGCAGTATATCAAATCCGAGTTTGTCACTGATTGAATTGTATACCTTTGTGTTGTGAACTGTGATGCGAGGGTTGATGAGTAGACAAAGAGCGACCCTGTTGAAAAGTCACGTGTGGGCCGTGCTCTTTCCGTTCCGCAACGACGGTCGGCGTTGTCGTGCAAGAGCTGCGCTGTAAAGGTTGAATACCATCTCCGCTCATTGTATCTCGCCATCGCCTGCAAAAATGCTGTCTGGTCGTATCGCTGCTCGCGCCGCCCGCGTGGCCGCTCCTCGCGCTCCCATTGCCGTCAGATCCTACGCCGCCGCCGCCTCGTCCTCGTCCGCCGCTTCCAAGCCTCCGGTCGCTCTCTTCGGTCTTGACGGTACCTACGCCAGCGCCCTCTACACCGCCGCTGTCAAGTCCGAGTCTCTGGATTCCACCGCCAAGGGTCTCGAGAACCTCGCCGCCACCTTCAAGAGAGACACCCAGCTCAAGACCATCCTTGAGGCCCCCACTCTCAACACCGCCGACAAGCAGCAGATCATTGCCGAGATTCAGAAGTCTCTCAACGTCCAGGACAAGAACAACACCATCAAGAACTTCCTCGAGGCTCTCGCCGAGAACAACAGACTCAACCAGCTTGAGGGTGTTGCCGACAAGTTCGCTACCCTCATGAGCGCCGCCCGCGGCGAGGTCGAATTGACCGTCACCAGCGCTGCTGTACGTACACGATAGAAAGAGAAGATTCACAAACCAGCGCTTTTGCTGACATGTGCATAACAGCCCCTCGACGCCAAGGTCCTCCGCCAGCTCGAGAGCTCCGTTTCCAAGTCCTCATACGTTGGTCAGGGCAAGAAGCTCAAGGTTGTCTCCAAGGTATGTTTCGTACACTCCGTACACGAATACACAAATCCTCTGACAATTGGCTCAGGTTAACCCCGACATCCGTGGTGGACTCATCGTCGAGATTGGCGACCGCACCATCGACCTCAGTGTTTCATCCAAGATCGCCAAGATGAACAAGCTCCTCAGAGACACTCTGTAAATATTTGACTACGACTTCCCCCCTACTCGCCTTGTAGCAACAGAAAAGAAGAATTTATGGCGATGTTGATTTAAAAAGCGTCCCACTTCTTGATACTTGTTAACACATAGACTGTGAATACTACAACTAACTTATACATATTTCATGGTGGGTTCGCAACAGCTGCTCTTTGAAATGAGATATGACCCTGAAATAATCTTCTTTCCTTGGGAGATCGTCCAGTTTGGAAAGTAGCGTGCGTTCCTTTGCGTTCCTTTGACTCCCAGCACATGGCAAAGATCGCTCCTGCCTCCTTAGAAGCATGTTTTCTGATGTTTGCCAGCTGAACACCTCGCTTTTTCTTTCGGCCTTATACACACCCATCCCCATCTTTCATCATCTTCACACAAACCCATTTTCATCTCTATCACTATGGAAATCTATACGGTCCTGGCCCACTGCCTTGTCGTCTGCACAATTGTATTTCTGGTGTTCCTCCAAATCAGCGGTCTGCACCTTGTGGACTTGTCTTGGTCACAAATATGTTCGCTCTGCCTGACCGAATGTTGTGTCGTCTTCGTCTTTTCCATCCTCGAAATAATCAATACCGGGATGCAAATTATTGTCGAAACAATCGCTATCGGGACCCAGAAAGCTACAGATGGAATGGATCGGCTGTTGCGCGTCATGCTCCATGTTTGATGATCGCTCCTAGATGGGATATGTTCAACTTCGGTGTTGCTTGGTATATTTACCGTCAGATTGGACCTTGCATATGGGGATGACTAACACCAACAAAAGATTGCAACAACGATGACAAGGCTCGACCGGCCAACGAAAGAGGCAAACATTAATTCATTCATCAATCACCACTATCTATCATTGCGAGAACGCGCGTATCTTGTACTCGGCATTCTCTTCGGGTAACGGCGACATCGGTGCCGACTGGAACCGTGGCAGCAGGTAGAACGCAAGATCCCTTCCTTCGAGCTGATTGATGCTCCACCCGTTGCCCAACCACGCCATCTGGTTCTCTTCTTCATACTCGCAATCGAAATCTTCCCATCGTGGACTTCTCAAGGCCTCTATGCAATGCAATGTCGACCCTGGCCACAATCCTGTCACCGTATCACCTTTACGATACCAACTCTTACAGTCGTCCATGAAGACCGTGTTCTTGAAGTATGCATCTGAATACTTCAGGAAGTCTCGTACGCGGTCGGCTCTGACGGTCATGGATCTGATGTTTTCCTTTTGAAGTTTGCGGATGCATTTGACCACGTAATCGCCTACACTCTCGATCATCATGGTCAGGGATCCAGATCCAATGGCAGAGTTTGGCCCCAGCATCATGAACATGTTTGGGAACTTGTCGGTTGCGATCGAGAGATAGGACGTCGCCCTTTGGTTCCAATGATCCGGCAATGCGATGCCATCAACACCGGTGACTGGGAAAGGAGGAGGTGCACCAGTGTGGAACCCAGTAGCGCAGACCAAAACGTCAATCTCATGCAATTTCCCATCTTCCGTGACCACTCCTTTGGGCTCAATCCTTGTGATAGGCGTACGGACGAAGTCCACATTATCCTCGACCAGAGCCTCCAAGAACCCAGGTCCAGGCGTCAACCGCCTACACCCAGGTGCAAAACTCGGTTTCAACGCATCATATATTTCCGGCTTCTTGACTAATCTCTTTTTCATGTTCTCCTCAAAGTCTTTCTGCGCTCCCTTTTGCATCTCCGTCCCCATCATCGTCAATGCATGAATCTCATTACCACCTTCTTCAATCTCCATGCGGAATTTGAAGAAAGCTTCTGGATCATCGCGGAATTTTTTCTTCTGCTCCTCACTGAATTTGAAACCGTCCATTTGGAGTTTGTCTTGGATGGATTGGCCAAAGGGAGGAGAGATCCAGGTGCGGCTGCGTATGAAGCAGGAGAGTTGTGTTTTGGCAAGGCGTTGAAGGGAAGGGATTATTTGGATTGCTGAGCTGCCTGAGCCGATTATGCCGATGCGCTTCGAGGTGAAGTCGTAGCTGTTTGAGAGACCATGTCAGTAAACCTCTTCTTTTGAAACTCAAAGGTTGTGAGGGATGGTGGAGATTGGGGAGTTGGGTATAAACGTACTCTTGCTTCCAATTAGCACTATGCATCACCTCACCCTTGAAACTCTTCAATCCATCGATATTGGGCCACGCAATGTGATTCAGACCTCCTCTTGCCATGATCAATACATCACCTTGATCCTCAAACGTCCTCTCTGCCTCCAGATCCTTGACTGTGACTTTCCATTTTGCAGTGCCAGCATCCCAGGTGCATGACTTTATCTCATGCGAAAGCTTGATGTAGCGGTCTACAGAGTACTTTTTCACGGTAGCAGCGAGGTAGGCTTGGATTTCCGAGGCGGGCGAATACATGCTGCTCCATGAGGGATTCGGGTTGAAGGAGTATTGGTAGGAGTGAGCTGTTTTGCATTGCACTTTGTCAGCACTTGTATCTCTCTCTCTCTCTTCTGTCTTTCC